ATAGAGTTTGTGGGAAAGGCTTGTGCTTCGTTGGAGCTAATAAAAGAGAAATGGGTAAATTAGAAGTTAAGGTATTTGTCGGTTATCTGTAAGTATGGACAGGATGGGAGCAGGCCAATGTACCGCTAAGCTATAGCTTCGTCCTCGCCCTGAAAATCTGCCCCCGCCCTGAGGTTATCGAATCCAGGACTGGTACGGTTGATGCGCCTCGACGAGCTCAGTCGGACAATACCAGGGCGTCCCGGATTCGGTAGTTTTGAACAAAGTTATATAGCTCGGCTGCCGAGGTGGGTCGGAACAGTCAGAGGTGTCGGAAATTGGAAGAGCCGGAAATCGGAACTGGCTCAAAAGTCGGAAATCGGAAATCAAAATTTTTTTTCGGAAATCAGAAGGTAAAAAACGTCGTATATCGGAAGTCGGAATTCCGACCCACTTTTGCTCGGCTGTACTTCGGGGTTTGCTCGCCAATGATGCGGAAATTACAAAATTCAGCCGGTTCCGGACCTTTTCCGATTCCGCTTCAGGAACCGGAACCCCCGCATCACTGGTGCCCGCACGGGATAACTGATACATACCATATTTACTTATCATTCTTGAACATGCTTCTACTTGTTTAATTTAAGGAATAGCGCAAGGTTGCGGTAAATGTTCTGAAAAACAACATTTGGAAAAGTGTTTTGATTGTTCAGATTCCTTCTGTAATGGGGAGACAAAACTGTCTCAGATCAAATGTTACCAACTTAAATTCAATCAACAGCCTTATGTGGCGAAAGCTAAAACATGCCATCCAGCAATTGATAGTTGCTACATTGCTAGGGACGTCTTCTGGAGGGGTAAAAAATACCAATGAGTCCTTGGAGCTTATCTACTTTATGTATCTACCCCATTTATTCGCAAGCTCAAAAGAGGCTTAAAATGGTCAACTAATATTGGTTTTGTCGAGACAGGGTTATCGGTTCTGGACCGAACTGAACCGAAGAACCTATGATTTTTCGGTTCGGATATCGGTTCGGAGCCGGATATCCGAAAAGTACAAGCGCCCTAGTCGAGATGCTTGTGCAAAACTCCGCGATTTACACAGGGTTTTGCGGCACGCGTTTAGCGAGAGTCAACGGTTACTTGGGGTAATGCGTAGTAACATAAGCTTATTGTTGGCCTGTGAATAAATAGGGCGAATAAATGGGGTAGGTACCAGAGCTGAGCGAGATCTAAAAATAAAAAGTGAAATACGAAATGCGAAACTTCGCGCTGAAAAATGTGAAATATGCGAAAGATGCGAAAAACAAAATGCGAAATTAGCCCAGCCCTGGCAGGTACCTAAAGTAAATAAGTTCCGAATCTTCTTGTTCAGATTTTTTCTAATTTTTCCACCATTTGAAAATTAAATTTTTAGCCGAACAAAACTGCGGGGAATGCCCTGCAAAATACGAAAATTGTATAACTTGTAACGACGCTGATTTGTGTAATGAGGAGGATTTACTTCCCGCATCAACAACGACTGAAGCAACTAGTTGGGTATCTTCCACAACGAAAGCAACGACTAAGAAAGAGCCTACTACTCGTGTTAAAGGGACAACACGTAGTTCTTCTCCGAAATCGGCGGCGCGAACGAACAAAAATGAGAATAATTTGAAGGCGTTGACACTATTAACTTTGATAATTTACTATATTTTTTAATTGAAATTTAAATTTTAAACTGGATAAATATATTTATATGAATTAAATTTCTTGTGATCACAGACATGAACTTGATAGCCCCCCGCCTTATTAACCCCCCAGGCACAAGTTTCCTAAACCTAAAAGTCTGAGTTCAACTCGAGTATTTTTTCCTCTAACGTCTATATTCCAGACTAGGACACGGATACGTATTTTGATATCCGTATCCGGATATTTACTGCGGATACAGACGGACACAGGCGGATATCCGCAGGCATTTTGGTATTATCTGTATCCGTATCCATGACCATGCCTGCTATATTTTCTATTAGAACATGGTTAATCAATTTTCAAATATTTTATTTTGTTAAATTTATGTTTAAAATTGGCGTTTGGCGCCGATTTTTGGCCGATTTGCCGTTATGGTGTTTGGCGTGTTTTAATAATTTGAAAAGTTTGCGTGTGGCGCGCCAGCGGAAAGTTTTAGCGCACAGCTCTGAACCACACATCTTAATATCTCTCTAGATCCTCGAATCCATATCAATCCACCGCTACCCTTAATCCACCAGAATCCCCTGTTATCCCTCCGAATCTCCGATATCCACGATATCCCCCATAATCATTTATAATCTATAGAGATACAAAGTGCATAATTATGTAGATGAATCATTAAAATTAAATACATATTTTTTTATAAAAAAATATTTAATCTATTAAATAAAAAAATTTATTTTCCCAAAACAGTCATTAATTTTACTAAAAAGTTTTTTAATCATTTAGCTTATAAAGTGCTATAACGCTTTAATTGTACATTCATTTTATTTTTTAAATAAATATTGGGAATTAATTCTCTAATTTAAAAAATATATTTTAATAAAGCTCACTAAAAGCTACCCTTGGTAATGAAGCTCTCTATAAGGTACCTTTGGGATGAAAAATAACACCTTATAATGAGGTGTTCGTTAAATAGAGGATATCTCTTAAGCAGCTTTTTCTACCCAGTAAACAATCAGAGTTTAAATAACGTCTCTTAAATAGAGGGTTTCCTTGTATTAAAAGTCCTTATATCGAGATTAGATTATAATGAAGTGTCTCTTAAATAGAGAGTGTCTCTATAGCAGCCTCCATCCTGTGGACAACCAACTTTTAAAAGGTCTTTTAGAGGGCGGTGTTGAGGGGTATTGAGGGGTGGCTTATAAAGAGGTCCAAATTTATAATATACCCCCGATAAGGGCTATACTTTTATCTAAGATACGTTTTTAAATTTGGTTATCGACAGGGTGGAGGGAGCTGCCCAGGCGATTACAAAATAAGAGGCTACTCTTAAGGGGGTATGTTAACTAAAGGGTATTGGCTGGGCGCCCCATCCAGCAAAAAACCAAATTTTATGGTACGTCTCTTAAATAGAGGTATACCTAGTATTGGATGTATCTTATAGAGAGTTTCAACTATATTTTTAAATTTCAGAAAATTTTCTTAAAAATGTTGAAAAAAGAAGCTATTCTTTATATTCAAATTTTTCTAATTTTTATTTTTGAATATTTTAAAAATAAAGTTGTTGGTCAAGATATAACTCATGAGGATGAAAAAAATTAGTAAAATATTAAATATAAATAATTAAGGCTTAAAATTAAAATTACTGTAATTCCTAGGGGCATTATTAAAAATCCTGGGGGAATTTTACTGACGTAATCCTTGGGGGCAAATTAAGTAGGGGTGGAGGTCTCCCCAGGGTCGAAAATTTTGGGGTCTGTCAGGGTCGAGTTTCGACAAGATCGTCCGGGATGTGGGTTAGACGGAGTCGGGGGTCCAAGCCTAATTTTAAGACTAGGGGCCTGTTGAAAATAGCCTGCAAACACTCCTTTGGTACTTTGGTTAAGTGGGTTGTCTAACTAATTTGGGGTCTGAGGTTCGAGTCCGGTCGTCGATAACTGATTTATTTTTGACTTTAAAATATTCAATCATGTAAAATAAACAAATATAACGAATTCTCGACCTTCTAAAATTTTTTAGTGCTTATTTAACGGATATGATAAACACCCATCACGGAATCCCCTACGTGGCATATGATCAGTGTATGCTTCGCCCTGGACAGAAACATCAAGGCAATTTTGGATTTATTTTTGAAAGGCCTGGAAATTTGTTATGCGATATGTAAGTTGATAGAAATTTTCAGTGAATTTTTTAAAAATTTTCGAAAATTTTAAAAAATTTTTCAAAAAATTTTTCAAAATTTTCAAAAATTTCAAAAAATTTTTTAAGGCTTTTGATTTGTTACCCTGGCCAATTAAGTGGAAACAACACATTAAATGGATTGGTAACATCAATTCCTTATCGTATGGCGAAGCATGAGGTGAATTTTTTAAAGTTTTGGCGTTCCGTTTGGGCGTTATTTTTAAATTTAAAAAATGGCATTCTGTGAGGAACGCAAAAATCTTTGCGCACGGGCCAAGGATTTTAAGATTTAGACCATAATGTTACGCTTACATAAGGACGTTGCGTCTTTTTCTCTCCTAATTTCTCATTATCTTTCAGAGCCCTAGGGAGCCTCACATTATACAGGGAGCCCTAGGCACAGCCGACCTCACTATAAGATAACCCCAAGATACCCCCTTATAATCAGGGTCGGCCATGTTTTAAAAATTATTCAAATTTCAGGCAAATCCAATAAGCCGATTATGTGCAGAAAAACGCAAAAAACATTGTGAAGTAAATGGATGTACTGCTGGTAAAGCTCCCTTCCACATCTGGCACGGAATTATGCTCAGTTCGAAATATGAGAAACCGGATGGTTTCAACGAATCAATCTTCACGACGACAATTAAATTGTCCTTCACCAACAAAGAGTTGGGGGATTTTTAATTAATTATCCTCAGGCATTCGATAGATAAATTCCCCTGACGTGATAAACCTCTTTCTTGGTGGGGGGGGGGGGGGGGGGGGGTAACCTTTCTATGGACCCCCGTTACTATTTTGTTATCACTCCAGAATTTATTTTTGGGAGATGAGGCATATTGCACAAAACGACATTACTTCAAATGTCAAATCAAGGGATTGTCAGATGTCATGACATTTGTGGAATAGTCCACTGATTGTTCTACCCATCATCGTTTAAAATAGGGTAGCAACACAACCATTTCGGGTCTGGAGTGTAGGAATCGGTTCGAAAGAAAATTAGGCGGGGTTTCGGGGTCGGGTGGAGTACCTTCCCGTGCCTTCGATTCCCAGTCCATTTGATGTTGGGTTGTTATCCTAGTTTATAATTTAGATATGTTCTGAACAAAACCTCACTTTTTGCGATTGAACTTGGAGATAAGAACCATTTCGCTTCGCGTGTTCGTGAAATGACCAAGGAAGTGAAAAATGGAAAAGTTAAACTTGTGCCTGGAAATATAATTAGAATGAATGATGGAAGGGAGCTCAGTGAAAAATTTTACGAGCATGTGAACATTGGGGCTTATTTGCACAATTACACGGGGATTTGGACTCTGGGTTTGGATATGTTGCCAACAACTGGGCAACGAACTTTAAATTTGTTTGTGTACAAGGGGTGTGCATGTGGAATGGAGGCGTGGGTGGGTTTTTAAAGTTGTACGGTTTGATACAGATATACCCATGCTGGGAGATTAAAATGGATATAAGGGATTTGGGGAATCGAGAAGGATTTGGGGGGAGAAGGAGGATTGAGAAGGGCTTAGAAGGGATACCAAGGGGTTGATAGGGTTTAAGGGGGTTGATAGGGTTTAAGAGGGGTGTCAGGGATTCGTGTGAATTAAGAGTAATTGCGGGGGATTTGGGTGGATTAAGAGGGATATAAGGGATTCGATTAAGAGGAATAGTGGAGGATTTTTTGGATTAAGAATGATATGGGGATTCCGGAGAGGGGGTTTTAAGTTGCCTAGCGATTGGTACGGGAAGCTGCCTAAGTGATACCCCTTATCTAATAATCATTATAAGATATGATCTCCTCACAGCTGCGAGTGTCTATTAAATAAGACATGCTAACTAATTCTAATAAAATTTAGTTCAAAATGCCAACAACTCCTCCATATTTAGCACCAGAAATTATATACAGAGGGCCGAAAAACTGGGGAGATGGGAGAAACTGGATGGATTGGGATAAACTTTACAACGATAAAGATTGTAAAAGCAGACACACAGATAAAACAACATACACCTTGGGAAACATTACAGATGGGGAGATATTAATTCAGTTTACATTGTGGACTGGGACGAATGGAAAGGAGGCAACTGTAGAAGTGTTAAATGGAAAGGAGAGTATTATTAAATTATATGCAAATGAGACAATGATTATTCACAGTTTTGAGGTAAATTTATGTCCGGAAACAGGGCGGGCGCAAGAGCATAACGCAAAATTAAATAATTTTTTAACCCGCAACCCCAAGTAGAAATTGAAGAAGCACTGGTTTTAAGCGAGTTCGTATCGATTTTACGATATAAGGATTTGGCAGGATAATGATTTGGCAGGATATCGGAGGATTAAGGGGATATCAGCGGATATAAGGGGATATAAGATGACTGACATCCCTTATAAGGGGATATAAGGGATGTAAAGCATATAGCTATTAATTTCCTAAGGCTGAGCAGTAGGCGGCGTGGTGTAATGGCTAACACATCAGTCCGGTCTACTGAAGATGCTGGTTCGCTCCCAGCCGCCGAATAACCTTTTGCTCTAGCTAAATGAGAGAAATAGCTATAGCCCAGCTGCTTTACTGGGATATCAGTGAATATTTGAGTGGATTAAGGGGATCTGGGCTTCATATCCGAATTCCGGAGCCGAGGTCCATGATGGATGCTACTGTTATTCAGACTAGGTCGTACTCCTTTTAAAAGTTTGGAGATTTTTGGAAGGCAGATTTCTTCCTTTTTCAGCTTAATTATAGAAATATACCTATATAAGGATGATTCATCCAGCAGCATTTAAAACGCTTAGGCGGGGGTTAAACGATCTAAAAAAGGAAAAAGAGAAAGCATTAGTCGATGCCCCGGTAGCTCAGAGGTAGAGCTCCTGCATATAGCGAGCAAAAGCGGGAGGTTGCAGGTTCGAATCCCGCCTGGTGGCTAAACTTTTGCAAAACTCTTTCTATATTGACCTATTTTAGGGTAAAATTAAAAGAGAAATCCCACAACCTGTGAATATACTTGGAATCGGAGCGTCTTTTACAGCATCTTTTCGCCTTACAAAATACTATGTTTGGTCAGGGTTTTCAAGTAATCTGTGGGGATCTGAGTTTGCTGTTACCAAATATTGGAAAAAACAATGGTGGAATGGAAAGTTATTCGAAGGGAAGAAAAACAACGTTTTGGAACTCTCTGGAGATTTTGTTACGATCACTCCAGTCATTACTCGAACGCTTAATGATGAAGATAAAATGAATGTAAGAAATAATTTTTAGTCTTATAAGTTGATTAAATAAACAATGGTCGCCCTAAGGTTGTCAAGATAGTAGGAAAATTGTCTATATCTGGATCCGATATCCAAACTGAAATTTTCCTGATCCGGAAACCCACATAGAATTTTTTAAGGTATTGTGCAGTAAGGTTGGCGGAAAAGGCCGAATATCCGGAAATTTTAGGTTTGGATATCGGATCCGGATATCAGAAGATTTTCAACCATCCGCTAACCTTATTGTGCATGTAAATTTTTATGAATACTTGTAATCAGTGTTCATAAGCTCGTACCAAAATTTGTATTTGTACTCTTACTTTGGTGCGAAATACTAGCAAAAAATAGGGGTGGTACGAAGTACGAAGTTTCTTTGTAGATCACCTATACATGGTGAATGAAAACGATGCCGGGTAGTATCGATGCCCGGCAGGGGATTTCTCTCTCATGAATTTTTCCATTTTAGTTGTCAGATGCATATTCTCATCTTATTGACAAATTCCATATATTTGATCTTCAAACACTTTATAACGAAAATGTCACATTTCGTTTTTATTGCAAACATGTTGGACGGCAAATTCAGATTCATTTTCTTTCTAATAGAAAATATGTATTGTCGTGGTACACTCTCGACCTAGCAATGAAAACAGAAGAACACATTGTGAGTATTAGCTTGTTCTTTCCGAAGTTGTGTGCTCGTCGAGTCTTTTGAATGAGATATTTTCGCCTCCCCAATTTAATTATTTTCAACCTCTTTAACCTATGTGTTTTGATTGTTTCAAGGATACTAACACAGCTCAAAGATTTTTCCACGATCTAATTCTTGGGCTATTTCCGATCTTTCTAGATAAAATGACTTAATGAACAGTTACATCTTTAACAGAGGTCGATCGGAAATGACGAAGGTGCCGGAAATCGAAACTATCGGAAATCTGAAATGGCTCAAAAGTCGGAAATCGGAAATCAGCTCAAATTTTCGGAAATCGGAAATGCTTAGTCGGAAATATGTTTCAAAAATTCTCGGAACTTGTTCCAAAATTCCAAAATTTGTTCCAAATTTTCGGAAATCGAAGGAAAAAACGTCGGAGGTCGGAACTCGGAAACTGGAGTTCCGATCGACCTTTGATCTTCAACAAAAATGCCCGGGAGAGGTGGGATGAACTAAGTGCCAAGTATTATACCATCTTTCAATCCTATATAAAAAAAAGTCCTACTAATTCACTGTCATTTTTATCCAATCGGAGGGGGGGGGGTGGATGAATTTTTACCCTCAAACAGTTAAAAGAAAATCATAGAAAATGATCAACTTAGAAATTACAATACAAATTTAGACTAAAAAAGTAGGAAGAAGCGATACTCCATTTTTCCTATTTGGAAAGACAAAAATTTTTGAATTAGACATTATCGCAAACAAAACGGGCAGTATGACACAATATAAATTTAAAATTGATGGAAAAGAATATCCTAATAATACAATAATAACATCATTGCCAACTTGGAAGATAGATCAAATTATGGTGAATTTTATAACCGAGGGGGTACTGGGTGGGGTTTCGGGGGTAATCCGGTGTTGTGTATCGACCAGGGTTGTCACGGGGTGAGAAAAAAGGTCGGGTTCGGTGTGTATTTTCAAAATTTTCTTCGTATCGGGTTTCGGGTCGAAAAGTCAGGGTTTCGGGTATATTGTTGACCGTGACATCCCTGGTATCAATCAGTAGTGGTGTCCGTATGACAACAGAAAGAATTGACTAACAAAATATGCATTTCACAAGGCAATAATAAACTGCGATTGGCAGAATTTTAGAATTTTACTAACCAAAACACGTATTCCGGGAATCAGGCTCTGGTAATTTGGGCTCCAAGATTTTTCGTTGTTTGGAGCCCAGAAATTTGAGCTCCATATTATATATTGGTCTATAGAATTTTTGTCTATGGGAGGAACTCTATCTTTAAGGAAAAGAAGTCAAAAACAAAATTATGATTTGATTTAGGACTTACGGACAAGTGTTCGTAAGTCATACCAAAAATCTTTACGATAAAGCCGTTGTTTTTAAATTTTATCAACTTTAAAGTTTATTAACTTCATTTGTCGGTCTCCGACCGAGTCCAAATTTCCCGGACTCCAGCCAACCATGTAATAAGGCTGCATCTTACATAGTAAACTCCGCCACCTAACACCTTGAGTTATTTGAAAATAGGGTGACAGATATTACGACCCCTGTCTGAACTCTAATAAATGCCATTTTAAGGTACATAGCAAGTTTGAACTATTTGATTATAAAGTGTTTCATGAGGAATTGGAAATGCCAAATAAAAAATTTAAAAAGTATTTGCCTGATCTGAAAAAATTTGGAAATATTGTCTGTCTTGAGGGGAAAATTCCGAAGGCAGAGAATATGACTGGAGAAAAAAGCTTTCAAGTATACCTCCTCAACGATGTGAATGACTTTAGTAAAATATGTGAGAGATTACTCATCTTTTTACGAATATAGTCAAACCTCATTATTAGATACACCAGTGGGTTTTAAGAATCCCGTCATATAATGACTAATGACGGACGGTATCTGAAATATAAGTTACCACAGCTCCTCTACCATATGGCCAACCAAAAATTAAAAGACGTTTCTTAAACTGAGGTTATTACCAGGTGTGGCGCAAGTGCCAAAAAAATACGGGACACGAGATACGAGACGATCGCCACCCCTGGTTATTACGTACAGAGCAGGGAAGGTTCGGGTGGAGAAAAAAGTTGGGTTGGGTTTTAGGTAACCGGTCCCATCCTGGTACAGACCTATATACATAGTTAGGTTCGAATTTATAAAATATCCGTAATGATCCCGTTTTTTAAAGATGGTGATACAGCTTTGTTGCTAAATTTTGTGTTTGATCCAGATAATTATACAAAAGTTGGAGAGAATATTACTTACACTCAAGGAAACAATTCGGCTTTATACATCAGCAGTTATTTCCGTTCTTATAACGGCTGGGGGACAAATCAAACTCACAAAAATCCAATTGGACATACCGATGTGCCTGTAACCATTCAAATAATTGCTGATGAGTATTACTTCAACATAAGCATTAATGGAGCTAAGGATTATATTCACTACAAACATCATATTCCTCCATGGACTATAAATTATGCTATGGTAGGTTGTTTTTTTTTGACGAATACTCAAAATCTCAGTATATAACCAGGGGTCTAGTCGACCCGATTCTCAAAATCCGGAATTTCATTTTTGTAGTTAAACCCCTTGTATACACCCATCTGTATGCTATACCGAGTGTATACTACATAAATTGCAATACGCCTACATCGAATCTTTCCTTAATGACAAAGGATTGCGGCGCTGAAAAGAAAGAAATCTGGCTCATTAGCCTTCCAAAATTCTCAAAATTTTCATCTACGGCGCAGAAAAAGGTTCTCGGCTTTTCCAGCCTCTGTGATCCTCGGCCTCGGTTTTTTCGAAAAACCTCGACCTCGTGCTATTCTATTTCCAGGGAGCTTGATCGGTCGCTAAAGTCAGTTCGATCGCTTCTCTGTAGTTGAAACACTTCCCATTTGTTGGAACAACATTCCCGATCAATAGAATACATACCTAATTATGAAATTAAAAATTTTTTCGATATTTTGGGTAAAACGTCATTTTGGGTGTCTATATTTAGGGTCATACGATATTTAGAGTGTTGATATTCTGTGGTGATCCCCTTAGTCAGTAGGGGGAGGCAATAACAGTAGAGTACCTATATCCAAATCAGTTTTCTTTTAGTGTTTTAGCTAGAGTTCAGCGGTATCGGGATTTTGACAAAAACCCGGGATCGGGATTTAGGAATGGTGATCCCGATCCCGATCCCGGATCCCGACACGGGATCGGGATTGGCCGAAATCGGGATCGGGATTTGGGCTGGAGATCCCGATCCCGAATCGGGACCGGGATTGAAAAATCGGGATCGGGATTTACTAAAAAATTTTTAAAAATTTTTAAATTTTTATTTTCTTTACATACTATGTATGTACAACTCAGTATAATTCTAAAATTGCCACTGCAGTACTAAAATATTGAGTTTAAGTCTCATAGACGCACAATTTACTTTCAGGTTCAGGGGATTTAGGGGACATAAGGTAATGGCGGGAATAAATGGGATTGGGCTTCTTTTATTTTAAGCGCCGTAGGCAAAAATTTTTAAAAATTTGGAAGATTTTTTTTTTAAATTTGCCAGATTTCCTCTCTTTTAAGCGCCGCAGGCAATAATTTTAATTTTGGAAGGCCAAGGGCATTCAATCTAAGCGTTCAAGTCTATACGATTAAGTTGGTTACGTTCAAATGTGGACGATTAAGAATTGAGACTGAGGGATTAATTGATGTATTCATTTAGTAAAATCTATATCCTTCTATACTCCAAATCTACCGATACTCCTCTCAACCGCACTTGATCCCTCGATATCACACCAAATCATCAGTATTTCGTTAAAGCTGTAAAAACAGCTTTGTTCATTTTTGTGGCGCCGCAGGCGAAAATTTTGAGAATTTTGGATGTCAAGATGCAAAATTTCTTTCATTTTCTGCGCCGCAGGCGAAAATTTTTCTTACTTTCATGCCTCCCCTCTTTTGTTAACTTCATTTCACAGGCTTCTAGTCAATTTATAAAGTCGGGATTTGCATCGGGATCTGATGCACATCCCGATCCCGATCCCGGATCCCGGCTCGGGATTGAGATTGGCCGGGATCGGGATCGGGATATTTATTTCGGGACCGGGATCAGAAAAATCGGGATCGGGATTCGAAAAACCCGGGATAATCCCGCCCGATCCCGACCGGGATCCCGATCCCGCTGAACTCTAGTTTTAGCCTGGTTTGACTCCCCTCTCAAGACTTTCCTTCTTACGATGACCAGTGCTGAGTATTGGGCATTTGTTGGCTCCGGCTCATGGCTCCGGGATTTAAAATTTTAACTGAGGAGCCGGATCTATCTTCCTAAGTCATACCCAGCAATATAGATGGCCTTAATTTGCAGGTCACTGGCTATTTACAGGACGTTAAATTTTTGGAAGTTAACGATAAAAAGTGCCTAAAAGTTAAAGAATATGTATTGCCGTCAAATATAGCTAAAACAGACAAGGGGCTAGTAGAAGGTGATCAAATTATAATTAAAGGACAAGTTCCAAATCCATTCAATGGAAGTATTATGGTTAATCTAATGCACAGGGCTTTGGAAAACAGCAAGGAATGTTTGTATTAAGCCTATTTTAATCCTAAAATTTATGTTTTTTAGATGGAGAAATCATCTACATTTTATATATGACTAGTAATTATTCATGGAGCAGTGCGTGGGTGGTTAGTAGTATTTTATTTTAAAATCTATAACTGGGGTTTCCAAAAATATGTACATATGTGTGGAAAATTTTAAAATTTACTAGAGATTGGAATTTTGTAACGTATAAATACCGATAAAATTCAGAATTTTGCCGTACCGTATTCCATCTGCCATTTGATAGCTTTGAACGATATTATAGCTCCGTGATATCTTGGCATTGTGGTATCTGGGTGTGTATCAGGGCTGGGCTTATTTCGCACTTTCGCGTTTCGCATCTTTCGCATTCTCGCATTTTTTGGCGCGAAAAGTTTCGCATTTCGCTTTTTATTTTTTCATTACGCCCAGCCCTGGTGTGTATCCATTGCATTTTTTGGAAACCCTATTTATAGCATACATAACATGGCTGTGCGCCAAAATTTTTGCGTGGTGCGCCAAACGCTAATTTTTCAAATTCTTAAAACTCGCAATCGCCAAACGCCAAAATCGGCGAAAAATGGAGGCCAAACGCCAGAAGCAATGGCGCACAGCCCTAATACATAACTAAATTAAATATAGGATGGTAACGAAAGTCAAAAGGATCAGGGCAATAAGAATCATGCAAGTAATTCTGTCAATCTAAACGGCGGAGAAAGAATTCGGATTAGCATTAATTGCCAGAGCTACAATAAAATTAAACCAATTGTTGAAACAGAAGAGCATACTATACAGGACACAATAGTATATTCTTGTTCAAATGAATATAGTTATGATTTGATTGAGTATATTAAGGTAAGAAAAGATTACTAAAATATATGCCAGTTTTCTAACGGAATGTCAAATCTACCTCTTATTGAATACTTAATTTCATCGAGATATCTCGAACGACTCTTGTATGACACTCCCAGTCGGGTCTCTAGTATAGTTTGCCGGTATCGGAATTGGGCGGATTATCTTAGTTTTTTAATAGTAAGTAACCAATAGTAGATAATAGAGATGTGCGAGACTCTTGGTCTTGGTCTTGGAACCAAGACTTTTCTTGGTTTTTTTTCGGTCTTGGTCTTGGTCTTGGGGTGTTTGTCTTGGTCTTGTCTTGGTTTTATTTTTTACTCTTGGTTTTTTGGCCTTATTGGACCTAGTGCTAGGCCATCCAAAATCCTCAAAATTTTCGCCTGCGGCGCAGAAAAGGGAAGAAATCTGGCTTCTTGAACTCCAAAATTCGAAAAATTTTCGCCTGCGGCGCTGAAAAAGTGAATTTTTTGCCTACGGCCATCCAAAATTCTCAAAATTTTTGCCTGCGGCGCAGGAAAAGAAAGATTTTTGGCTTCTTGGACTTCGTAATTCCCAAAATTTTCGCCTACGGCGCAAAAAAATATGGATAAAATAGAGGATGAATATCAGCAGCCAGCATCACTCAATCACCCAGGTCCCCCAACTTCATAATATTCCTTTTGATCCCTTTTAATCCACTTAAATTCCCCTTTAAACATCAATATCCTCCTTAATCCAAGGGCGTAGCCAGGGGGTCGATTTCGAGGAGGGCTAACGTTGGGTGTCGCCAAAATTTTGGCTTTACCCTTTGATATCACTAATATCCCCTTAATCCACCCAAATCCTCTGAAATAATATATCTCATTGATTTTCCACCCGGATAAATTCCCCGAAATTCTTTGAATTTCGCATAGATTTTTTGAAATTATAGGTGATTGGGCTGAATTACTGTGATCATATCAAAATAACAAAAAATAAACCAAAAATTTGACCTATAGGATTTAAAAATTTGGTCTTGATTTTTGGTCTTGAGTCTTGGAGTTTAGGTCTTGGTCTTGAGTCTTGATCTTGGAAAAATTTTTGTCTTGGGTCTTGAGTCTTGGAAAAATTTCGGTCTCGCACATCTCTAGTAGATAACCTCTATTAAAGTTTTTAGAATTGATGGCCACTGGAGGGGAGTAACTGCCTAAGATAAAGAACTAAGCAAAAGTTTAGCCATCGGGAAGGATTCGAACCTGCGTTTGGCTAACATAAGCGTTTTAGCTCACCACTTATATGAGCTCTACCAATGTGCTACCAGGACGCCAAATGCAAAACTCCAAAAATCGGCATGACGCACAGCCCTATCCTACATAAGCGAACCCTCTATTTAAGAGATAGCTCAGTATAAGATAAAAACTTTCCGCCCAATGAGTATTTTATAGTGAAGTTTAATATTAAAAATATTTAAGGTAGAGGGATTGAAGAAAATCAACGGAACAGACTTTATTAGGATAAAAAGAAAATTGAATTGAATAAATTAAAAATGATTGAATTAAAAATATGTTAATAAATTTATTTTTTTATTATTATAAATTGCCTTAAAATTGATAAAAAAAATTTTTTAATTTTACAATATGACATAAAGAATTTTTAAATACCGTATAACCTGTATTAATTGCCCTCCCTCAAATAATTACCACACTTCCATTAATTACCCCAGCCAGTGATAAATTGAAATAATAATTACCCTCAAACAAATGCCCTAAAACACGTTAAACTTTCAAACCTCGTATAATTAACCCCCTCGTTTAATTACTCCCTGCAGCGTAAGGTCAAAACAGTTTTTTAATGGAATTTAGACCTAAGAAGTGTCAAATGACCCGGTTTGATAAGGAAAGAAAAGATCGGATTCTTTTTGTTGACAAGTAGACAGCAGGGGTGAAACTTTTCTCGTATCTCATGAAATCTCGTATTTTTTGAGAGATCGCGTATCTCGTGAATCTCGTAATTTGTGGCACGAGCTCCACCCCTGGTAGACAGCCAACTGGACATTTTCCACTGACTCGAAAGCCCGAGAAATCGCGAAAAATGATTTTTGGCTTTAATATTAATAATCTGTTCCAGAGCCGAAAAATCTTAAATATTTGTAATTATTAATCCAAAGATTAAATTATTTATATTATGCAGAATATGTATTAAAATTTTTTTAGTAATAAATCTTTTTCTACTCAAAGTTTATTACGTTAATATAAGCGTCAGCTGTTATTATTCTGTTTTTATTTTCATTGCTAGCTTTGTCTGTTTTATTGACAAGTTATTTACTGAACTATTTTATACCTCAAAAAGCTCTTAAGAGGATATCCCTAATATCTGTCCTCTCGAAGACATTGATCTTGATTTACTAAATTTCACTATAAAATTTGAGTGCCATGAGGAAGCAAAGAGGAATTGATCGAAATCTGGATGTTGTATGTATTTTTAGATACACCTGGGACCTCACCAGGGCTGATCGAAATTTCGTTTCGTTTCGTTTCGTTTCGCTCTTTCGTGCCCTTTTTTCCATTTCGTTTCGTTTCGGAACGAAACAAAAAAAAATTTATTTCGTTTCGTTTCGAAACGAAATAGCCAAAATTCCGGACGAAACGAAACAAAAAAAAAGTGAGAAAATGCACCCCTAATGACGGGAATTTATGGAAATAATCGTTAATTTTTTAGTTATTTCTGCTTATGAGCAGCTTAAAATTAAAAAATTTTCGCCTGCGGCGCTGAAAATGAAAGAAATTTGGCTTCTTGAGCTCCAAAATTCAAAAAATTTTCGCCTGCGGCGCTAAAAAAGACGAAAGCTTTTACGGGTTTTGCTAGAGCAGACCAGACTTCCGCCGCCCAACCTCCCATAGTCCTAAAATCGTCATATTTGTCCTAAAATCGTCATACTAGATATCGGGTGATTTTGTGTATATTTGTATTTTATGGATTGAGGGAATATCGTTGTTTGGGTGGAGGATATAGAAAGGATATAGATATCTTAAGGGATATAGAAGATATCTCTTTTATCCCTCTTATTATCCCTCTTGTTCGATATCTAAAGTGGTATACCCCGAAGTGAATATGGATATATCGCGGGATTTTAATAAGATATCGGAGGATTAAGGTGGATCTATGTATTTAAGGGGATTAGGTGGATATCGGCAGATTTGTAGGGTCCACTCTTCTCTCAGGTATGCTTTTGTCACGCATCTAGCTCTTGTATTGCATATCTATGATTTAAATATCGATTAAAAGCCTTTATGAACTGAAAAATAAATATTTTTTAATTTTTATTTTATTTCGTTTATTTCGTTTCGTTTCGTCCGAAACAAGCTCATTTCGTTTCGTTTCGCTCCGAAACGAAATAGGATTTTTTTTATTTCGTTTCGATTCGAAATAAAAAATATTTTTATTTCGATCAGCCCTGGACCTCACTATAAGATACCTTTAATATTAGATACACCTGGGATTTTAAGCATTTGGGTGACCATTAGAGATCGAGATTTTTGAAAAGCCTGGGCCTGTTCCTGGGTTCCGGATTTGATTTATTGACCTGGGCCTGATCCTGGGCCTGTAGTCCAGGTAAAACCCTAGTCCAGGAAAAACCCAGAAAGGTCAAAAAATGCTATGACCTTGACTCTGGGTACAGGAAAAACCCAGGCCTTAGTCCAGGCCCATCTCGATCTTTAGTGGCCATTGAGTAGAGGGATCTGCTCGGGCCTTTATTAAGGATACGCCTTATTATAAGATCCCACTTCTTCTCAAAGACATTGATTAGATTGCCCCTATACTATAGATACACCTCTATGATATTTCTTTGAATTTAGCTTGCCATTGGATAGGGGAGCTTACTAAGTGATACCTTCTATTTAAGACACCCATTCTAAGGTGGTACTTTGAGCTCCAAGAGAGGAAGTCTTATAGTAGCCTGAAGTCTTATAGTAAGGGTTTTCCTATAGTAAGCTTTGCTGTATCTTTTAAAATATTTTAAATGTTAGGTCCATAGCGGTTTGGTACTCTGGCAGCAACAAAAACCAACACCAACCTCTTTTGGCTCCATTGTTGGGCGTGAACGCATTGCTCGTTTACTGTTAACTAAAGGTGTCTTAATGATTTCTTTCCAAATTCCCTCCTAAAATATGAGGGGAGAGGTCTCTCACCTCATGAGAAGAGGTCTATCAACTCTCTAAAAGATAAATCTCTCGCTTCCTGAAAGGAATGTCTTTCGCCTCTTAAGTCTCTCTATTGAGGGGATGGGTCACTTCTTAGAAAGGTCTCTCACCGTTTGAGAGGAGAGTTCTCCTACCTCTTGAAGTGGTCTCTTATTTCTTGAGAGAAAATCTCTCACTTTTAGAGAAGAGAATCAATAATCTTATAAATTCTCCAAAATATTGCAGACCAACTCAATGTCCAATTACCCGTTAATGACCAGTCTGCAAAAGAATTTGCAGATGCTCAACAGCATCAAGGGATTGGACGTTCACCCGCAGCAAAACTAAGCGTTGTAGATTTAAATAGTGAACAGCAAGTAACTCTTAGAACAGTAAATGTGCCTAAAGGGCCTGAGGGACTTGGACTTTCTATTAAAGTTGGAAATTGATGATTTAATTATTTTAATTTTGTGTTTTAGGGAGGAAGTGAGGGAACACATCGAGTGCCGATAGTGATTTCTAAGGTAATTTTGTTCATCTTTTTAAAGTGTCCACATATTTCTAAGGCATAAACAAGCCCTTTCCCGGTTCCTATAAATCGAACAGTTAGGTAGTTCCGGTACCTAGCAGTCCTGGAATCCAGGCTCGGAGTTCTGGTTCTAGAAGCCGGTTCCAGGAAACATGGCTATCCAGAAAATTTATCTGGCTTCCTTGTTCCCGATGTAAAAATGACTATAAAAAACTCTTTAGTTAACTAATCTAAGGGAGGGAATGTCCGAGTAACCGATAAGATACAGCCCCAGAATTTAGACGGTCACAGTTTCAAGAACCACTCTTTAAAAAACCTTTGTATCTCTGAAGAAAAAAATTCTTGGTTCTTCGGATCGAATCGGTTTTTAACCCCTATTAACTAAACTAATGGAGAAAGTGTTTGAGTGACCGATGTTTTGGAGGGAAATTTCGACGGAAAATAAATTCTTAGGCAGTGGAACCCTTCTAAATCCCCTCTCTAGGTTTATGAGGAAGAGATTCCAATAAACTCTAATTAAAATCTGTAGGTCCTTCCCGGCCTCTCAGCAGCCAAGACTAATCAAGTATTTGTTGGTGATTTAATTGTTGAAGTTAATGGAATGTCTTTGGAGGGGAAAACGCATGAGGGTTCTTTGGAAATTTTTAAAAAATTTCAAAAAAATTTTTTAGAGGTTGTCCAACTTCTAAAGGATTCTACTGGTCCCCACGTTACGTTAACTCTAAAACGTGACAGTTCCGCTTCTCCTCTTTTGCGTAACACTGCAGAAACTTCTCCTGTTTCTGATCATATTACTGTTTTTAAGGTAGGGATTTTGAGAAGAAAGTTTATTAAAGGGAAGTACCTCTATATTACGTACACTTGTGTAATGCTTGTTATCTTCGATAGTAGTGATAACTAGGCTTTAATCTAACAGGGTCCAGTTACAAATTATGTAGAGAAAGGACTGTGAGATAATTACGTGACTCGAGATCATCTTAATGACCTTAATGATGGTTTCAAAGGCCCAACCCTTCCTGAAACTTGATCCGTTGGGAAGGTGAGAGTATGTTCTTAGAGGGCTTCAGAGGATTTCGAATTTTGCCTTTATACAGACAGTGATCTACCACCCAAATTCAATAAAATCGGGAATTCCCGGCGTTTTTTGGGTTGGGAATCAGCGTTGGCGCAAGTATTGGTATTGGATCAAGTATTAGTATATTGAATCAATTATTGCCGCAAGTAATTATCGAAGAAGTTACATTCCTTGGCGTTCGGAGACGAGGTACAACCTCCTAGAGTGTATGTAATATCACGGTCATAATTTTAAAAAAATAATTCTTATTAAGAGCGCTTTAAAAACTCCAATGTTATACCAACAATCTCCAAAACTCGAAGAAAAAACAATAATTATAGAGGAACCACAAAACAATTTAGTTTTTGAAAGTGAGGATGATGTTGTTGGAAATGGAGGAGAAAAATGGAAAACGATTTGTAAAATACCTTTACCTCTAGCTTTTGTTAGTAGGTATTTATGGGCAACTGATAAGCTTAGGTATGAAGTTAAATGATTCAAAAGCATACTGAGATACTTGGAATGGGATAAATCTGTCGTTGAAAGGATTGGAGGGTTGGGGTCTCTCATCCGAATGAAAAATGAGATCTCTATTCTCTCTTTCATCTCTCTCATCCGAACGGCCCAACCCTTCCTGAACCTAGATTCGTTGAGGAGGTTCATCGGCCGAACGTTCGCTTGTGGGCAAAGTTACGCTGGGAGAACAAGATCAATCGTGGGTCGGGATGGCAGGGTTGTACTCCCTCGTCGGTTGTTCCCCTCGTATTCCCTTGTACTCCTCAACTCCCTCATGGTTGGGGGTTTTTCCGTCGTGGGTCGGGTTGGGTTACTCCCGTGGATTAAATTTAATTTAAAAATTGAATTTTTCAAGAAGCAACGCCTTCGAAGTCCGTTCAGTAGATGGTCGTTCTTCAGGCATTATTCACTGTGAAGATCGCAAAGCTCTTGAAGTTGGGACTTTTAAATTATTTAAATTTAAAATTAAATTTTAAAGCAATGGGTTCAACATATCGACTCTCATATAAATGCTTTAAATCGGAAAACTATTAGAATGAGTAATAAATATCTACATGCATCTGATAGGGTAATTTAGACTTAAAATAGTCGTACCTCACTTAGAATACTCCAAATACTAGACACTCCCCCACTGGAGAAGCTCCCTCCCCTATGAAAGTCTTCCCTCCCGTCTCTTATGAAATTCTTCCCCCTCCCCTTTCTAGTTACTCACTGGTGACTGTCGCCAGTACTCTAATTAGTAAATGTCCCCTCCTCTACTACTAGGCAATCTCTCTACCCAATATTTGGCAAGCACTCCCCGGGACTGCTTAAGTGCACACCCCGGTCCCTTCTGGGCACACCCCGGAACTGTCAAAGGGAATGCCTACAGTCAAAGAGTCCCTCCCCGGTTCCTCCTTCAGTCCCGGGCACATCTCGGGACTGTCAAAGGAATGCCTAAGCGATTCCTTAATTTAATATACCTCACATAGTAAGGTTCAATTTTTAGCTCCAAGAGGATATCTTATAGTGAGGTCCGACTGTGTAAAATTCTAAAAAAAATTTTTTTAACTGCCTCTCCCTCAGATCGCCTTTATCGGCTGGCTTGAAGAGCGTAGACGTCCAACAGATACATTCTCCCCAAACAACGCAAATAATAATTATTACAATAATTTTCCTGTATCTACAGACCCCAGACAACAATGGGCACAACGATTTTTGATTTTTAAGGGGGCTGATGTTTGCCTATTTGAAACACCTCCTGTGAATTTTTATAATTTAGAAACTCCCAGTATTAGAGCCATTCAAGGGGGAATGAGACCGGATACACGTTATGGGCCTAGGGTTCAGAAGGTCGTTGGACGCACTTACGGAATTTTTTAGTCCTGTTGCCGCCCTTTAGTTCTAGTTAAATTTGGGATTTTGTACACCCCTAAAGATGCCATCTTTAACCAATTCCCATTCCGACCTAAGTTTTTTTCCGACTAAAAAAGTGCGTAGATACCATATTCCCTCTAATGGAACGCTAGTTATCAATCATCCTTCAGATGGGGTTTCTATTAGAAGGAGAGGGGTACGGCCCACTTTGTCGCGCGGCCACATTGTCGCAGAGCCATAACTTCCTTCAAGTTTTCCGAATCTTACCAACTTTAGTATTAAACGATTCCTCTCATCGAGCTAAAGAGATTGGTACCAAAATTGATAAGGGCCAGAAATTTTTTAGCAAGTTATGGCTCGGCGACAATGTGGCCGCGCGACAAAGTGGGCGTTCTCATAGAGCTATGAGAACGGAGAGGGTCATTCTCTTAGAGATGGACGAGAGAATTCAAAGGGAGTCACTCTATTTGAAGAGATACAGTATACCCTTCTGTGCTTATAACGAGAGTCTCTATTTAAGCTAAATGCAGACGAATTAGACAAGTGTGTTTGCATGCACAAAATATACGAGACAGCACTCAGAACAGCTATAAAACGCATAGATCGTCGGGAACATGTATTCGCCTTGAGTACAGTACATGGTTTTTAAATTTGAAATTTTTGAAAAAATTTTTGTATGAAGGTCAAGAGCATTATTGTTCATTCCAATCAAGAGAGCAACTACATCGTTTTGAAATAGCTTTTTATGGGTGTTTGTACAAATCAGTGAATACTATGCAGGTGAATAGATCTCTTATCCCAATCCATATCAGTTTCTTACTTATGCCCACTTATATATGTAAACCATTTAATATCCTTGGACATCCCTTATCCTAGCATTTCTTATTAGAAATGTTATAATTAGGAGATCCCAACGATTTGGGAGGCTTTGAACCTGATTGAGTATGTCTACGGGAGCTAGCTCTTAAGCCCTTAATCCTACATCGTGAATTCCTTGAGCCTCTTAGTCAAGGATATAGGAAAGGGTATCATGGTATCCGTTATACCCTAAAGGATAACAGGGTATAACGGATTAAAGAGGGATGTTGGGGTATATCAGGGTATAAAACGATATCTCTCCAAATCCACCGATCTCGGGATATCGGGACATCCCCAATATCAGGGTATCCCTCCAAATCCCTCTAATATCCCCTTTAACATCGCTAAAGGAGATAATACTTATCATTAACTAATTTTAAATACTAATAAAAATATTAATTTCCAACTATAGACACGAACATTTGCCTGTAGTTACGATGGACGACCGGCTGGTTTAGTTATCGACACCCGACTCGGATTTTCTCTTTATGACATTCCCTCAAAGAGTTATATATGGCAATATGGCTTTTCTGAGTTGGAATCTTCCTCAGACGATGGAAAGATGAGGGTCCAATTTATTTTTAGAAATGATGCAGTTGCTCAAGCTATTGATGTTAGACAGTTGGATGTTAAAGTAAATTTTTTGAAAAAAATTTTTCAGGGTATAGGCACTCCTATATGCTTAAAGATACCCCTTGGGGTTGGAAATTGTATCTTTATGTTCCGGATACGCCCAAAAAGGCGCGGACATAACATCGCCGTTTTTAAATAGAGGGTATTTATTCTCCCCTTACCCAATCGCCAACTAAATTTTTATAAATGCATCTTAATTAGAGGGCAATTAAGGTATATGGTCTAGTATAGCCCGAGATTTTTGAAAAGCCTGAACCTATTAATGGGCTCTGGGTTTGATTTATGGACCTGGGCAGGAAAAATCCTAGGCATGTAGTTCAGGAAAAATCCAAGCCCAAAAAACCCAGGAAGGTCAAAAAATGCTTGGGCCTAAACTCTGGGTAGGCAAAACCCAGGTCTTGGTCCAGGCCCAGCTCGATCTCTAATCTAGCGGTACCTTATAAATGTGTCGACTATTATAAAATTTAAAATTTAATTTTTGAAGGATATAGAATGTGATGAACCTTTAGCTCTAGTCTTCACATTACACTCATTTTATATTGCAAAGGTTAATGAATTTTATTTTAAAAAATAAAACAAATTTTAACAGATTATGGGAGCTGATCCAGAATTTTTGCAAGATTTACCTCTCTCATAAAACAAAAAATTTTATAAAAATATTTTTAACGATTTTTGTTCTGGCAGATTGCTGAAAACGATAATTTTTAACTCTCGATATTTTTAAATTTTTTTTTGGATTTTTGAGAAGCCCCCGACATTCAGCTATCGGAGCACCTTAGTTCAGTCGACCTCAGCTCAGTCTGGACCCTATAACTCTTCAAGGAATGGTCACTTTTTTATGTTCTTGGTATCATTCGATAGAGAATTAAAAGCTCTACAAAATAACAAAAAATCAGAATTTTTGACTGATTGATAAAAAAGTTATGGTCTAAAAACTAACATTTTCTCAAAAAAATGTGATTTTTTGGTACTTTATCGACCATAACTTTTTTAGCAGTAGGTCAAAAATTCTGATTTTTTGTTATGTTGTAGAATGTTTAGTGCTCTATCCAATGGTACCAAGAATATTAAAAAGTGGCCTTCCCTTCTTGAGTTATGGGTGTTGGACTCTGCTGAAATCGTTACTCAGTTGAGGGTATACCAAAATTCCCCATACTTTTCTGACCATAACTTTTTTATCAATCACTTGAAAATTTTGATATTTTACCAACTTGTAGGGTATTTAATTCTCTATCCAATGGTACCAAGAACTTTAAAAAATATCGCCCTTTCAAAAGTTATAGGGCGCGCGGCTGAACTGAGCCCAGACTGGAACATGGTGTACCCAGCTATTAATTAATTCTTTTTTTAAATAAAATAATAATTTAATTAATTTTAAAAAATATTTTAAAAATAATTTTCTCGTCTTAAAAAATTACAAAAAAATTTTGATGCTAATAGCTTTAGAATCGAGACGTTTTGAAAAAATCGCTGCACGCGCAGGTACAGGCGCCCATCTTTATTTATTTAATCGACGGCTTGGAACAAAAAAAATGCGCATAGATTAATAAAAAAAAAATAAAAATTTATTTATTTACGCTAATTTACTCTATAAATATCCCTCTAAAGCTAATTTAACTACTTTTTTATGAGATAAAAAAATATTTTATGCATGGGGAAATAAGTAGGGGAAATAATTAAAGAGAGAGAAATTATGCTTCAATCCTTTTATTGCTTAATAAAGTTGGTAGCAAAATATTTATTTATTTATTGCTTTTTAATTAAAAATTGTGATTTTTAATGTACTAAAAAGTTTTATTTTGTAATTTCTGGTTATTCTGATTTTTATTGTCAATTAATTGTTTTAAGTTGTAATTATAAATTCTGATTTGTTCAATATTGAAAATTCTGATTTGTAAAATTGAAAAAATTCTGATTTATAAAAGCAAACAAATTCTGGTTTGTAAAACAAAATATAATTCTGATTTTTCAAAACTTGAAAAAATTCTGATTTATAAAAATTCTGATTTGTAGAAATTCTGTTTTTTTTAATTCTGATTTAGAAACTTGAAACTTATAATTCTGATTTATGAGTTTAAAATTCTGATTTATTAGAATTACAACAGGTTCTGATTTGTAAAAAAATTTCTGGTTTTAATTCTGTTCATTAAAAATTCTGATTTATTTAAATTCTGGTTTATAAAGGCTAAGAAGTTCTGATTTGTAAAATATTGTGAATAATTCTGATTTGTAAACTTTAAAAAATTCTGTTTTATAATTCTGATTTTTCTAATTTATAACTCTTATTTCTAATTCTGAAAATATTTCTGATTTATAAAAACTAGAAAATTCTGATTTTTAGAAATTCTGTTTTTTTAATTCTGATTTTTAAACTCTAAAAAATTCTGATTTATGAGTTTAAATTTCTGATTTGTAAGATTGCAAAAATAATTCTGACTTTTTAAAATAAATAAAAATACAATTAATTTCAATTAATTCTGATTTATATTTATGATTGGGATTTAATATTAAATAGACTCTGTGGGATATTTCTACTCCCACAGCTTTTCTTTTTTCATTACCTTAAGTAGATTTAATACCAGATTAAATATATGCTTAAAAATAATTTTTTTCACTCAAAAATAGTTAAAAATAGCCCAATTTCCCCCCAAAAAAAATAAAATTTCAGATCAACTCCACTTATTATGGCCATTTTAAGGTGCCTTAAAATTGATTCCTGGACAATTTTACTGATAATTACAAATATCCTCCTCCAGATTACTCCAGGTAATTTTCAACTAAATTAATTATGTATGGGATAATAAGTCAATTATTAATCCCTCTAATCAATATTTATCGCAAACAATTTATCGTTTTAGTTGATCATTAAAAATAATTTTTCTAATTTTCTATATTATTAATAAAATATTTTTTCCAATTAATTTTAATGAAGTGAGGAAATTTTGAAAAAATTTTTCCAAAATTTTTTTTTGTAATTTTTTAAATTATTTACAGCCTCAACAGAGACAGACATCCTTAAAGCTCATTACCCTCTAACTTTACCTTCCGCCTCCTATGTGGACCCGTCCATTCTCCGCCGTAAGCGTCTCGAAGCGAACGCGGCGGCTGTTCGGCAACAGTTGCAACATCAAAGGGATGTACAGGTCGAAAATGTTGGGGGGCTGTTGGGTCCATTGCCTTCAATAAATACAGGGAATGATGCTACTGGACGGGTAATAGACTCAGTAAAAAGCAGGGATGTGTCGGTCGCTTTCGCCGAAATTTCGCCTAAGTTTCGCCTTTTTTGGTGTTTCGCATTTTGGTCTTATGCTTTTTACAAAGCTACTTTCGCCTTTTTTAGCGAAATACGAAAGACGAAATACGAAAGTTAAATTAAAAATAGGGTTGGGGTTTCCGAACCGGGCAGACGTTCGAGTCATTTTATCGGTCCAGCCCGGCCGAGTGCCCGCCTCGATCTTTCGGACCGGACCGACCGAGCCCCCAACCCTAATTAAAAAGCGAAAGACGAATGAACCCCACCAATAAAGGCAAAAATTCGGTGAAAAGCTAAAGTGAACGGCACATCCCAGTTATAAAGTATACCCCTTAAAATGAATTTAGCAACCACCCAATAATATTCAAAACGTTTTGGGGGAACAACAGACCCAACAACAAAGTATTGTGGCACCAATTCACTCCTCTATTCCCTCTACCTTTTCCCAACAACAACCACAAGCACAAGAAGTTTATCCACCCTCTTCAACGCCCCCTGCTAACTACCAAGTAGAGCAACAACAGTCGACTGAGGTGTAGCTTTTAATTTATTAAAGTTGTACCTCGTCCATAGATACCGGTTCGGGATTTAGGGCTATAAAAATCGTCCTTTACAATGGGTGTTATTTAAATAGAGATTATCTTTAGGACTGTCCCTTCTACCTAATGTATGGCAAATTTTAAAAATAAATATATTGGTTATAGAGAGGAAAAACGTTGCTTATAATGAGCTGTATGTTAAATGGGAGGTATCTTTTGGGCAAACCCCAATGTTAAAGTTTCTACATTAAATGAACTAGAGATAGAGTTAGTTAGATCACATGGAGGTAGAGTTTAGCAGCCCCCCTCGTCTTGTAGCCTACTATCTTGAATCGAGGGATAGAGGTGTACATTACATGGCGATATCGCTTAGGCAGTCTCCCTCACCTAGTAGCCTACTATCTTAAGTTGATGTATAGAGGGGTATTTTTTTCTTATAGAGAGGACTTTTTATTTTTGTTCCTACATAGATTTATGCCCGACTTGGACAACAACAGCAACATGCTACAATTTCAGCTACAGAGGAGGATTATCAGACTATATCAACCCCTGTAGCCCCTTTATCACCAGACAATGCTGCTACACCCTCTGGATATGAAAACAACGAAACCCCTCCACCTCCCCAATTATCTGTGGGTTTAAAATTTATTTTTGAATGTTCAAAGCATTGACAGAATTTTGCACACCGCACAAAACGCATTAAACGCACAGCACCACAGCCAAGGCAATCACAAGCACTACTTCGCTGCCTGCGCGAAGCTGCTATCGTTGACTCACTGGCACAACGTACAAAAGGGCCTGTGCCTCCAGTAAGGGTAAAAGCACGTTCACCTTCACATCGTGTTAATGTGGATATTGCACCAAGGAGGATAGACAATAATGGTTTTTTAATTTTAAAATTAACGCACTATAGTCACACAATTAATTCACATTTGAATACAGTCGGACCTCACTATAAGATAACCTCAATACTAGACGGTCACCTCACTAGTGGCATTCCTCTTCCCCCTCTCCAATACTAGGGGAGGCATTCCCTCTCCAATCCACTCTCCAAACTTAAGGCATCCCCTTCCTCTCTCAAATAGAGGGGTATCCCTCTTCCCCCTCTCCAATAATAGACAAACCCACATGCCGGTCCCCCCCCCCCACGCCCCTACTGGATGGGAACCAGAGCTGCGTCGAAATTTCGATTTTCGACTTTCGATTTTCGAATTTCGACGTTTTTTTCTACCGATTTTCGATTTCCGAATTTCGAATTTTTTCACAAAATTTCGATTTTCGATTTCGATAATTTTAGTTTTTTGATTTTCGTTCGATTTTCGATTTTTTTTTGCAAAATTGCATTATCTTTTCTCTTAAGATTTTATTCCTGCGGCGCCAAAAATGAAGAAATTTGGCTACTTAGCCTTTCAAAATTCTTAAAATTTTCGCCTCCGGCGCAGAGAATTGAAGATTTTTTGCTTAAGGATCTTTCAAAATTCTCGAAATTTTCGCCTGCGGCGCTAAAAATGGAACTTTTTGGCTTAATTATCTTCAAAATTCTGAAAATTTTCGCCTGCGGCGCAAAAAAAGGTTAAAAAAGATGGAGGGTTAAAAATAAGGGATAAGAAGATCGCGAGATTCCCTTAATCTACCCAAATCCACCTAAATAATATTATCATTGACTTTCCACCCGAGCCTCCAATTAATCCATTTGCCTTACAATAATAAGAGGGATATAGGAGGATGGGATATCAAGGGTATCAAGGGGTAAGTAGAATATCGGAGGAATAAAGGATTTAAAGTGATCTAGGGTGCGGATTTAATTGGTCTCTAGTCAACCCCCTAATCCTGTATATACCTACGATCAATGATATCTCTTAAGACTTCCATTAATCCATTGAATCCCCTTATATCTCAAGATTAACCCTTATATCTCCATATTGCGGATTGTTTACTACTCTTTTAGTTATTTTAAAAAATTTCGATTTTCGATTACCGATTTTCGATTTTCGACGTTTTTTTCTGCCGATTTTCGATTTCCGATTTTCGAATTTTTTTATAAAATTTCGATTTTCGATTTCGATATTTTTGGATTTCTTTCGATTTTCGATTTCCGAATTTCGAAGATTTTTTTATTTCGACGCAGCTCTGATGGGAACCTTCTATTTGAGATACACCCCGTTATAAGTAAAATACTTAGTCCCATGGGTGTAGCTTATAGTGAGGGTTTACTGTATTACCAAACTAACAATAAAATTTAAAAAGCACTTAATTAGAGAAAAATCATCAAAGCCGTGTTCATGGCCATCGGATACAACAAGCAGATCATGAATATTCCTCTGCCCCGCTCCATGCACCTTCTATACACCCAACTCAGCAATTTCACGGAGGAGGTCCACCTCATGTAAGGCCAGGAGGTCATTCCCAATTTTTCGTGCCCGCTTCCACTCAAGGAGGGGCTGATTATGTCCACCATCAACAACAACAACAATATGTACAAGTCCCACATGCCGCAACAAAAGTTTTTGGAGGTGAAGGAGAACATGGGGGTGCCTCTGGCGGTGGAGAAGCGCCTCAAGGTGTTGGAGTACTCAGTGGATCGACGAGGGGTTCAAATTTGCCAACAATGATTAGTTTAGGACAAAAAGGGGTATCTTGCACTTTTATTAACCTGCACTCGCTTTTATTAACCTTTTTAGCACAAACCTTTTGTCAGCAGCGTTCCTTTACCGCCTGGAACTAACGTAATTAACTCAATGAACTTATTATAAAAGATATTTACAGTCGAATCTCATTATAAGATACCTCTGTGAGGCTGATTTATTCTTATAATGAAGTATAGCTTAAATAGAGGGGAGACAAAGAGACTTACTCTTTTATAGGAGGCAAGAGTTTCCTAAATAAAGTTAAGTATAGGGTGTGTATCTTAAATAGAGGGTAAGTGTATCCTAAATGAGGAGGACATGGGAGGTTTATCTTAAATAGAAGTGAGCTTAGGAGACGTATCTTAAATAGAGGAAAGATTAGGAGGTTGTCTTGTATGAAGGACAACTGTATCTTAAATAGAGGAAAGATTATGAGGTTTATCTTGAATAGCGGGCTAGTGTATATCAAATATAGGGGAGCTTTGGAGGTTTATCTTAAATAGAGGGAATCGCTTAGTCAGGTTTCCTTACTCAATGGTCTATCTAATTTTGAAAAACGTAGCTTAAATAGAGGTGTAGCCTGTGTTGAGAGTATCTTATAATGAGCTTCGACTAGATTTTAAATAAATCATAATAAACATAAATTAAAATATACAGGCTCATCGTTACTATTATCCGCCCAGAATTCCACTTCCGTTGCCTACATGTTTTCACAACCCTACGGGTTACCCCTGTTGCAATCCAAGTATTTTTAAATTTAAAAATAAAATTTTGATAATTTAAAGAACTCAACGACTTAATTGTGGAGACTTACACAATGCTAGAGAGCAAACCGAGATTTCATACATGTTTTTTTTTAATTTTTTGGTTTACCTAGGAATTTAATAATTTAAGGTAATATTAATGCTATTGCTCAGCACCTGCAGATTAGGGCTGAGACGAGGTGAGGGGAAAAGAGATTTTTAAATTAATCTTCCGATTTTTTTCTGATTTTTTAAAATTTTTTTCTGATTTTTTCCTGAATTTTCCTCTGATTTCTGATTTTTTTCTTTTTTCTGAATTTTCTCTGATTTTTCCAATTTTCTTGTTATAGTACATTAATGCTTTAAAAATTCAAATAAAATCTTTAATTTAAAAATAAAAGGTTTAACATGTCTTTCGAGACAGTCGCTGCTTTTGACGATTTTGCACAGAAGGTATCTTTGGATAGAACTTAAAATATAATTAAATTACATAAAGTCGGAGTTCACTATAAAACATCCTTAGTACTGAAAAAATCGTAGCTTATAATTAAGTGTATCTTAAATAGAAGGTAGCGCTTAGGTCTCTTCCTTATGCAGTGTCCAACCAAATCTAAAAACATGTCTTAAATAGAGGTGTATCTCTCGAAGTACGATTGTAATGATACATTCTTAAATAGAAAGTATCGCCTTAAGGAGCTCTATCTTCACCAGTAGCCCACCAAATTTTAAAAAAGCATCCTAAACTTACATAGGTATATCCATGATTGGATATATCTTATAGAGAGATCCGACTGTATTTTAATTTTAATATTTTTAATAGATTCATTTTGCCGGCGATCTCGTATGCAAAGTTGAATTGGGTGGAAAGTGTGTTTATTTAATTAAAAATCTTTATTAAATTCTTCAATTATTTTTAAAATCTATATTCCCATAGGTATATGCTTGCCTACGCAACAGTGAAAGATGTTTCACGGGTTCTTTCAGTCGAACCGAGTGAACAGCAAAATGAAGGCGGAGCTGAAGGTTCTGCAGCTTCTAATAATATTTCTGGAAAGAGAAGAAAACGACAAGGTGATGAGTTAAGAGTGGTTCTCATTTTTAGATACCCCTCGAGCTTGGAAAAATGTACCTTTTGGAGTATTGCTTGAGTATTACCTCCCCCCCCCCCTCCGCCTCAATTGTCATTCAAGTTTTAAAACGTATCTTAAATTGAAGTGTGTATTAGAGATCGGACTGTGAGTGTCGTACGAGAATCGAGATCTCGAAAAATTCTCGATCTCGATAAATCTCGATCGACACCTCGAAAAATTTTATCGAACAAGAATCGATGTCTCGAAAGATTCTCGATCTTGATAACCGAGATTTCCCAACGTTATCTCGACTCGGTCTGGTCTCTAGTGTATATATTCCATTGTGAGGGGTGGGGTTATTTTATAATGATGTTCAAATATGATTAAGTTAAGTATAAGTGATTATTTTTCAGCTAAAAAGCAAAAATAAACCTAATTTTCAGTTTATGGTCCAGAGCTTCCAAAACCTTTAAATGACTTAACTAGGCATTATTCAATGTGGATATGAAGCAAAAAGTCTTTTAAACTGATGATTAAAAAAAACACAACTTTAATAAAATAACTTTTATTAGTATTTATTATTTGCAATAATTTCACAATTTTTGTTTTACAAATTTGTTTTTTAATTAAATAAGGTAAAAATAACGAGAAAATGCGTTAGCAAATAAATAATTTAAATTATTTATAATTGTAAAATTCTGATTTTCCATGTTTGTCAATTAAAGCCTTTACGGAATTGTAAATAAAATAGGTTTCCTGGTTACAAAATATTTTTTACAAATACAAATTCTGATTTAAAAAATACAAATTTTGACTTCACAAATACAAATTCTGATTTTAAAAATTCAAATTCTGATTTTAGAAGTACAAATTCTGATTTTAAAAATTCAAATACTAATTTTAAAAGTGCAAATTCTGATTTTCACAAATACAAATTCTGATTTTAAAAGCAAATTCTGAATTTACAAATTTAAATTCTGATTTAAAAAATTCAAATACTAATTTTAAAAGTGCAAATTCTGATTTTCACAAATACAAATTCTGATTTTAAAAATTCAAATACTAATTTAAAAATACAAATTCTGATTTTCACAAATAATAATTCTGATTTGAAAAATACAAATTCTGACTTCACAAATACGAATTCTGACTTCACAAATACAAATTCTGATTTTAAAAGCAAATTCTGAATTTACAAATTTAAATTCTGATTTAAAAATACAAATTCTGATTTCTTTTTAACTTCCGGAATTAGCAGAATAATATTGTATATTTTCCGGAATCAATTACAACCAATACATTTTTTACAAATGCAAATTTAATATTCCGGAATTCTTCAACTTCCGGAATAGCATAAAAACTCTTCCCTATTTTTCCGATTTCTCATATTAAAATTAATATTAAACAAAAATTGTAACCTTATTATAGTATTTCTCTTTAATGATTTACCGCCTATTTAACCAAATTGCCTTATTCCAAATAAAAACAAAAAGCTCGGAATTGTCCCTTTCCGAATTTAATCAAAAAATGACTGGTAGGGTATATAGTATTTATTTTTAATAAATAAGTCAGTGGCATGTCGGTGATTTCAAAGAGAAAATAAATTTATTTAAATAATCCTTTTATTTATTTCTGAGGTAAATAAAGTGTCAGATGTTGAAAATTTGCCGAAACTTATTTTTGTATATTTTTTTATTTTTTTAATTAATTTTAGTAAAAATAAACAAAAAAAATTTTCCATTTATTTTCATGTATTTCCTTATCAACCAAAAATTTTTTTTATTTTTTGGTCATCACCCCATTGCTTAATTTTTTTCTCTAGTCTCATAATAATAATGTTGATGGTTTCTCCCTTACTTAAAATCACTTTTTTTTTCTTTTTAGACTTTAATATATAAAACAAATAAAAATAAAGCTATATAGTAGTTGTTAGATGCTGTCGGGGAGGGATACAAAAATAATTTTTTGAAAGGAGAAAGATATTTTGCCTTATCAGTGATTTTACTTTTCATACGATTCTTTTATGTGCTAAAATAATAAACTATAAACTATGTACTATGTAATAATTATTCTCAGAAATGAGTGAAATTGAGGGCCAAATTAAGATTTATTTATAAATTTATACTACTAATATTTGTTAGTAAGTACAGTAGAACTTGATTACAAATTGTAATTTTTAGATAAAAATATACAATATATAAGTTCGGAACCTAATTACAAATTGTAGTTTTAAATTTAAAGTTAATTACATTGTATTTTTGAAATAAAACTTAATTTACAAATTGTAGGGACAAAATTACAAATTATAATTATTATATAAAACTTTTTTACAAATTGTATTTCTGAAATAAAAAATTGTAATGCTGATTGTAATGTTAAATTTTATATCAGAATTACAATTTATAAATAAATTTTTATTTCAGAATTACAAATTGTAAATTAAGTTTTAATTTAGAATTTTTACAAATTGTAATTAAAATAAAACTTTAATTATATATTGTAGTTTTAAAATAAAACAAACTACAAATTGTAATTCTAAATTAAAACCTAATTTACAATTTGTAATTCTGAAATTTACTTGATTACGAATTGTGATTCTGACTTAAAACCTAATTTAAAAATTGTAATTCTGAATTAAAACCTAATTCACAATTTGCGATTCTGAAATAAAAATTAAATTACAATTTGTAAATCTGAAAAAAACTTAAATTACAAATTGTAATTCTGAAATAAAAACTTAATTTACAAATTGTAATTCTGATATTAAACTTAATTTACAAATTGTAATTCTGATATTAAACTTAATTTACAAATTGTAATTCTGATATTAAACTTAATTTACAAATTGTAATTCTGATATTAAACTTAGTTTACAAATTGTAATTCTGATATTAAACTTAGTTTACAAATTGTAATTCTGATATTAAACTTAATTTACAAATTGTAATTCTGATATTAAACTTAGTTTATAAATTGTAATTCTGATATTAAACTTAATTTACAAATTGTAATTCTGATATTAAACTTAATTTACAAATTGTAATTCTGATATTAAACTTAATTTACAAATTGTAATTCTGAATTAAAACCTAATTCACAAATTGTAATTCTGATATTAAACTTAATTTACAAATTGTAATTCTGATATTAAACTTAATTTACAAATTGTAATTCTGATATTAAACTTAATTTACAAATTGTAATTCTGATATTAAACTTAATTTATAAATTGTAATTCTGATATTAAACTTAGTTTACAAATTGTAATTCTGATATTAAACTTAGTTTACAAATTGTAATTCTGATATTAAACTTAATTTACAAATTGTAATTCTGATATTAAACTTAGTTTATAAATTGTAATTCTGATATTAAACTTAATTCACAAATTGTAATTCTGATATTAAACTTAATTTACAAATTGTAATTCTGATATTAAACTTAATTTACAAATTGTAATTCTGATATTAAACTTAATTTACAAATTGTAATTCTGATATTAAACTTAATTTATAAATTGTAATTCTGATATTAAACTTAGTTTACAAATTGTAATTCTGATATTAAACTTAGTTTACAAATTGTAATTCTGATATTAAACTTAATTTACAAATTGTAATTCTGATATTAAACTTAGTTTATAAATTGTAATTCTGATATTAAACTTAATTTACAAATTGTAATTCTGATATTAAACTTAATTTACAAATTGTAATTCTGATATTAAACTTAATTTACAAATTGTAATTCTGATATTAAACTTAATTTACAAATTGTAATTCTGATATTAAACTTAATTTACAAATTGTAATTCTGATATTAAACTTAATTTATAAATTGTAATTCTGATATTAAACTTAGTTTACAAATTGTAATTCTGATATTAAACTTAGTTTACAAATTGTAATTCTGATATTAAACTTAATTTACAAATTGTAATTCTGATATTAAACTTAGTTTATAAATTGTAATTCTGATATTAAACTTAATTTACAAATTGTAATTCTGATATTAAACTTAATTTACAAATTGTAATTCTGATATTAAACTTAATTTATAAATTGTAATTCTGATATTAAACTTATTTTATAAATAGTATTAACATAATAAACAATTTGCAAATTATATTTCTGCTATGAAACTAAATTACAAATTGTACTTTAGTGATAAAACAAGATCACAAATTGTAATTCTGAAGTATAAAATGATTGATAATTAAAAAAAGCTAATAATTAAAATTAGAAGAGTAATTAAAATTTTATAAATTTTATTGCTTGAAAAAAAAAGGTAAAAAATTCAAAAATAATTAGCCAATCAGTGTGTGTATTTATGGAGGTGGAGTTTGTCGAGCGCAAACTTTCTTCTTCGCTTACTGTTAATAGGTAATGGAAAAAAATAAAAGTTAATGTTTGTAAATTGGGACGATGGAGAAATATAAGGATTGTCACTAGAATGTGGTTTAAGGAGTTAGTAATAAATTTATTTGATCATTTATTAGCTAAAAAGTAGTAGTCGTTTAGTATTTGTTAACTTGTTTATTTTATTATTAAATCGAAAATTTGCTTAATTGTTCTGATTTAATTAGTGAGCTGAATTACAACTTGTAATAATTATAATTCTGATATTTTTATTTCTGAAAATTCTGATTTTTTATAGGGAAATTCTGATTTTTATAGGGAAATTCTGATATTTTATAGGGAAATTCTGATATTTTATTTCTGAAAATTCTGATTCTTATTTAAAAAATTAAAATTCTGATTCTTATTTAAGAAACCAGAATTCTGATTTTTTAAGAAAATTCTGATTTTTATTTTTAAAAATTCTGATTTTATTTTTTCTTTAAAACTAATATTCTGATCTTATCATTTTCTAAAATAAAAGAATTTTCATTTGAATTTTCGATAACCTTAAGAAATATTAAAAAATAATTTTAAAATAAATATGTAAAAATTATTTTAAGAAAATTTATAAAATAAAAATGTGTGACTGATAATAATTTATGAAAAACCTTTCCTATTTTATCCGAGTCCAGTCTTCACACCCTCCGCCTATTTATAATCAGTGAGTGCCCTGTTTCTAGATTAGATAAAACCAAAAAAAATAATTTTTGTGCACTTGGAAATAAAATATTATCTTATTTTTATTTTAAATATTTATTTTTTGATTAAATTTTAATTTATATAGTAGTACTGATAATGATTCGGAATAATAACAATTAATAAGATAAGCTTTGATTGCCTTAAGAGTTAATTAAAGTATTGATTTGATAATTTAATTCTGAAAATGTAGAATGCTAAAATTAAAAATTCTGATTATTAAATTAGTAGGGATTTTAAGATTATAATTACAAATTGTAAACAAAACTTTCTTATAAATTGTTATTTAAAAAATTCTAATTTAATTAATTTACTTAATTACAAATCGTACTTTTTCTACAAAACTTTTACAAACTGTAATTCTAAAATAAAACTTTTTTACAAATTGTAATTTGAAATAAAATTTAATTACAAATTGTAATTCTGAAATAAAACAAATACAAATTGTAATTTTTAATAAAACTTTTTTACAAATTGTAATTCTGAAATAAAACTTTTTTACAACTTGTAATTTGAAATAAAATTTAACTACAAATTGTAATTCTGAAATAAACAATTACAAATTGTAATTTTTAATAAAACTTTTTTACAAATTGTAATTCTAAAATAAAACTTAATTACAAATTGTAATTCTTATATAATATTTAAATACAAATTGTAATTTTTACCAAACTTTTTTTACAAATTGTAGTTTTAAAATAAACAATTACAAATACTACCTAATTTTAAAATAAACCGGTTTTACAAATTGTAATTCTGAAATCTTCGTAAATTACAAATTATATTCACAATTTATAATTAACCACTTTACCTTTAGGATTTTTACAATTAATATTCTGAAATAGTTTTGTATCTTACAAATCCTGATATTATTTATATTACTCCATCAACTTGCTCACCTTTTCAACACCGATTACTTAAAAAATTATGGGTACTCCATCACTCTGTTATGGTGATTCTACTTCTCTAAATATCCCAATTAGCGCAAACACCGATCATCCTTTTATTTCTCAAAATAATAGTGCTTATATTAATCCACTTACTGCTTATGGAAGCCCAGAACAATCAACGGCTTTTTACTATCCGGTTGACTCTCTTGGTTGGTGTAATAATGAGTGAGTTTAGATAAGGGATTTGGATTTAAAATTTTCTTAATAGATGGTCTTCGGTAACTGTTCCTCCCTTAATGGTAGAGCCTCAACTGTTTGTTTCTCAGCAAGATGATGGATCGTCAGTTTCGAGTTCACAATTAATACCTATCCAATATCCCCCTGATATGTCTATGGTATTAGTTGGTAATTCCAACAGTTCTGGATTGTTACTTCAACAACAATTGACTGATCATGAATGTGCTTCCTGTGGGAGATTGTTTGATCACTTGGGAAAGGATGCGTTTGGGTATTAAATTTTAAATATTTTTTTAAAAATTCTGATTTATTCTGATTTTTTCTGATTTTTCTGATTTGTTCTGATTTTTTCTTATTTTTCTGATTTGTTCTGATTTTTTCTGATTTGTTTTGATTTTTCTGATTTGTTCTGATTTTTCTGATTTTTCTGATTTGTTCTGATTTTTCTGATTTGTTTTGATTTTTCTGATTTGTTCTGATTTTTCTGATTTGTTCTGATTTGTCTGATTTTTTTTGATTTGTTCTGATCTTTCTGCTTTTTTCTGATTTTTCTGATTTTTTCTGATTTCTTTCTGATTTTTTCTGATTTTATTCTAGCACTGATTTGATATTATTCTGATTTTATTCTAATCTGTTTCCAATTAAATCAACACTTTCAGTTATTCTATATGCGACAATTGTGCCCAGCCTGCCGCATTACTACATGCTCAACAACAGCAGGTGATTTACAAATCAGACTATAAATTCTATTCAAATTTAAAAATTTTTTCCTATTTTTAAGACGTTATAAATTTTATTTTTAGTCCTGCCCTTATATTATGGATCTCGGATCATGCCCTTCCGCATCATTCATTACCACATCCGGTGAGGCTTTGTTACACAACAGCATTCAACAAAATATTGGAGGAATGATGGTAATTTTCCTTTTTTATCAAAATTTTTTTTTATTTTTTAAAGCACCCCCCACAATCACTACAACAACAACAATTTTGTTCTTCCGAGTTTTTGCTTCCACAACCTCAACAACACCAACAACCTATTGCAACTCAATTATCTCCTCTAAATTCAGGGAATTTTCCTACCCTACCTAAAGTTAGGGGAAGAAAGCCGAATAGTGGGAAAAGAAATGTGTTGAAAGGAGGTAAGGAAATTTTGATTAAATTCAGAATAAGACCAGAATTTACAAATCAAAATAAATTACAAAATCAGCATAAAACCAGAAATTACAAAACAGAATAAAATCAGAATAAGATCAGAACAAATTATGAGACATAATAAAATCAGAACAAATTAAATATCAGAATAAATTTAGAATAAATTACACATCAGAACAGAGTCAGAATGAAACAGAACAAATACGAAAAATAATAAAATCAGAATAAATTACAAAATTCAATAAAATTACAAATCAGAACAAAGTCAGAATAAAATCAGAACAAATTATTAGACATAATAAAATCAGAATTTAGAAATCAGAATAAATTACAAAGTCTAATAAAATTACAAATCAGAATAAAATCAGAATAATTAACTTAATTTTGTTAGGTCCAACAAAAGCCTTACCAAAACCAGAAAAAATGGATGATATAGTTATAGATGAATCCAGTTCAGATTCAAGTGCTTTGGTAATTTCGAAATAATTTTAATTTGAAATAAAACATAATAAATTTTAAAGAATTGCCCTCCCCCTATGCCTACACAAAAACGGCAGAATTTAATTTGTAGCAATTGTAATACTACGATTACTACGCTTTGGAGAAGAAATAATAATGGGGAACCTGTTTGCAAGTATTTTAGATATTTTAAAATTTTTGATAAATATTTTTAATTTATTTTGTAGTGCTTGTGGCCTTTACTATAAATTGCATCACATAGCCCGACCTCTAACTATGAAGAAAGAAACTGTCCAAACAAGGCAAAATAAATTTTTTTTAATCTTATATTTTAACAATTTATTTATTAAAAGATAATTTTTAAAAAATAATTCGTAAAAAAATTTTTTTTAATTTAGAAAACGAAAGCCTAGAAATGGAACTCTGAGCAAAAGAGAAAAGAAAGCAGTAAGTACTCTAATTTACCAATGTTTTAATTATAACAAATTAATTTGAAAAACATTTAAACAAAACTAAAACAAGTTTATCAAAACATGTTTATTTAGATCAAGTTTATCACAAACAAGTTTACTTAAAACAAGCTTATTTAAAACAAGTTTATCAAAAACAAGCTTTAAATAAACATGTTTTATTTAAAGCTTGTTTTAAATAAACTTGTTTTCGATAAATAAAACAAGTTTATTTAAAACAAGTTTTAAAATTGTTTGTTTTTTTCAGCAACAAGTTGCTAATTTATTCGAACAAACTCAACAACAACTAAATGAATTTAATTTTAATGATATAAAATTCAAACAAGAACAACAACAACATTATTACCCCTCATATTATGTAAATACAACAATTGGAGAAATGAACATCGAAAAACAAATAAAACAAGAAGGAGGCGGAGTCCCAACATCAATTAAAGTTGTAAGTTTGGAAGAAGAAAACAATTAATTAATGTTCTGTATTTTTTGTGTTTTAAAATGTTTTGATGTTTTTACATGTTTTTACATGTTTTAATGTTTTTATACGTCCATTTAATTAATTCTGTTAATAATTTTTTTAATAATAAAAATCAGAAAAATTTATTTTTATTAAAAAATGCTGATTAATTAAAAAATTAAGATTTGCAATGTTTTTTGCACATAAATATATAGTTTATCACCATATCAGAAATACTCTCATTTTGATTTTATTAATTCATTTATCATCGTTGAAACGTTGACGAAGCTCATTAATTTTGATCGAAGCTCCAGAGATATCTATTAAATTTAAATGTTTTAATGAGGCAAAACAACAAATAAAAATAAGACACCTTGTTTAAGTTTAGCATTAACCCCATTTTGCCCTCCACTTTTCTCATCAGATGTCGTAGCAACTGCATTGAACTTTGCAACAAGATTGGCTACAGTCTCTTAATTATTTTTAGTTTTTTTTATAGTGAATAAACATGTTTGTTTGATAAAAACATCTAAACAAACATTTATAAAACAACACTTACAGAAACAAACATTTACAGAAACAAACATTTGTATAAATGTTTAGTTTAAATGTTTGTAACAATGTTCGTCAAAATTAAATAAACTTGTTTATAGAAAATAATTAAACTTGTTTCTAAAAAAGAAACTTGCTTCTAAAAAATAATTAAACTTGTTCTTATAACTTATGTTTTATTAGAAAAACATGTTTTATTTTAACTTTTTTATAAACAAGCTTTGAACACCACAATGTTTTGTTTAAAACTTTGTTTGTTTAAAACTTGTTTTGACTAAAATTTTTATAATTGTTTTGCTTTTCATAAAATGTTTCTGTTTAGATTTTTATGTTTTTGTAAATGTTTTTGTGTAAATTAAAACTTGATTTAATTGTTGTAAACAAAACAATTTCTCGCTTACTTTTCGATTTGATTTGTTCAAACAATTTTTGTTCGCACGCGTCTGTCGATTGTTGTGTTTGTAATTGTGGTGTTTTTGTTGTGTGGGTATCCTCAATTTTCAAATTATTTAATGTTGGTGTTTCAGAAACTTTTTGGTGGTTTTCTTTTGGCGTTGAGATAACGGGTGGGGGCGTTTGAGGCGGTGAATGTTTTTGATCCTCTTCAATTTTCTTCTCTGCTTCATATTTTTCAATTTCCTCGTTTTCTGCCTTTTCAACAGTGGCATAATTCTTCTCCTCATTTTCCATCTTTTCAACATAACTTTTTGCTTCATTTTCAACCTCATTTTCAAGGAGTTCAAGCTCTTGGTCAAATTCACTCGACAAACGCTTTGAGGCATAAACGTTATTTTCTAGAAAATGAGTGAATTTAAAATAAATATTTAAGCATAACCTTGATTAGTATAAGGCAGTTCTTGTTGGCTATATGGAGTTACTGAAACATTCACCTATTTAAATAGAAAATGTTGGAAGTTTTTGAGTTTAAAAATTTTATGAAAAAAAAAATGTTTGAAAACTTGTTTTTGATGTTTTTATGTCTTCTAAACAAAGTTTAAAACAAGTTGTAAAAGTAACTTGTTAGAATATTGTTTTAAAAATGTTTTTGAGAACAAGTTAGTAAAGTTTTTGTGTTTTTGAGATGAAGTTATAAACAAGTTGAATAAAACATTCTAAAACTTGTTTTGGAAGCTTGTTTCTAAAACAAAGCTGTTAAAGTTTTTGAACCGTTTTTAAAGTTGTAAAAAAGTTGCATATTTTAAGTTTCAAAAAGATGTCAGAAACTTGTTTATTTTGAAATGTTTTAAAAAAAGTTTTGTAAAGTTTCAAGTTTTAGCTGTGTGTTTTATTTTGAATTAAACATTTAAATAAACATGTTTATGAAAAAATCCCAACTAGTTTCAACTTACATCCCCCGGCAAGTCATCTTCTTGGACAACATCATCAGAAACAAAATTGTGGCTTTTACCATAATTAGCATATTTTTCCTCTTCTTCGTCGTCAAAAGAAAATGAGGATGAATTATAATCAGCTAAATTTTGTTGTTTATTTAAATATTTATCCTCTTTAATTTCATCATTGCTACTCATTTTTTCTTTAATTTTATTTTTAAAAAATGAAATAAATTATTTTATTGATAATAAAATGTAATTAAATTTTTTTAAATTTGTGTTTATATTGAATAAATATGAGTCGACAAAATTGCTTATCTTTCGTTTTGATTTTAAAAAGAGAAAAGCGAACGCTTAAGGAATGTTCTGCATTTTAAAATAGCAAAAAATTGGGAAAATGTTGGAAAAATATAAAATGTTTTGAGAGTTGATTTTGTTTAGAAACATGTTTAATTTTTGCAAAACATTATTGTTTTAATTTGTAAAAACATGTTTTTAGAAAATAAACTTGGACAAACCTTCTAAACATTAATAAAAATAAAAACTTGTTTGGTACATTCAAAACATTACTAAAAATTCAAAGAATGTTGTATTCAAGCTTAAAACATGTTAAATATTATTATAAAACTGTTTTAACACAATTAAAAACATTATTAGAAACAAAACATGTTTTTAGAAAAATAGAATGTTTTGTGAAAATAAAGCATGTTTTGAAAATAGAAAAAAGAATAAAACATGTTTTGTAAAAATAAAACATATTGTGCATGTTTTGGAAAAATAAAACAAGTTTAGCAAAGACAAAACATGTTTTGTAAAAATAAAACATATTGTGCATGTTTTGGAAAAATAAAACAAGTTTAGCAAAGACAAAACATGTTTTGTAAAAATAAAACATGTTTTTGAAGATTAAAACATGTTTTGTAAAAAATAAAACATGTTGCCATGTTTGGACAAAATAAAAACAAGTTTTGCAAAAACAAAACATGTTTTGGAAAAATAAAAGATGTTGTGCATGTTTTGGATAAAAGAAAACAAGGTTTTCAAAAACAAAAACATGATGTAAAAACATAAAGACAAAATCGTGTTGTAAGAACATAAAATTCTAAAAGCAAAATAAAACTTAAAATTAAACTTATTTGAGAAAAACATTTTAAAATTAAAAACAAGTTTTTCCAACATTAAATGTTAGAAAGTGCAATAACAGAAAACAACAAATGATAAAACAGAAAAAAATTATTTTAAAATTTATATTTATATGTTAATCATCAACAACCGTTCATTTTTTAAAAAAATCTAAGCAATGTTATTTTTATGGGACATTTAATGTTGTGAAGATGACTAATAAAATAAAAAGAAAATTTTTTGTTTGTGTGACTAGCTGCTGTTTTGTGGGGATTGTTATAGGCTATAAGGGGGATGGTTGAAGGGGAGGAGGGGAATGACTTGTGGGAATTAAGGATTGATTTGTATATTTATTTATTTTGGTTAAAAGATGAAAATTAAGATTAATGTGGTCAGAGATGTGGGTGGATAAACAAAGTTTTGGAAGTTGGGAAAGCAATGTTTTAATAAACAAAGTTTTAATAAACAAAGTTTTAATTTTTGACTTAAACAATGTTTTGAACATGTTTCTAACAAAGTTTTTAACAAGTTAAACAAACCTTTAGAAGTTTTGTAAAACAATGTTTTAGAAAAAAAAATTGGAAAAGGTTGTTAATGTTTTTAGAAGTTTAAAACAAGTTTTAAATGTTTTAAAAATAAGCTAGCTTTAAAACTTGTTTTAAATAAACTTGAAATTTTTTAAAAACATGCTCATGTTTTAAGTTTGTTTTTGTTATTGAAACTTAAATAAACTTGTTTTTAAGTTTTTAGTTTGTAAAATTGTTTGCAAACATTAAGTTTCGTAAACATGTTTTAAGGGAACATTTTGGAAGAATTTTTTAAAAACAAGTTTTAAAATGTTTTAAAAACAAGTTTTGTAAAGTTTGAAGTTTTAGTAAGTTTTTAGGAAAAATGCTAAAACAAGTTTCAAAACAAAGACTAAAACAAAAACTACTATTCAGCATTCTTGACTATTTCAAGCATAACTTTTTAAATATTCAACCAAAAATTCTGAAATTTTTAATGGAGTTGGGTAACATACTTAGCTACATTTATGCCAAATTTTATGGATATAGGTCAATTTTTGTATTTTTAAAAAAATTCGCAAGAACGTTACCCCAAGACGACGTGCCCGTTACCAAAAAGACAATTTATCATTAAAATTATTTATTTTAAAAATTTAAAAATATTTAAGAATTAAAATGGCTATTCTATAGGGGAAAGGATAAGGAAAAATAAGAAATATAAGCTAAAGCCCAAGATATTATCTCTCTCGCTCATCTGCTTATGTATGCAATAGTACAGCTAATTTAAGGAAATGCTTTACATGCTATTTTAAAATAAAATAACAATCTATAAATTTTGGAAGGAAAAATTATTTTAATAACAGTCGGCCCTTGCTATAAAATATCCTCTTAGGATTGGAAAAACAATAAATTGTATCTTATAATGAGGTGTAGATTAAATAGAAGGTATGGCTTGGGCAGCTTCCTATTCCCAGTGGTCTTTCAAACCTGCTTATTGGTACACCCTTGGGGCTAAAAATAATACTATATAATGGGGCTCCACTATGGCCAATTAATTAAATAGACCCCCGTCCCAGTGGTCTCTAATATTGTGGAGTATCTATGATCGGGGAATGAATGTAATATTAAATAGAAGGTATCTCCTAGGCAGCTCCCAAGCCCTGTGGGCGGAGGTGAATCGTATTTCTGATTTCGACTTCCGATTTCTGAAAATTTAGGCTGATTTCCGAGTTCCGACTTCTGAGCCATTTCCGATTTCCGACAGTTCCGAGTTCCGACACCTTCGTCATTTCCGATTTACCACTGCCTATGGGTAACCAAATTAAAAATCGTATTTTGAATAAATAGAGATATTGGGGGTATCTTATTTACAATGAGCCAAGACAGTATTTTAATTGAGAATTTTGAATTTTAAATTTAAATTTGTTTTCTTGACTCAATATCAATGGAAATGACTAAAATGACATTTAAAAAAAGTTATTACCCGTCTACATATTTTTTAATAAAAATTACGAATGAGTAAAAAGCGATAAGAGTGAATAAAAAAAATTTTAAAAAATATTTCTCGACGTTCCCTATCATTTAAAACAAAAATTAATGTGAAAGACGTATTTTTAGATGGTGCTAAAAACATTTGGACAGCGAGAGAGAGGATTGAATAATGACTTTGTCAATAAATTAAAAAATATAATGAAAATTGTAGCTGACATTACTGTAGGATACCCTTAAATTGGAGCTGGATTCCGACCTTTCTGGATCAAAATTGGGAGAATGATTATAACTGAGTTTTTAGTGACCAGGCCGGACTGACCTCCGGCCTGGTTTTCCGGAGTCCACGTCCCAAATCCTGGTTCTCCGGAATTTTTCCGGACCGCATTAATTTATCAAAGGAATTTGGCACTCAAACATCCAGGCACTCAATCTGGCACTGAAACAGCTTTAATAAAGTAAAAAAGCAAAATGTCTGACGTCTCTCTTCTTTAATCACACTATTTTCAATGATCTCGATTTTCCGGTGACCGGAACGTCCCACTTCAGTCCCGCCATTTCAGTCCCGCCATTTCAGTCCTGCCATTTCAGTCCCGTGCCATTTCAGTCCCAGCCATTTCAGTCCCGCCGTTTCAGTCCCCCCTATATGGGGACATTTCAGTCCCCAATGGTTTTTATTGTTGTACCAATGATTGTTATTGTTTATTTTTTTGTTTTAAATATTTTCTAGGTTCTTTAGGTGGTCTTCCACAACAATTAGCAACAGACCTGCTCATGGGCACGGATATGGATACAGATAATATCAAGAGCCTGCGGATATCCGTCTGTATCCGCCGTAAATATCCGGATACGGATACCAAAATCAGTATCCGTGAGCAGGTCTGATTAGCAATAACCAACAACAATTAGTAACGAAAAAAAAATAATTTTTAATGGAAAATCAAAAATTTTTTAATTTTTTAAAATTCTTAAATTTCTTCAATTTTCTTTAAAATTTCGGACTGCGAGAATTCTACGCTGAATGGAAATGTTTCTACTACTGACACATGGTTTATTTTTTAGTTTTTTGAAATTTTTTTATTTTCCCATTTCAAGAGGGAGCTATAGCATATTTTTAGGGGAGCATATTTTTAAATTTTTTAATTCAAGGCAATCCAGTCCTGGAATTTTTTTTATGTGTGTCGAGCAGATTGCTGCTGAGGTGATTCTGCTGACGGATTTGCTAAGACATATCAGGCACAGCCTTCAACAACCTACCCCAAACGGCCCTCTTTAGGGCCACAAATCTAATAAGTGAAACGAGGCATTGACTTCTATTTATTTTTTTGATAAATTTTTGTTTATTTGACTCGTTTTTTAAAAAAATTTCGTCCCCTGAAGAAAAAAAATCGAGACCAAAACTTCATCCTAAGTCAGAAAAACCCCAAGAAAAGCCTAGAATTAAGACTCGGTAGCTTTTAAGATGTTCTTTGTGTGATAAAATAATTATTTTCTATTCCATTTTCTTATTTCTAAAGAATTTTTATTTATTTTTTCACATGGGGACTGAAATGTCCCCATATAAGGGGGACTGAAACGGCGGGACTGAAACGGCTGGGACTGAAATAGCACGGGACTGAAATGGCAGGACTGAAATGGCGGGACTGAAACGGCGGGACTGAAATGGCGGGACTGAAATGTCCCCTACCGCCAGTGACGTCATCGAGAATTTACGAAATTTTTTTCAAATTCCGTGAGTGATCCCCCGAGCCTATCTCTACTAGAGACCGGCGCGCGACGGGATCCCGACGGGATTTTCCGGGATCCCGATCCCGAAATCCCGGATTTTTTTGATTTTCGGGATCATTCGGGATCCGGGATTTTTTCGGGATTTATCCCTCGGGATCCCGCCCGGCATCGGTTAAAAAATAAAATCCCGACTCGGGATCCCGGATATTTTTTATAATTTTCGGGATTTTTATAATTTTCAAAATTTTTGCCTGCGGCGCCGAAAAAAGAAGAAATCTGGCTTCTTTACCTCTCAAAATTCTCAAAATTTATTTCCGCAGCACATAATACGGAAGAAATCTGGCTTCTTGCTCCTCAAAATTCTCAAAATTTTCGCCTGCGGCGCTGAAATAGGAAGATAAGTTCATCCTTCCATACATCCCCCGATATTCCCCTAGATTTGATATGCTACGAATCCATCACTTAAAACCATATCCCTCAAAATTTACCCAAATACTCTGATGCCACTCTTAATCCACACAAATCCCAAAACGAAAATCCACCCAAATGCCACTCAAGTCTACGGAAACGTTCTGGGAGCGAGGTACGGACTTCTGTATATCCTAAAATATAGGATATAAGATAAAGGGTAAAACCTCGTGTATGTCTGTCATCACCTCAAATCCCTTGATATCCCCGATGTCCGTCGAACTCCTAATGGGGATTGTAAGACTCGATTGAGGCTTTGATTTACAAAATTGATATGACAGATCTTTAGACCTGTCAGATCATATCGGGGGACTTATACATACAACTATCATCGATATATCAACAACTCACCTAAGACCGGGGAGTTGTTGATTATTTAAACAAAGCCATTCCAATTATAAAAAATTATTGATATTTTTACAAATTTAATTGTATTTACATATAAATTGCAGTATTTTGATGCACTTTATTCATAAAAAGTATAAATTTTTTATTTTGAAAAAAAATCCCGAATCCCGGTCGGGATCCCGGGTAATTATTTTCGGGATTTTTGAAATTCGGGATTTTTTCGGGATTACTCCCTCGGGATCCCGTCCCGGCATCGGTCAAGAAAAAAAATCCCGACTCGGGATCCCGGAAATGCGATTTTGCCGGTCTCTAATCTCTACTTGAGAACCACGCACTGTGAACTAATCTACCTAATTTGTTTTTATTTTCAGCTATATTTATATATTTTTAACATTTATTTCAATCTAATAGCTCAATCAACGACAACATTAATTCACATTTTTAATGGTAAAAGAAAAGCGAAAAGAGCAAGCCTTTAGTTATAAAACAATTTGGTTTGGATTTTTTATTAGAATTTTTAAAAGAAATTTTTTCTAATTTTTTTTTTAGTGGTGGCCTAGAAATTGTCAATCCATTACCAGGTTATCCACAACCGTCAGTTTACAAAAAATTGCTTGGAAGTAGGTTGTCAGCAAAATGTGCGGATTGGGAAGCAAAGGTTTTTTTTAAATTAGTTGTGGAAGGGCTAGGGAGCAGGGCTGTCCGCAATTGCGGATTTTGGTTTTTTGGACTTGCGGACTGCGGTCTAGATAATTTGCGGTCCAAAGTCCGCAAATTTTTTTAATTTGCGGACAGCCTTGGTGGCGATTTTAAATTTTGTTTAACGAAACCAGATAGTTCTCTCTCAGAGGCACAGCTTGAAATGCAGTAACTTTTAGAAATCAGGGCAGTCCATCGTGAACCCAATAGCCAGACGAATATATAGCTTATTACTGATCATAGTGCTCCATTTCATTAGCTGTCGAAGTTTAAGAACTCCCTTGTTTATTAAATTTTGTTTAATTTTCAGTCTATTATCGAAGAATTAAAAAAGGATCCAATTACAATTCCTGAATTCGTTGCAAAATTTCAACATGTCAATCAAATTGAATGGGCACAAGTTTGGGTATTTTTTAATTTTTAACTCAAATTGGATAGCCCTATATGCGGACTTCCCTACCGGAACCTCGTTTTGATGAAAAATCGAAAACTCGATTCGAAACACGACCCAACTTTTTCCTTCCGATTCAAACGTTGACGGTCAAATGGGGAGGGCTGAGAATTGACATGAGTCAGGTCGAGTTTCGAGCCGGGTTTTAAAAATTTTTCTTTGGGTCGGGTTTACTCAAATTGGACTTAAAATAGTTGCCAAAAGGTTCTAGGCAAGTCTAGGTTTCAGGTACCCGTCCATCTCTGCTTGCCAAAGGCAGAAAGAAAGAAATAGGTAATAAAGCAAAAGGGGGGCCATAAAGTTGAATATTCCCAAAATATTTATTTTGCTATTTATCTCTTTTTCAGATGGATTCAATGGAAAATGCTTCAAAAGAATCAAAAGTCAAATACGTCAGAAAGAAGCAAGAAATGCATTATTATCGAATTATTGTTGACAAAAAATTTATTGAAGCAAACAAATTGCGTAGAAAATGTGAAATTTCGGTGATACTGAATACTGTTTGTTGGACTCCGAATGCTGACTGTGAACAATATACGGTTTATTTTTTTGTTTTTTGATAGGCTTTTTTATTTTTTGATAACCTCTCTTTAGGATACCCCCAATATTAGAGACACCTACCTCTATTTAAGATATTTGGTCGAAATTTGGTTAGCTATTTTGGGAGAGTTTATGGGGCTTAAGCGACATTTTCTATTAAGCCATACCTCATTAGAAACCTCAATAAAAGATACTTCCGATACTGGAGACTTCTGTTTATTGTTAGGATATGATTTTTGAGAGATTGGTTGACCATTGGTTGGTTTCCCTCTATTTAAAATACACATTAGGATCGGATCTTATTATAAGACACTCTCGATGTAAGATACACCTCTATTTAAGTGATATTTATTAATTTCGTTGGCCACTTGGAAAGAGGAGGTGGGCTGCTCAATTCCCATTTTTCTATCTCTGCTTGGGTTGGGGTCTTTGTCTAATTAATTATTTTTAAAATTTATTTTAAGGGTTTTGTTGATGAAATTTTTGAACGCGATTCTATAATTGTTGTAAAATTTTTTCCATCAAAAATCTATCCGCCAGAACATATGGATCCGTCTTTGGTTTTTTTTTAAATTTTTTTAATTTTTTCCAAAATTTTAATTTAGACATATCAAGTAATTGCTCTACCCAGTATATTTGTATTTAACACTCGTTGTCGTACTTTGGATACTTTGACTCAATTCCCTGAAAATTGGGCAAAATGTATTTTTCCTAGCTATAGAAATGAGCTTGCTAAACAATTGGTATATTTTTTTAATTTTTTAGAGAATTTTTAATTATTTAAAATACGTTCTGACATGAGGGAACTATGACGGTTTTTGTTGAGGAAATTTTGGGGGCGTTTTTGGTTGGGGAAGTTCAAGGAACTAGGCGTTTTGGCGCGAACTTGTAAAAAAGTGAATTACCTAAAAGAATATGTTTATCAAATCTTTCCAAAAATTTCAGAATTTTTGGATTAGAATTTCAGATCTTCTGACCAAAAATGGCGATTAATTACTCAAAAATGCCTTTTTTCGAGATAACTGTAAAAATATTTGATGAAAAATTCGTAAATTTTATGGACGAGATGGCCAAGAACGTAAATAGATCTTGAGAAAATATCAAGAATTTTAGAATTCGGCAAGAACATAGCCAGGGTGTCGATTTCGGAGGGTGGGGCTAACATGGGTGTGCGTCAAAATTTTGGCGAACATTTTGGCTACGCCCTTGGATTTCGACTGTGTCGATTTTAAAAGCGCGCCAAAACGTCTGGGCGCCAAAACAACACCTACCCATATTCTGGTTTTTTTTTAAATTCTGATTTTGAAAACTCAGAGTTTCTCACATAAACCACTAGAATTTTAATTTATTTTTTTAATTTTTAATTCTTGATTTTAAAAAAAAAAAGCTCCCAATAAAAAATTATGAATCTTTTGAAAAAGAATTTATTTCTTCAACAACATTTTCTCCTTCTCGCCAATTTAACTACAAACAAAAAATTGCAATTCACGCTATAGTTTCTGGTTTACATGGAAATATTCCCTATATTTTATTTGGACCTCCTGGAACTGGAAAAACTGTAACTTTGGTTGAATCTGTTAGATTAATTTGTGAAAATGATTCTATGGCTAGAATACTTGTTTGTACTCCTTCGAATACTGCAGCGTATAAAATTTTTTTTGATTTTTTTTTTATTTTTTTTTTGGTTAAATTTGGGGTCTTTTCTTATTTCTCTTTTTTGGATTTTCCTTTAAAAAAATTTTTTTGGGAAAAAAAATTTTGGGAGAAAAAAAAATTTTTTATTTTTTTGGATTTTCCTTAAAAAATTTTTTGAGTGAAAAAAAAATAATTTTTTTTTTAAATTTTTTTTGAATTTTTTTTATGATTTTTATAAGAAATTTTTTTTTCTGTTTTTGAATTTTTTTCTCGTCAAAAAAATTTTTTTTTGGGGATTATTCCAAAAAAAATTTTAGATTGGTTTAAGTCAGTGCAAAATATAGGCAGGACTGTGAGGGTCTTATAAGACTCGAAATCGAGAAAAAAATATTGCGAAAATTTCGATTCTTGATAAACTCGATTTTTTAGTCCTCGGACCGTCCTCTTATATAAAACCAAGGATAGGTCAGGGTTTAGAAAAAAATTCTGTTCGTTGGGCGGATCAGTACCGATGGGTTTTTGAAGGATTATTAATAAGGGGGTATTAGGAGATTTTGGAGGAATTTTTTAGAGTTGAAAATAAATGTCAACATTTTTCGAATTTTGGGTAACTTTGTGTGTGTGTCAGTAAGGCGATCAAAACAGGCAAATGAGTCTCGAGAAAATTTTTGGCCGGTTCCCTTTTCTGTCCCTGATATAAATACATTTATAAAAATTTATAAAAATTGAAAAAAAAATTAATTTTTCTTTTTCAGTGATGCCTTTACTCTTTGTTTAATGTCCACTAATGCTTTTACCTCAGGTTCTATTCTTCGAATATTTTCACTTTCAAAAGCTGTATATGAACAAAATGATGCCTTATTTGATAAAAATCAAAGCGTTTTGTGTATAAAGTTTGTTGATTTTTTAATAAGAATTTTTGGAAAATATTTTTCGAAATTTTTCTCAAATTTTAGAGACTCGTCTGAGGGCCCTCAATTTGGAATTTTTCCAAAAACTGAATTAATGGCAAAGAAGCGTGTAATAATTTGCACTTTGAATACTTCAACATATTTGGTATAATTTTTATTAAAAAAATTTTGAGAAAAATAATTTTTTAACGGAGTGGTTTATGACTGGGTGGTCCTCAAAAGCTCTGACCAACGTAAAATGGAATTTGTGCACAGCAACATAACCTGCAACCAAGAGCCGTTTCAGTGCATACTGAATTTTTCTCCTTTTCTTTTTACTCTATTTTTTTCGCGTGCTATTTTTATAAGGATATTGTCATTTTTGAGCTGCCAACTTTGAGAAGCTTTTTCTTGACAAAACGTTGGATCTTTAAAATTCTGTCTGGCAAAAACAAAAATAATACCCTAAAGATACTTTTAAAAAAATAACCCCTCAAATAAACCAGTATTTCGCTTTATAATCATCCATTTTGTATTAAGCGCTTTTAGAATTATTTTAGCCAGTATACAGTTCCAAAGTCTTCGATTTATATATCATTCGATTCGGCTCGTCGAGCTGAGTCAAATGGTACCACTATAAAGTCATAGAAATGACATTGGACCGAGATACATGCCTTTGCTTCAAAACGGGCTAAGACTCTAACTAAGACTCTAAAGATCTGGTTGCAGCCTTTGCCTATTTTAAGTTGCTGTGTTTGTGCAGTTTAGATTCACTTCCCCCATTTGTTTGTGAGTTAACAATAGAGTTAACAATAGTTTGTGAGTTAACAATATTACCACTACAAAACCATGCAACTGTTGTGACTCTCACTGGAGCGTCTCAACTAGTGTTCGGCACAATTCGGTACTACCGCTGTACTCTCGAAAGTATTGACTCGGTACTTTTTGGTACTACTGGTATTGGTCCATTTTGAGGTACGGTACTGATGAGATTTTCGAATTTTCGGTACTCAGTCAATACCAGTACTTTTCGGTAGTACTGGTATTGGTATTGAAAAATCCATTTGCCGAACACTAGTCTCTATACGACTTCTATAGGGTCCATTTACCATTTTGAGCTTGCGAATAAATATGTAAGTGAGCCCAAACTGCACACAAGTTCCCTTAAAACGGTGTGCGGACATATCGGGATTGGGGTGACAAAAATAATTTCTTGCGTGTTTACATTTGTTCTAAAACATAAAAATCTATTCCTCAATAGGACTAGTACTTTCCAAGACCCAGTGGCCGTAGGCCACGAAATCAGTAGGCTAAATGTTTGTACATGAAATATCCCGATATGTTCGTCTCGATATGCCTGCGTGTCCTTAAAACAACTTTTTTGGAATTTCTCTCATCAATATTTTTTGTCTTTTTTTTTCAGATTAACGGTGGTTTAAACGATTGTTTTACTCATATAATTATTGATGAGGCAGGACAAGCAGATGAACTTGAAGCTTTAATTCCTTTAGTTGGCCTAATAAGTCATTTAAATAACAAAACAAAAATAATTTTTGCTGGAGATCCAAAACAATTGGGGCCTGTACAGACTTGTGATCCTTTGAAAAAGATGGCTAAATGTAAGGGGGAAATTTAAAAAAAAAATTAAAAAAATAATTTTTTTGTAGCAATGGCTTTAATTGAACGTTTAACTAATTTTAATGGATTAATGAATTCTTTTGATTTTGACAAGTAAGAAAAAAAAATTTTGAATTTTTTAAAAATTAATGAATTTATTATGTAAATTAATTTTATTCTGACTTAAAAAATAATTCTGATTTGTTTTGGGTTGTAGTTATAACAATTCTGATTTTCATTTTATTCTGATTTGTTCTGATTTTAATTCTGGTTTCTGACATTTTTGATTTTTTTGGTTCTGGTTTGTTAATTCTGATCTTTAATTCTGATTTTTAATTCTGATTTTTAATTCTGATTGTTAATTCTGATCTTTAATTCTGATTGTTAATTCTGATTGTTAATTCTGATCTTTAATTCTGATTGTTAATTCTGATCTTTAATTCTGATTGTTAATTCTGATCTTTAATTCTGATTGTTAATTCTGATTTTTAATTCTGATTGTTAATTCTGATCTTTAATTCTGATTGTTAATTCTGATCTTTAATTCTGATTGTTAATTCTGATCTTTAATTCTGATTGTTAATTCTGATCTTAATTTAGATTTCTGATTTATTTGTTCTTTTAATTGTTCTGACTTTGAATTTTCAATAATTTTTTTTAATCAGAACATATCAGAATTAAACCTATGTATTAAGCTTATTTCTATTAAATAACTTAGGTTCGAATCCTACATATCAAAAATAATTTTTTGAATAAATAAATGATCAATTGTTAATTTGTTGTGTCAAAATTATCTTAAATTAATTTATAAATTTTTAAAATTTTTTCCTCAAAAAAAGGAGAATAACAACAATGTTAGAAAATAATTATCGTTCACATCCTGCATTTTTAACAATTCCTTCACAATTATTTTATGGTGGTAAATTATGCCCTAGTGCTCCTATTAAAACAAAGAATACATTGTGTCAATGGGATGATCTTCCAAATAAAAATGTAAATTTTAATTTAAAAAATCAGAATTATTCTGATTTTTACTTCGAATATTCTGATTTTTAATTCTGTAAAATCAGAGTTATTCTGATTTTTAATTTTGAAAAATCAGAATTATTTTGATTTTTGCTTCAGGATATTCTGATTTTTAATTCTGAAAAATCAGAATTATTCTGATTTTTGCTTCAGAATATTCTGATTTTTAATTTCGAAAAATCAGAACTATTCTGATTTTTAATTCTGAAAAATCAGAATTATTCTGATTTTTGTTTCAGGATATTCTGATTTTTAATTTTGAAAAATCAGAACTATTCTGATTTTCAATTATTTTTTCTTAAGAATTTTCCTCTACTTTGGCATTCAATTGTTACACCAGAATCACGCGATACCGAAAATAAATCTTATCAAAATCTTGCGGAATGCGATGTTGTTTGTGGTTATGTACAAAAATTAACTATTGGAGCAAAAGTTAAAGCATCAGATATTGGAATTATTACACCATATAGATTTCAGGTAGAGTTAAAAAGAGAGATAAGAATTACAATTTGTAAACTCTGATTTGTAAAATGTTTGGGAATGCAAATTCTGATTTTTTTAAATATTTTCTATATTCTGATTTTGTGGTAGTTGTGATTTGTAAATTATTCTGATTTTTAATTCTGATATTTAAATTGTAATTCTGTTTTGTAGGTCGTAATTCTGATTGAATTCTGATTTTTTGTTTTAATTTGCATTTCTGATTTTAATTATTCTGATTCTGAGTTACGGTTTTGATTTCTTATTTTAGTTCTGATTTGCGGTTTTATTGTTAATTTTGATTCTTAATTCTGATTGTAATTCTGACTTTCAGTTCTGATTTGTATTTCTGATTTTTAATTCTTATTTTAGTTCTGATTTTTAATTTAGATTGTAATTCGGATCGTAATTCTGATTTTTAATTCTGATTGTAATTCTGTTTTTTAATTTTGATTATAATTTTTATCTTTAATTCTGATTTTTAATTTGATTTTTAATTTTTTATAATTCTGATTTTTATTTTAGATTGTAATTATGTTTTTTAATATTCTATTTTCTCATATGCGGTTCTGATTTTTAATTTTTTGTAATTATGACCCGTTCTGATTTTCATGATTTTCTTTTTTGATTATTCTGATTTTTAGTTCTGATTTCAATAAGTCCGATATTTTAATTAATTCTGATTCTTCTACAGATTAAACTTCTCCGAAGTCGTTTTGCCAAAACACATCCTCAATTGCTTATTGATTCTGTTGAGAGATTCCAAGGATGTGAAAGACGTGTTATTATTATTTCAACTGTTCGTTCTAATGGAATTGGTTTTTTAGATTGCCAAAAAGTATTTTTAAAAAAATTAATTTTTTTTTTGAATATTTTTAAAATTTTTAGCGTTTCAATACAGCAGTTACTCGACCTATGGAATTACTTATTATTGTTGGTGATTCTCGTAATATGGCTAAAGTTGGTTGTTGGGGACGGTAAAAAAAATTTTTTTGAATATTATTTTAATCGAAATTCTGGGCCTTAAATTTTGATCTTTTAACACATAGATTCTGGTTTCTGAGATCAGAAATTTTGGCTGTTGAATTTTGTTTCTTAAAACCAGAAATTTTGATAATTTCTGGTTTTTTCTTCTTTCACCAATTAAAAATTTCATAATTTCTGATTCATGTTATCAGAATTTCTGATAAATTCTGATTTCTAAAATTGGAATTTCTGGTACATTCTGGTTTCTAAAATCTAAATTCTGGTAAATTCTGTTTTTTAAAATCAGAATCTGGTAAATTCTGGTTTCTAAAATCTAAATTCTGGTAAATTCTGTTTTTTTTAAATCAGAATTCTGGTAAATTCTGGTTTCTAAAATCTAAATTCTGGTAAATTCTGTTTTTTAAAATCAGAATCTGGTAAATTCTGGTTTCTAAGATCTAAATTCCGTTAAATTCTGATTTATAAAATCAGAATTCTGGTAAATTCTGATTTCTAGATTTTCTGATTTTCTTAACCAGATTTTTTTGGGGTTTTAATGGCTTCTAAAACCAGAAATTCTGGTAATTCTAAATTTAAAACTAATTTCTTTCATTCAGATTAATCACTTTTTGTCAACAAAATAATGCACTAATTAATTTTGGTTCATTACCTTCATTACCTTCAATTCCTTCAAACGACAATAATAGAAAGCTTCCTATATTATTTAAAAATAATGTTAATATTAAAGATCATATTGTGGAAGAAATAATAACATTGAAGAAAAATAAAAGAAATAATATGAAGAATTATAGAGGAAAATATTTTGTTAACAACAACAACAACAATAAATTTGCAACATTACAAAATCAACAACCAAAGCATTTGAAGAAGAAGAAAAATATGAACAATAAAAAAATGTGGCGTCAACAAATACGTCAACAAATACATCAACAAGAACAACAACATGAAAATTTGGTTGAAATTCAAAGAAAATTGATAGAAAAATTATTTTCTGAAGAGAAAGAGAAGAGAGAATTTGAAGAAGAGAAGGGAGAAAATAAATTTGGGGAAGAGGTGAAGGAAAGAAAAAATAGGAGGAAGAAGGAATTTGAAGAGGAAGAGGAAGAAGAAGAGGGTAAAGAAGAATTTAAGGAAGAAGAGGAGGAGAAGGAAGAAGAGGAGGAGAAGGAAGGGTATTCTGATAATTCTTCTGATTCATCTGATAATTCTTCTGACGAGTTTTCTTCATCATCCTCAACAACATCATCTGTTGAATCATTAACTAAAAGACTTGAAAAAATTGAAATGTTAGCTTTAAATTATCGTTGTGATAATAATGAAGAAAAACAAGAAGAAAGGAGGAAAAATGAGGAAGCAACAACAATTAATAAAATTAATCCTTTCAAAAAATTAAAAAATGAGACTAATAAGGATGATGAAATCAGACGAAATCAAAAACAAAATAATATAAGAATTGGAGGAAACAAAAATATGTTGAAAAATAATAAAGGGTAAGAAAAGGAGGTGTGGATCTGGGACCGGAATATCGAGTTTCGTTTATAGGAACTTGAAATTTTTGGATATCCAGGGTTTTTTTGGATTCGGTTCCTCCAAACTTACAAAATTAGTCATAGACTTAACAAGGGTTCTAGCCGACATAGAAAATATAATTCCCGATTTTCAAAATTTTTTTTTGGAATTTTTAAAAAAAAAATTTGATTCCTGCTTTTCGGAAATCGAATTTTTTTTAATTGTTAAAAAATTTTTTTCAGATTCCCGACCCTAAAAACGTTGGGAATTCCCGATTTTGTGGAATCGGTTCGTCTAGATCCGTGATACTTGACTATTAAAAAAAATTTTTTTCCGATTCCCGACTATAAAAACGTTGGGAATTCCCGATTTTTGTGGAATCGGATAGGCTAAACCACTGTTATTTGATCCCTTTTTTAATTTTTAGATTTGCACTTGGATCAAAAGAGAATCCTATTATTATTGCCGATGATTCCCCTCCTCCTCCTTCAAAAAATATTGTTGTCAATAGAAAAGATATTATTACAAAAAATTCTGGATTACCTGCTGTATCAAACAATTTTTTACCAAAATTGGAAAAATTGGAAGAAGAAATGGAAAAGCTTAAAATGACAAGAAAAAGGTGGTAGAGAAAGAAAGTAATTTTGAAATATGTAAAATTTTATTTATTAAAAAAAAGAAATTTTTTAAAAAATATTATATGACCACTAGTTTAAAAATAATTTAAGCTCAAAAATTCAACTCTTTATTTTTTCGTTTATTTATATAATTTAAGGTATCAAAATTCTGATTTTTAATTTTTGCTTAAATATTCTGATTTTTATTTTTCGTAAATAAAATCAGAATTCCGAAAATCATAATTTTTGATAAAGAATTCTGACCAGAATTCTTATTTATTTTTGCATTTTTATCAGAATTTTGTTAAAATCAGAATTCTGATTTTTATCGCAATTGCCTGATTTCTTTTAAAATTACGCTTCCTTTTTTTTCTTGTAAATTAATTTACAAATTTATTAATTTTGTTCTCAAAATTATTAACTCAGCCAGGTCTTTTTTAAAACCCCAAATTGGGCTTTCGTTTTTTATGCGCAATAATCATCGAAAAAAATTTTTTGCTTAAATTTAAGTTAACTTTTATTAGAATAAAAAGTTTTTTTTATTTTGATTATTTAATTTTAATTGTTTTTGTATACAAAGAACCCAAAAAATTGAATTGGTTCTATTTTTAAATTTTTTTAAAATTGATTTTATTTAATTTTCTAGGAGGTTGGGGTTGTTTTGCCGCCTATAAGTTTGGCGCGCGCCTAAAATGACACCAGTACTTGAAGCTCGTACCAAAATTCGTACTCGGACTTATGTAGGTACGAAATTTCCAAGCATTAATTAACACTGATCAAACCCAAATTTTTGAAACAAAATTCTTTCCGGAAAATTTTTTCTTTATGTAAACTTTCCGGAAAACCCCAAGGGTTTGGGTTATTTTTGGCGCCTAAACGCTTTTGGCGCGCTCTTCGAAACTGAGAGTTAAACGAACCCTAAATTTCTGAAAAGTTTCACAAGATTTCTTTAACATCATTGACCACCTCCTCAAAAAATTTCAGAATTTTTCATCAAATATTTTCCAAATTATAATCGATAAACCTCGAAAAAGTGGGCATTTTTCGGTAGTTACTCGACATTTTTGGCCAGAACTTCTGAAATTCTGGTCCAAAAATTCTGAAATTTTTGGAGAGCCTTGATAAACATACGAGGGATATTTTTGGAATATTTTAGCTTTTTAGGTGATCAGTTGACTTTTTTATGAGCTTTCGCGCCAAAACCGTCTCGCGCCAAAACTGCTTCGCGCCAAAACCGTCTCGCGCCAAAACTGCTTCGCGCCAAAACGTCTGCGTCCCCACTGCAAGGATGGAGGGGGTTTTTAACATTTTTATCATTTTTATTTTCTATGCTAAAATATGTTAAACTAAGAAAAAAAAATTTTTTTTGAGAGAGAAACGGAGAGAAAAGTCCATTTTTCTATTTTATTTCATCATCTGATGGCCATATAATGTAATTGTCTATTTTATGGTTTTGAGTAGTTGGGGCGGGAAATTAAAGAAGAAAAGTAGTAATTAATTAATATTTATTTATTGTTTTGTACCCAAGAAGCAATTGTTTCTTTTTTTGAAAAGGAGAAGGAATTTTTGATATTTTTTGAAATATTTTTTTAAGAGATACATAGAGGGGAAGGGGGGGAGGAGGATACTTCCCTAAGAGGTTCCTTCAAGTTCACCCCTTAGGGAAGTATCCTCTAGTGTTTCGCCGGAACCGAAAATTTGGCCGGAACCGGAATCAAAAAAATCCCGGAACTTCCGACCTACCGGAACTTGCGGCTAAACATTAGTATCATTATATCCTTCAATTTGTCACTCAGAAGAAAAAAAAGCCAATTCGTTCAGTTAGACATTTTGTCACATGGACGATTGGTCTTTTTGACAGATAGACGAATTGGGGGTTTTTTACCTAGTTAGACGAATTGGGTGTTTTGTCCAAATGGACGAAATGGGGTTTTTCGCCAGTTAGACCAATTGGGGTTTTTTGCCCAATTAGACCAATTGTATCTTTTTAACCAGTTAGACCAATTGGTTTTTTACTTCAGAGTGACCAATTGTCGCTTTTCCTCCAATGGTTAATTTTTGAATTGCGCTTGGATTTTTTCCGTTTTATCAATTTTCCATTCATTTTATTTTCAGATTTAGATTTAATTTAAAAATGGACAGAAATACAACAGAAAATTTATCAAATGGTATTCAATTAAACAACATTAAGGAAGAAGAAAAGACATCTTTTATTTCAAAAAATAATCGGGAGCAGAAAGCTTGGTTTGTTTTTATTGATTTTTTGAGTTATTTTAATGGGGATTTTGTTTTTCGGGCAAATATTGATTAGTTTTTTGTTGTATTCCCACAAGAGATAGGCAGGGTAAACCAAAACTCGAACACCTACTTTCGACTGGAAGGTTTAGAATTCGAAGCCGGACGTCGAAGTCGAAGAAAAAAAAGTCCGGCGTCGAAGCCGGACTTTTTTTCTACCCGAAACTTTTTTTGGATTTGTCGCCGGAATCTTGCCCACTTTTTTTTCGAACGGGCCCAATTGTTTCCCGTTCTTGTTTTTCTGTGAAAATTTTTATCATTTATTTACGGACAAAACTTGCGGACATTTTGTTAAACTGACGTTTGAGAATATTGGACGTACTTTATTGATTGAGAGAGTGGCAGTGTCATAACGAGGTAACATGAAAGAAAAAGAAAGGTGTCCGCAAAAAGGAAGAAATCCGCAAAAAAGGGCAAAGTCCGCAAAAAATGGAAAAAAATCTGCAAAAAAGGAAAAATCCGCAAAAATAGGAAAAAATCCGCAGAAACGAAAAAAGTCAGCAAAAAAGGTAAAAGTTCGCAAAAATGAATAAATCCGCTAAATATAAATTATCCGCAAAGAAGGAAAAAATCCGCAAAAAGTGTCAAAATCCGCAAAAAAAAGAGAAAAATCCTCAGATAATCCTCTCCAAAGTGTCCTCATTTTATTTTTCAACTTTTTAGTACTTCAATACCACAAGCAGCCACCGCCTCTACAATAGCAGCACGCCCAAATTCTCCAATAACTACAACAAAATCATTTTGTGCAGCAGTAGACGATGCTAGTTGGTTATCTTTCATTTCGTTTGCTTGGATGTTCCCATGGATGTGGAATTGTTATAAACAAAGAGTCTGTACAGATCCAGGAAATGTTAACTTGTGGAGATGCAGCATATTTGATTCTTCCAATGTTAATTTAAAAAGGTTTGTGAGAAGAAAAATTTTTTGGAGGGTTTTGTGGGTTATTTGGGAAGGTTTCTGACAAATTTTGGGTTAAATAGGTAGTGGGGATGTTCATTTTTAATTTTGTAACCGGAAACGATTAGTGATGTTCGGGTATCCCGATCGGAAGGTTTTCATGATTATCAAAAATTTTTTTCTGCGGTGCAGAAAATGGAGGAAGGTCATTTCCCGATTCCCTAGGTCTTTTCTCGACCCGACTCTTGTTTCTCGATTCCCGGAGTTTTGCATCTCCCGAACATCACTAGAAACGATGAGAGGCTCAAACATATGTATATTCAGATTTGTTGACTGCTAGAGTTGGAAAACTAGGTTTTAAAGGACCCGAAAAGGAAAACATCCTTAAATGTGTGAAAAATGTTTCCAGTAAAAGCAGGCTCTCCCATGTAACACTAACATAAATTTGGGCTGTGATATGTTGACAAAAAAGAAAAAAAGTTCGGGGATCGGTTTTCGAGTAACCTGTTCCATCACTGATCTACATCTGCTTATTTGTTCACGGATCTTGTCCTTAATTTTTTTACGATTTTGTCCGCAAATTTTGTCCGCAAAATTTTCCAATTTTTATCTTTTTCATGCTACTCATCCTTTAAACTTGAGGTTTTCCAACTTGGATAACTTGTTTTTGCAAATTGAGAAAATTTTAAATTTGCGGACAAAACTTGCGGACTTTTTTTTAAAATTAAAAAAAAATTTTTCAGACTAGAACACATTTTCAACGAAGAAAAACGCCGTTCAACTTCCCTCGGTCAAAAGCCTTCACTAACTTTTGCAGTTTTTCGATTTATTCGTTTTCGTCTATTTTTGGCTTGTGCTGTTTTTCTTTTTTGTTTGGTGTTTGGATTTATTGGGCCGACTTGTCTAGTTAGAGGTTTAATTGCTTTTGTTGAAAAACCTCCAAGATTGTTGGATGGATCGATTAATTATAGTACTGGAGTTTACTTTGCTTTGGCTATTTTTGTGGTATTAAATTTTTTGAAAATTTTTTTGACCTCCCTATAAGAGACTCCCAATATAAGCGACACCTTTATTTAAGAGACTTTTTTTTATTTTGGTTGGCCAAAAGGTGTGGGTTCGGTTAGCCTAAGGGATATTCTCCCCACGCCTAAAGGATATCCCGCTGTACCTTTTTATAAGAGACTCAATACAAGCGACACCTCTATTTAAGAGATATCCTAAAATTTTGGTAAGGGTGCGGAACTGCCTGAGGGATGCCCCTCTATTTGAGATATATACCTCTTTACCATTGATCCTCCATATAAGAGACTTCCGATATAAGAGACTTTTGCGGGTGTAACCGAGGTCGGATTTAAGGGGGTATCTGGGTTGTGGGATTTAGCCGATCCAGGTTTGGGGGCTAAAATTAGGTGTGGGCCGAAATTCTGACGTTTGCTTTGCCGTTCTTAACGCAAGCCCCCTTTTTGCTTGGGCTCTAAGAGAAGCTCAAGCAGCCACTTTTCAGGAAAAGGGGCTGGGCTCCTGGGTACGCCCTGCATATACACCCTTGTCTGATTTTATCATTATTTTTTCAAAAAGGTTGAAATTCTTCGAGTTCTAGCCTACAGCGCAACATGGGCAATAAGTTACAGAACAGCAATAAGGACAAGAGGTGCTGTTTTGGCACTACTCTACAGAACGTTGTTAGGTGCTAAATCGATGAAAGTTAAATCTTCTGCTGAGGTTTTTTTTTGGTTTTTTAAAGGAAAATTTTTTTTGAAAATTGAAAATTTTTTTGAAATTTTCTAAAAATTTTTCAAAAAATTTTTTTAATTTTTTGAAAGTTTTTTTCGAAAGTTTCTCGAATTTTCAAAAATTTTGTTAAATTTTCAAAAAATTTTCCAAAAAAAAATTTTGAAAAATTTTCTGAAAAAATTCAAAATTTTTCTGAAAAATTTTGAATTTTTTTGTGAAAATTTTTACAAAAATTTTTCAAAATTTTTTTTGAAAAATTTTCAGGTAATCAATATCTTCGCTAATGAAGGCCAACGAATTTTTGATGCAGTAACTTTTGCTCCTCTAGTAATTATTGGCCCTTTTGTTTTAATTGGTGGATTAATTTATTTATTGCGAGTAATTGGGCCTCTTTCGCTTTTGGGTGTTGGAGTATTTTTTGTTTTTGATATTATACAGGTTTTTTGCTTTTTTTTTAGTTAAATTGGGTTTGCGTCCCTCATTATTTAAAAATTTTTTCTTCCAAAATTCTCCTCGGTTTGCCTTAACCCTCAATTTTTTGTTGGGCCCTTTTATTTTCCCCTTTTGGGCCTCTAGTAATTATTGGCGTAATTGGACCCTTTTATAGACCCTAGAGGACCTGTGGAACGAGAGATAGATGTTTCTGAAAAATGAAAAAGCCCCTATCGATTTTGAAGTGAGCCCGTTGACGGGGGGACACAAACTTTAATGTTTTTACGTTTTTTTTGTTTTAAAGGCAATTCTTGGCATAATGCTATTAAAATACCGCAAACTTACAATTGAACAAACAGAAAAAAGGATGGGATTAATTGGAGAAATTTTAACGTGTATTAAATGTATAAAATTAAATGCTTGGGAAATGCTGTTTTATCGACGTGTTTGTGGTATTTTTTTAAATTTTTAAATTTTTTTTTAATTTGAGCGGTTGGGATATAATGTCCAACTTTTTTGCTTTTGTTGAATGGGTCGAGTTGGGAAGAAAAAAGTGTGTGTCAGGCTTCGGATCGAATTTTTGAAATTTTTTTTGTATTAGGTTTCGGATTTTGATTCGAAAAAAAGACCACGGCGCCGCCAGTTTCAAAGCATTGTTAAGTTCCTAACTTATGGAAGGTCAGGTATGTGTCGACAAGGCGTAGTCTTCTAAGTCCCCCTCCCCCCGAAATTGGGACCCCATTTTAGCCCTCTCCTGAAATCGACTCCTTGGATACGGCCTTGGTATCGATGAGTGCTGCAATCGATCTTGAGTCAGCTCCCCGGATTATTTCTGTTTATTGTTAGGGGTTTGATTAGTTGTTATTTTTCCTTGCGTCCTTATATGTGTACCTTTTTGCCTTATAAATATAATTTTTAATTTAAAAAATTTTTTTTTCTTTAAGAAATTCGAGACAAAGAAAAACATTATTTACGTATTGCTGGTTATACCCAAAGTTTAATGATTGCTTCTGGTGCTATTGTTCCTGCTGTGGCCACTATAGTGATGGTTTTGTCAATTGTTTTGTCTGGTTCCGATCTTAAAGCTAGCGATGTAAATTTTTTTTATTGAAAAAATTTTTTTTTGAAATTTTGAAATTTTCAAAAAAATTTTTAGAAAATTTTTTTGAAATTTTTTCCAAAAAAATTTTTTTTAATTTTCTTGAAATTTCTTGAAATTTTTTGAAATTTTCTGAAAAAATTTCTCAAAAATTTCTCAAAAATTTTGAATAAAAATTCCAAAAAAAATTTTTTACGTAAATTTATTTTGTAGGCATTTAGTGCTATAACTGTTTTTGTTGTTATGCTTTTTGGAATTCGAATGATACCCTATGGAACACGTTATATTACTGAAGCTTTCCAGTCGTTAAATAAGGTTGTTTTAAATTTTGTAGAGAACAATAAAGGGCAGGCTTGGTTATAAAATCCTATTTTGACCTCATTATGGAACGTCGTAATACCAAATCTCGAAAGACTGCCGAATTGCCAAACTGCGTCCTTTAAAAGAAAAGTCTGCAAAAAGTTGCGGACTTTTTTGCAGACGTTTTTTTTTGCGAAATTTTTACAGTTTTTTATAACTTTGGGTCCCTTGTTAGGGGTTTCGATGGCTTTTGGAGGGTTTGACTTTTCGGTGAATGCGGGTCCATTTTTGGCATTTTGCACGATTTAAAAAATTTTTTTTTCTACGTCTTATCGTCTTACCATAAAAATTGTCCGCAAATATGTCGAATACCGAGTCAAAAATTTTTAACATAAAAAAAATTTTTTTTCTTTTTAAAGATAAATTCTCTTCTTTTACTTGAACAATATGATTCTGAAATACTTGCTCCTAAACATCCTATGGCTATTCAAATGACTAATTGTACGTTTATATGGGATATTGCTGAAGATCCTAAGGATGCTGGAAAACCACAAAAAGGAAGAAAAAGTTTGTGTTTTTTTTAATTTTATTTAAAAAAATTTTTGAAGAAATTTTCGCTCTAATAACAGGGTGAGACTCGTTAAATTTGAATGTGTTGTTTTGTGGATTTTTTAAAACTTTTTTTGCGAATTTTTTGTGAATTTTTTCTTGGTTTGCTTTGATTTAATCTGTCAATAAAATGTTTCCAGGGGTCTTGATAACCTTGTCTTAGGTCCGGCTAGAGATCGGTTTCTACTTCCTTTTTGACTTAAGTGAATATCCCTTGAAGTTATCCGGTGAAAATTTGAAAATTCCGCAAGAAAATGTCTGCATATAAGTCTGTAAGAAAATTTCCGCAAAACATTAATCTGCAATAATTTGTTTGCAAGGGCCGGATAATACGCAAGTAAACGTCCGCAAAAAAAAAGTAAATCCGCAAAAACAGCACCAATTATTTTTTTACAAACTCGTTTAAATTATTTTTTAAATTTCAGAACGTAAGATGGCAAAAAAAGATACTGTTAATAATGATGTTAATGGAAATTTACCAATGATGGATGATGATGATGATGAAAAACATGAAGGCGAGGAAGAAGAAGTGTTTACAATTGCTGTAATTAAAAATGATCAAGGAGGAAACCGAGGAAATGTTAAAAAACAATTTTGTTTGAAAATTGATGAATTTGTTGTTAATAAGGTTTATTTTGGCTTTATTGGATTAAAAATTTTTTTAATTTTAGGGTGAATTGATTGGAATTTGTGGTGTTGTTGGTGCTGGAAAAAGTGCTTTAATTAATGCTATTACTGGACATGTATTTATTTTATTTATTTTTTTTTTCTAATTTTTTTTGTAAAATGTGAGAGGTCCCTTTAATTAAATAATTCCCGTTTTTTGCGAACATTCTTTGCGAATTTCGTTTTTTTTTCGGAAATTTATTAGCTCTGGTTTAGGGCATAAGTAGGGTTGGGGTTTTCGAGTCGGGCCGACGTTCGAGTCATTCTTTTCGGGCCTCATTCTTTTCGGGCCTCATTCTTTTCGGGCCGGCCCGACCAAGTCTTTTTCGGGCCAAAATTCGAGGCCCGACTCGATCTTTCGGACCGGGCCGGATCGAGCCCCCAACCCTATGCATGAGTCTCGTTAGACTATAAACGATTTTATTTGGTTTTCAATTTTCGGTGCTTGGCTCCGGACTAGAAAACAGGCCCGATTTGAGTCTTTAGGACAAGGGACGGACTTTAAAAACTCCTGGAGAATAAATCATAACATCTATGTGAGTCGCATAAATTCTCATAGAGACTCAAAACCCGTAGCCGGTAAATGTCCGGTTGGTGTCCTACCTGTCCACAAAGAGAATGCTCATTTTTCCTTCCTTTTCTTGCTTTTTTTCGGCGAGGAGTGGCAACCGGACATTTACCCCCGTAGCCTATACTTTTAAAAAATGATCGTTAACTTTTAGTATTTTTACGGACAGTTTGAAAAATTGTCCGCAAATTTTTTGCGGATAATTTTTTTTATTTTAAAAATTTTTTAAATTAAAGATGTCCAGTATTGGTTATAGCTCAATCAATGTTGCTGCCCCAGTTGCTCTATGTTCCCAAAATCCTTCAATTCTTCCAACAACAATTCGTGAAAATATTATTTTTGGTGGTGGTGGACATTCTACACAAATGAATAGTCAACGGTATTACAAAGCTATAAGTTGTGCACAGCTACAAAAAGATTTGGAATTGTTCCCGGAAAATGAACTTTCTAAGGTCTTTATTTTTAAATTATTTTTTATTTTTGCGGATTTTTGTTTTGCGGATTTTGTTTTGCGGACTTTTGAAAAAAAAGAAGTGGGGTTTCCATTTTTTTGGGCGACACGATTTTTTTTTTGACATATTTTCCTTTGTTTTAACTCAAAAAAGTAGTTAAAAGATAACCGTTTGTGTGGTTATTCCATGATGATAGTTCGAGGGCGTATCTACTATGGGTCTGAATCTCAAAGTAAAACCTTTATATAAATATTTTCAGACATTTGAAAAGATGCACTATAAGTGTGTTTTTGCGGACTTTTGAATACACAACTTTTTTACGGACTCATTTAAGGTTTTGCAATTTTTTGCGGAACTATGCAAAAATTTATCAGCAGATTTTTGCGGACTTTTAAAAAATGTCCGCAAATTTTTTGCGGACATTTGATTAAAAAAAATTTTTTATTTTAAGGTAACATCCTGTAAACTTTCTGGTGGTCAACGTTCTAGAATAGCTTTGGCACGTGCCTTTTATTCAAATAGAGATATTTATTTATTCGATGAAGTCTTCTCTTCTATCGACAAAAATGTTGCTGAAAAAATTTTTAATTTTGGAATAAAAGAATTTATGGCAACAAAAACACGTTTACTTGTAACTGATAATTCTGAGGTTTCTTTAAATTTTTTTTATTTAAATCGAAAATAAATTTGAGGATTTTAAGAAAATGTCCGCAGATTTTTTGAGGATTTAAAAAAAAAAAATTGTCCGCAAAAATTTGCGGATTTTAGAAATGTCTGCAAATTTTTTGCGGATTTTTGAAAAAAATGGCCGCAAAATTTTGCGAACTTGAGAGAAATGTCTGTAAAATTTTTTGCGGACAACTTTTTTCAAAAATTTGCGGACAACAAAATGTCCGCAAATGTTGTCCACAGAATTTTGCGGACAATTTGAATGGAACTTTCAAATTTTTTATTTAGTTTCTTTCTCAATGTGATCGTGTCTTTCTAATGGATTCTGGACAAATTCGTGAAATTGATTTTAAAAAGGACGGATCTGAAGCTATTCATAGTGCATTCAATAAATCTTCGAATAATGACGGTTTTTGTTTTAATTGAAACTACGGCTGGGCTAATTTCGCGTTTCGGATATTTCACATTTTTCAGCGCGAAAAGAATCACATTCCGCGTTTCCTTTTTTATTTTTAGATTTTGCCCAGCTCTGGTTCAGACCTTTTTATAAGATAGATCCTATACTAGACACCAATGGGTGTCCATAAAGCCAGGATTAATTTTTTACGCAACTCCTCTATGGGGTGTGGAGGGAGTTACACAGCTAGAAGGCGTCAACTTTTTTCGTATTTTTTAAATTGAAATTTGTAGCTATTCAAACGAATATATTACAAAAAGAAACAAGCCTAGCAGCTTCGATTAAGCGTTTCAAAATTGATAAGGAAGAGAATAAAGAAGCTGATGAGGATGAAGAAAAAGAAGAAGCTTTGGGTCTTAAGCCAATTTCTAAAGATGAATATATGTTTGTTTTTAATTTATAATTTTTGAAGGGATTGTCATTTTTTAATGTTTGGATTGGGAATAGTTACCATTAGTTAAAAATTTGCGGACTTTTAAAAAAATCCGCAAATTTTTTGCGGATTTTGGATATGTCCGCAAGCTTTTTTTGCGGATTTATTAAAAATTCCCACAGATTTTTTGTTGGATAGAGAATTAAATTTACTACAAAATGCCAAAAAATCATAATTATCAACTGCTTGGGAAAAAAGTTATGATCGATAAAGTTCTGAAAATCATACTTTTTTGATAAAAATTTTGGGTTTTTGGAACGGAACTTTTTTTATCTATCTATCTAAAATTTTTGATTTTTCGGTAATTTGTAGTCAATTTAATTTTTTATCCAAGGGTAGTAAGAACATTAAAAAGTGGACATCCCTTGATGAGTTATAGAGATTTTTAGACAACTGAACCTGGTCCGTTTTGTAAAAAAATTTTTTTCAATTTTGAAAAATTTTTTGGGAAAAATTTTTTTGAAACATGGCCTGATCTGTTAAAAGAATTTTTGGCTCTATTACACAATATACGTCCAATCAACTATTATGCGTCCAATCAACTTTTATACGTCCAATCAAAGTTTATACGTCCAATGAAAATTTATGCGTCCAATCAAATTTTTATACGTCCAATCAAAGTTTATGCGTCCAAATAAATTTTATATGTCCAGTGAAAAAATAAATTCAGAAAAATCAAAATAATTTTTATTTATTATAACGCCTTGCTCAAAAGGGGCCAATGGAAACAACTGTTCCCGTCACTTAAACAACCGTCCCCGTCACCGGCTCAAATCTCAAATCCGGTTTAAAAAGGATTAGGATCCGGATTTGGCAATGAAGCCGGACCGGATTCAGCCGGATTTTTTCTGTATTAATCCGGTCGGGAAAAATCCGGAGATAGCGAAAAAAAACCCTGATTTGGTATCCGGACTCTGGAAAAATCCGACCGGATCCGGCCCGGTCACTAATAAGATTGTGTTTGGACATATAAAATTTGATTGGACGCATAAACTTTTCATTGGACGCATAAATTTTTATTGGACGCATAATCTTTTCATTGGACGTATAAACTTTAATTGGACGTATAAAAGTTGATTGGACGCATAATAGTTGATTGGACGTATATTGTGTAATAGAGCCGAATTTTTTTTAACTAACCGGTCCAGACCTGATTTCTTTCCTAAAAAAATTTTCAAAGAAAATTTTTTTTTCATTTTTTTTAAGGGAATATATTCGAGCAGCAGGAGGTAATGCATTCTGTGCTCTAGTTTTCTTTGCTTTTCTCATAAATGTTGGGTCGAACATTTTTTCAACTTTTTGGTTAAGCGAATGGATGCGTAATGTTCATAATGACGAATTTAGAGCAAGTGTTGATGTGAGGGTTTTTTTTAATTTTTTTTATTTTAAATACCAAAATAAGTCCGTAAATAAATTTTTTTGTCCGCAAGTTAATTTTTTTGTCCGCAAGTCAATTTTTGTCCGCAAATAAATTTTTTGTCCGCAAATAAATTTTTTGTCCGCAAGTTAATTTTTTTCTTTAATAAAGTTTAAAATTTAACATAATGCCGCGCCAGTTCCTTCATTACGATATAATCCTTTAATTCCTAACGCTGTAATACCAAACCCCACAAAAACCCGCCGAAATGCCAAACAATGGAAAAATTTTGTTATTTTCCCACAGTTTCTTATTTGCACGGATTTTGGTCGTTTTATATTACGGCTCGTAGTACACCCTCACTATTATATTTTACGAAGATTGGCTACTCTTTAAAATGTCCGCAAATATTTTTTTGTCCGCAAATATTTTTTTGTCCGCAAATAGTTTTTGTCCGCAAATAGTTTTTGTCCGCAAATAGTCTTTTCCTTTTCGCAATTTTTTAACTTCTAAAAGTATATTTTTGAGAAAACTGTAAAAAAAAATTTTTTTTTTAAACTTGCGGATAAAACTTGCGGACACTTTGGGAAGCATTTAACATTAAAAAATTTTTTTCTTTAAGTTTGTGCTTAAAAATGCTGCTGCTTCTAAAAATAATAATGGAGAATCTTCATTTAAATTAACTGACAGTCTTGCCAATCCAGATTTGGGCTTGAAATTTTATTCAATAATTTATGGTTTTTTTTAATTTTATTTTTTACTTTAATTTATTTTTTTATAGTTTGCAATGTATTATTTCTTTTTCTCAGTGGAATATTTAAAGCAATTGTTTTTGTTAAGGTGAGAAGAAATTTTTTTTCAGGCTTGATCTTGAAAAAATTTTTAAGATTGAACTTGAAAAATTTTTTAAAGCTTGAACTTGAAAATTTTTCAAGCTTGAACTTGAAAAAATATTTTAAGCTCGAACTTAAAAAATTTTTTAAGATTGAACTTGAAAAATTTTTTAAGCTTGAACTTGAAAATTTTTAAGCTTGAACTTGAAATTTTTTAAGCTTGAACTTGAAAATTTTTTAAGCTTGAACTTGAAAATTTTTTGAAGCTTGAACTTGAAAAAATTTTTTTAAAGATTGAACTTAAAAATTTAGTAAAGAATAAACTGAAAAATTTTTTTCAGTTCACTTTAAATGCCTCTACTAATTTACACAATAAAATGCTCAAAAGGGTCATTTTTGCTGTTATGCCTTTCTTTCATAATACACCTACGGGTAGAATATTGAATCGATTTAGCAAGGATATGGATGAAAGTTTGAAAATTTTTTTTGAAATTATTTTTAAAAGTTGGATCTTATTGTGTATGTACGGCGCACCCCAAGCATTAGGGTCGGTTAGGGCATATTAAGGCAACCCAAAACTCAAAATTTTGTATCCTCAAAATGTTTGCGGATAACACTTGCGGATTTTGACTTGATTTTTTTGTCTTCGTTTTGGGGTCCAGGCTGGGTTTCGAGCCTTGAACATTTTTGTCTTGGAACTGGATGGGGGAGTCAGGGTGTCACCTACCCAGGGGGTCACCCCAGGGGAACCAGGGGTCACCCCCTCTGTTTAACATATACATATCTCATTATATGATACAATTTTTTCACCTCAGGAGAGTGTCTAAAAATGAGATCCAACTATCTTTTTCCTTAACTTTGAAAATTATTTTTAAAATTTTTTCTTTAGTTGATTCCAAATTACCCTTTTCGGCAGAGGCAATGCTTCAAGGAGGAATTACTTGTGCTGGTTTTCTTTTGATAATTATTTGGGTCTTCCCATTATTTTTATTGCCATCAATTCCTCTATTTATGCTCTTCCTTCTATTTTTTGTTTGTTTTCGTGCTGGAATTAGAAGGTTTGTTGACATGTTTTTGCGGACTTTCGTTTTTGCGGATTTTTTAGAATAATTTTTTGCGGATAATTTTTTCGGATTTTAGTCGGTCAAATATTTAATTGCAAAATAAAATTGGAAAAGTCCGCAAAAGTTGTCCGCAAAAATTATGCGGACATTCAAAATAATTTGCGGACATAAAAAAATAATTTTTGTGGACAGAAGAATTTTTGCGGATTTTTAGCGGTTAAGTATTTAATTTCATAAGAAAATGTAAAAGCCCGCAAGTGATGTCCGCAAAATTTTTGCGGACATAAAAATTTTTTGCGGACACCAAGTGTTTTCCACAATATAATTTCCTTTAAAAAACTTGTTTTTTTAAGTCTAAAACGTATTGAAAATGTAACTCGTTCTCCTCTCTACGAACACATTACAAGCTCTTTGGAAGCTTTACCAACATTACATGCTTATGGACAATCAGATAAATTTGTTGAACAATTAAAATTACGTTTAGATGAAAATACGTTTGTTTCAGAATTTTAAAATAATTTTTGAATATTTTTTAGAGGAGCTCTTTTTCTTTATTATTCAGCAATGCGTTGGCAAGCTGTATGGCTTGATTTGCTTGTGGTAAGAGATTTTTGGTTTAAATTTTCTGAAAGTAGCTTTGAACTTAAAAATTCAGATTTTTAATTAAAATAACAAATTCTGACTTTATTTGAGAATTTACAAAAAAAAAATAAATAAATCACAAATCTAAAAATAAATCACAAATTGTAATTTTTTGAAATTACAATTTACTAAAATTGTAATCAGAATTTGTAATTTCAAATAGGAATTAAATTCTGATTATAAATAAAATTGGCAATTTATAATTTTTTGAATAGCATCAGAATTTTAATTAAAAATCACAATCTTTTTAAAATTACAAATTTCTGATTTTTAATAAAATCAGAATTTGTAATATTTATCAGAATAAGTATTTTATTTCCAGAAATTGTAATTTTAAGAATCAGAATTTGTAATTTAAAAAGTACAAATTCTGATTTTATTTGTTAATTACAATTTCTGATTTTTAATAAAATCAGAATTTGTAATATTTATCAGAATAAGTATTTTATTTCCAGAAATTGTAATTTTAAGAATCAGAATTTGTAATTTAAAAAGTACAAATTCTGATTTCATTTGTTAATTACAATTTCTGATTTTTAATAAAATCAGAATTTGTAATATTTATCAGAATACGTATTTTATTTCCAGAAATTGTAATTTTAAGAATCAGAATTTGTAATTTAAAAAGTACAAATTCTGATTTCATTTGTTAATTACAATTTCTGATTTTTAATAAAATCAGAATTTGTAATATTTATCAGAATAAGTATTTTATTTCCAGAAATTGTAATTTTAAGAATCAGAATTTGTAATTTAAAAAGTACAAATTCTGATTTCATTTGTTAATTACAAATTTCTGATTTTATTAAAGAAATTACAAGTTAATTTTTATTTTCATTAATTACAAATTCTGATTACAATTTTAATAAATTGTAATTTTTGAAAATTACAATTTGTAATTTATCAAAATCAGAAATTGTAATTTAATATCAGAATATGTAACTTTAAATATAAATTACAAATTTTGATATAAATTAAATTTCTATTAATTTATTCAAAAATTTTTTGCTACATATTTCTTTAGGTTCTCATAACTTTTGGTGTTTCTTTATTTATTGTTTTATTAACTGACCAAATATCTCCTTCTGAAGCGGGTATGGCTATAGCTTTTGCTTTACAGGTTTTTTTTCCGAATTTAATTTTAAAAAATTATTTTTTTTTAATTTAAAGATGAGTGGAATTTTTCAATTTGCCGTTCGATCTCAAACAGAATTGGAAGCTAAAGTAATTTTTTAAAAATAATTTTGAGTGAAAAAATTTTTTAAATTTAAAGTTGACAGCTGTTGAGCGTGTTACGCATTATTCAAAGGTTTTTATTGTTTTTCATAAAAAAAATTTTTTTAAATTTTTTTTGAAAATTTAAAAAAGTAAAAAAAAATTTTTTTCAAAATTTTTTAAAAAAATTTTTCGAAAATTTTTTTGAAATTTTTTCTGAATTTTTTTTTGAAAAATTTTTTTAAATTTTTTTAGAAATTGAAAAAAAATTTTTTTTTAAATTTTTTTTGGGAATTTTTTTTTTCAAAATTTTTTAAAAAAATTTTTCGAAAATTTTTAATTTTTCTGGAAATTTTTAAAAATTTTTAGACTATCCAAGTTGAACCTGAAGATGTTTCATTGTCTAATTCTCAAAATCAAGTTTGGTTCAAAAATGGAGATATTCAATTCGAAAATGTTTTGTAAGCTTTTTTAATTGTTAAAAAATTTTTTTTCTCTTATTTGTTAGTCTTCGTTATCATCCAAATTTATTGCCGGCTTTAAACAACATTTCATTTAATATACAAAGTGGCCAAAAGATTGGAATTGTGGGAAGAACTGGATCTGGTAAAATAATTTTTTTCTGAAAAAGTTTTTTGGAAAAAAAATTTTTTTTTTCATATTTTTGCGGACAAAATTTGCGGATTTTTTCAAAAAAATTTTTTTTATTTTTTAAAAGATTTTCTTAAAATTTTTTTGTCCGCATTATTTTGAGGACAAAATTTGCGGATTTTTTTTCAAAAATTTTTTGAATTTTTAAAAAATTTTTTAAAAATTTTCTAAAAAAATTTTTTTTCATTAAAGGCAAAACGTCATTATGCAATGCATTATTTAGACTATATCCTTTAGAGAGTGGAAAAATTTTTATTGGTTCAGAAGATTTTTGTTCGGTTAGTATTAGACAATTACGGAGGTCAATCTCTATAATAATGCAGGAAGCTACTCTTTTTGAGTTTGTTTATTTTTTAAACTTAATTTTTTATTTTTGGGCGCAAAAGTAATTTTGTCCGCAAAAATTTTGTCCCCAACCCTTAACAAGAAAATAATCAGAACTTTTAAATTAAAATCAGAATTTCTGATCAGAATAAAAATCAAAACCTACTATTTAATAAAATAAAAAACCGCAAATTTTTTTGGTCTCTAGTGGATTTATAATGTTCTCACAATGTCCGCTATTATTATCCGCAAGAATATATTTTTATTTTTTCTCTTTATAAAATGTTTTTGGTGAATTTATCAACTTTCTTCACATTTCGATCTTCTCTCCTTGATGACTTGCGGATAAAAAAATTTTGATTTTGTCCGCAAATTTTAAAAATCCGAAAATTTTTGCGGATTTTTGTAAATTTGGGGATTTTTTAAATTTGCAAAAAATTTGCGGATAATAACAGTTTTGCGGATTTTGTAAGAAACAAATTTTAAAAAATTATAAACCTCATATTTTTAGAGGCACAATTCGTTTTAACATTGATCCAGAAAATGTGTATGAAAGTGATGATAAAATTTGGGAATGTTTAGATAAAGCTGGAATTTCTGATTCGGTTTGATTTTTATTTTTTTAAATTAAAAATTTTTATTTAATTTATAGTTTAAAGCTTTCCCTGACCCTCTCGATTTTTTGGTAGGAAGAAATGGACGTAATATTTCTGCTGGGGAACGACAACTTATTTGTTTAGCTAGAGTTTTGTTGAGGTTTTTTTTAATAAATTTTTTGAGAAAAATTATTTTTTTGGGGAAATAGGTTCTCTTTTTTTGGATTTTTGGATTCAAAAAAATCGGGATTGTTTTTAAAAAAATTTTTTTGTGAAGAAGTTTTTGAATGATTTTCTAATTCGGTAAACAAAGAAATTTTTACTAAAAAAATTTTTTTTTTGATTTTACGTTTTTTGAGATTTTTTTATAAAAAATTTTTAAAATTTTTATTTTTTTTAAATTTATTTTTTTTTTCAGAAATACAAAAATTGTCATTCTTGATGAGCCTACGGCTAATATTGATAAGTAATTTTATTAAAAAAAATTTTTTTTAATTTTCAAAAAAATTTAAAGGAGAACAGATATATTACTTCAACAACGTTTAAAAGAATTTTTTGCTTCACAAACAGTTTTATTGGTAACTCATAAACTTGAAAATATAGCTGATGGGGCGCTAGATTGTTTACTTGAAATGGAGGATGGAAAGGTTTTTTTTTTAATTAATTTTTGAAAAAAATTTTTCGAGAAAAAAATTTTGGGGAAAAAATCCGCAAGATTTATCCGCAAAAATTTTTTTTTATTTTTGGAAAAATTTTTTTATTTTTTTGGCTAAGATTTTCAAAAAAAAATTTTTTTTGGATTTTTTGCGGATAAAAAATTTTTGCGGATTTTTGGGAAGATATTTAATAAAAAAATAAACTTTAAAAAATTTTTTTTAGGTCAAGTCTTTCCAATCTTCAGCAGTCTCTTTGCAACAAGTATTTTTTAAATAATTTTTTATTAACAAAAAAAATTTTTTTTAAGAACAATAATGAAACAAGACAACAATAAAAATAAATGCTTTAAAATGTCCCCAAAGAAAAAAATATCCAAAAATCCTCAATGACAACAACAAAAAAATTTTTTTGGATACAGAAATGAATTTTAATTTTTTGGCCTTTTTTTTGAACCTTAATTTGTGTGTATATATTTTTCTTTTAAAATTACAAATTCTGATTTTATTAAAATTTCTGATTTTAACTGAAAAATTACAAAATCTGAATTTTTAATTTTTTTAAAATCAGAATTTTTTGATTTTCTGAATTTTGGTCAGAATTTAGAAAAAAATTACAAATTCTAGTTTTCATAAAAAATTACAAATTCTGACTTTTAATCAGAAATTTGTAGTAAAATCAGAATTTGTAATTTTTTCGAAATTCTGACCAAAGTTCAGGAAATCGGAAATTACAAATTCTGATTTTACTTTATTTCTGTTTTTACAAAATTCTGATTTTATTAAATTTTCAGAAATTACAAATTCTGGTTTTACTGAATCAGAATTTTCGAAATTCTGACCTTCACAAAAATTAAAAAGTTCTGATTTTCAAATCAGAATTTTAGTAAAATCAGAATTACAAATTCTGATTCTATTAAATTTTCAGAAATTACAAATTCTGATTTTTAAATCAAAAACTTAGGTAAAATCAGAATTTTTAATTTTATAATCCCATATTTAAAAATTATTTTAAAAAGCAATCTTTTTTTTCTTGCATTTTTCCTTTAAATTCCTCCTCCTCTCCTTTTATTGCTTAATTATTTTTTAGACACAATTTTTAATTTAATTTTTTCGATAAATTAAAATTAAAAAAAAAATTTTTTTTTATTTATTTTAAAAGTTTGATAATTTTTTAAATATTTTTTTAAAATAATTTTTAAAATATTTTAGATATATTTTTAAATTTTTAAAAATTAAATGGTTAATGTCAAGCGTGGAATTGTTATTAAATGTGATCCTGCTATGCGACAATTTTTAAAACATTTGAATGAAACTAAAGCCTTTGGGAGAGCGTTTATAATTAATGTTGGTTTTTAATTATTTTAATTTTTTTAATTACACAAATTCTGGTTTTCATTAATTACAATTTTGGATTTAATTTGAGAAATTGTAAACTCTGATTTCATGAAAAAAAAATTGTTAATAAGAATTACAAATTCTGTTTTTATTTTAAACAGAATTACAATTTGCAGTTTTATTTAAAATTACAAATTCTGATTTATTTAAAGTCAGAATTTGTAATTTCTGGTTTTATTAAAAATTACAAATTCTGGTTTCATTTAAAATCAGAATTACAATTTGTAGTTTTATTTAAAATTAGAATTACAAATTCTGGTTTTTAAAATCAGAATTTGTAATTTATCTAATAAATTCAGAATTTAATTACTATTTAAAAATTACAATTTCTGGTTTTATTTGTAAATGTCACGAATTTTGTCATTATTAAATTACAAATTCTGATTTTATCAAGTTAAAAAAATTCTATTTAAAATTACAATTTGTACTTTTTATTTTTTCAAATTTTATTTTGAAAAATTACAATTCTCTGACCGTTATTTTTCTAATTTCTTTTTTCAATGTTTTTAAGGAACTTGATGAAACCCGTCTATTTGTAGAACGCGATATTATACCCCAAATTGAACAGCGTATTGATCAGCTTTTGGATTCTTTAACACCTGATATGGCACAATAAAAAATTTATTTTAGAAATAAAATTAATTTTTTTTGATTTTTTTTCGAGAAAAATTGGCAATTTTTTGCTTATATCTAAAAATTTTTTAAAATTAGTTTTAATTAATTTTTTAATTATTTTTTAGAATTAGACATAATATTTTAAATGAAGCCGTCTTTAAATTTGTTAAAATTTTTGAAGTGTAATTCGTCTATTATTCAACAAATTCAATCAAAATGTGCTGCTTCTAATGCTGCTTTTTCGTTTGCTGTGAAGGCTAGATTTTTTAGAATATTTTTTTTTAAATTCTGATTTTTAAATTTTTGATTTTTTGAGATTCTGATTATTTAAAAAAGATTTTTTAAATTCTGATTTTTTTTGGGATTCTGATTTTTTTAATTTTGATTTTTTTTTGGGATTCTGATTTTTTTAATTTTGATTTTTAAATTGCTGAGTTTTTGTGATTCTGATTTTTTTAAATTCTGATTCTTAAATTTCTGATTTTTAAAAATTCTGATTTTTTTGATTCTGATTTTTAAATTTCTGATTTTTTGGGATTCTGATTTTTTTAATTCTGATTTTTAAATTTCTTATTTTTTGGGATTCTGATTTTTTTAATTTTGATTTTTAAATTGCTGAGTTTTTGTGATTCTGATTTTTTTAAATTCTGATTCTTAAATTTCTGATGTTTAAAAATTCTGATTTTTTTGATTCTGATTTTTAAATTTCTGATTTTTTGTGATTCTGATTTTTCAAAATTCTGATTCTTAAATTTCTGATTTTTAAAAATTCTGATTTTTTTGATTATGATTTTAAAAATTCTGATTTTTATTTAAAAATTTTTTTCAGTCTCCAGAACCATCAGTTAACCAACAACCACCAGAAAATCAAGAAAAACAACAAAATGATTCAAATAAAAATACAATTATTACATTGGAATTAGAACAATTACAAAATAGTAATGAAAATGAAAAGCCTCAAGAATATTATAATGTTGGTCGTTTGAAAAATTTTATAGCTAAAATATCAGCTAATAATTATTTTGAAGAGAAATATAGAATGGTAAGGGGAAAGGATTTTTTAAATAAATAAAATTTAATTTTTAGTCATTAATCAAATCCTCAGCAAAATTGTATTATGATTGTTCAAACAACTTTAATTTTATTACCCTTCATAAAGGTGATAATTTTATAAGGATAGTTAAATTACAAATTCTGATTTTTTAATTAAATTACAATTCTGATTTTCTGTTAAATTACAAATTCTGATTTTTTAATTAAATTACAAATTCTGATTTCTGTTAAGTTACAAATTCTGATTTTCTGTTAAATTACAAATTCTGATTTTTTAATTAAATTACAAATTCTGATTTCTGTTAAGTTACAAATTCTGATTTTCTGTTAAATTACAAATTCTGATTTTTTAATTAAATTACAAATTCTGATTTCTGTTAAGTTACAAATTCTGATTTTCTGTTAAACTACAAATTCTGATTTTCTGTTAATTTACAAATTCTGATTTTATTAGAATCAGAAATTTTAATTTAAAAAATCAGAATGTTAACTATTAAATGGAGATTACAATTTCTGATTTTTCTGATTTTTTCACAATTACAAACTTTGCTCTTTAATATTTTGATTTCTGCTCTTTTTACAATTCCAATTTCTAATAAATTACAATTTCTGTTTTCCTATTAAATTACAAGTTCTGATTTTATTTGAGAAAATACAATTTCTGATTTTCCGTTAATTTACAAATTCTGATTTTAATTCTCTTTTCAGAATTTGGCTTGGAGGATGACTTTGGAACATGGTATCGGTTAACTCTTTTACATATTTGGTATTTATTTTTTAATTAAATTAATTTAATAAATTCAAAGGATGATTTTAACACGTTTACAACAAACAATGGAAGCTTATTCATATTGTTATGTAAAGAAAATGATTACACAAAATTTTCACCATGACAAAACCAATAGATATAATACTGTTTATGTAAGAGGCAGCTTTTTTGAATCAAGAAAAAAAAATTTTTTTGAAAAATCAGAAAAAATTTTTGATTTTTTTTAAAATTTCTGAAAATTTTTTAAAATTTTCAAAAAATTTCTGAAAAGTTTTCAAAATTTTTTAAAAAAACTAAAAAAAATTCTCAAAAAATTTTTCAAAAAAAAATTTTTTTTAGAAAGACCAGCCATCACTCAAGTTAAAAAGGCGTTCAAATTTTCGACAACTTTATTATGATGTTTATATGAATTCTTTGTTTGAATATGATGATGTGAGTTTTTTCTGTGTTTTATTGGGGTTTTTCTGTAGGGGTTTTTTCTAAATTTTTCCTGAAATTTCAAAAAAAATTTTTTTTAATTTTTAAGATTTTCAAAAGAAATTTTAAAAATTTCCCAAAAATTTTTTTTTGAAATTTTCTAAAAATTTTTGAAAAATTTTTAAAAAATTTTCAAAAAAAATTTTTAATAAAATAAAAAATCTTCACAATCTTAGGGTTTTCTTGGCGACGATAAATACCTTGCTGGCGCTGTTTGGCGTGCTTTATATTTAATGGAGGATGAGGCCGATATTATTTATATTGAGAGGGTTGTTCGCTATATTCGAGCTACGGTAAAAAAAATTTTTTTTAATGTCGAGAAAATGTCAGAATTGAATTTGAAATGAAGAATATTAACAGAGTCGAATCTCGCTTATAGATACACCTTAAATGTTGTACCCAAGGTTGGCGGATGCTGGGAAATCTTCGGATACCTGATCCTATATCCAAACTAGAGACCGGATCGGTACGATATACCTTCAACCCATCTCCAGGGTGGGGGATTAATAGAGCAAATACGGTATCGATGAAAAATATCGATATTATCGATGTCGATATAATCGAACGACACTAAACTCGGGTCTCTCTAATCCGAACCTGAATATTCCGGATATCCGATTTTTTTCTTATCCATGTCCTCCAACCTTAATCTACCCTATAATGAGGTGTATTTTAAATGGAGGGTATAGCTTAAGCATACCCCTCGTCTAGAAGGCCAACCAAAATTTAAAAACCTATCTTAAATACTCGATATCTTTGTAAACTTTTTACTTTATAAGATGAGGTTATTTTAAATAGAGAGTATATATTTATTTCGGTATAGTCCTTCACCCAATGGCTCACCAAATTTTTAAAAAGGTGAACGTAAAAAAATATTTACTTTTCATGAAAACCTTCTCTTTTTGTTAGTCCTCTACCCAATGGCCAACCAATTTTTTAAGTAGCTGTTTGTTAAATAGAGGGTTGTCTCTAATAGTGGGGGGTATCTTATAGTGTATGAGATTCGACTTCAAAATTAATAAAAAAATTTTCGAAATATTTTTTAGCTTCATTTTCTCGACAAAATTGATACTGAAGTACTCCTTGAGAAAGGTCTAGATAAATGGGAACCTGCTGATGAAATTGTTAAAAAAAGAGTAAAATTAGGAGAAGATTAAGGGGATTCTTTGTTTTTTTTTCAATTTTTAGGTAAAATTTTGTTTTAAAAATTTTTTTGTTAAATTTTTTATTTTTTGGGATCTTTTGTCATTTAATTTTTAAAAATTTTCCCCTTTAAAAATTTCCTCGTGGGTGTGGGGTCAATTGGGCGCCGCCAACTAAGCACGCCAACCAAGCGCCTTTTGATTAACTATAACTTTTTTATGTTTGATCCAATCATAATGAGTCTTATATCATTCGAAAGCCCTTGATGTATGGAATATTTTTTCTAATTGGATGGATCAAGTCTGATCACTCATTAAAAAGTTACAACCCAATAAATTCAATTATTTGGTGTTTTTCACATTTATCAGGCTATAACTTTTTAATGGTTGATCAGATTTGATCCAACCAATCAGAAAAAATATTCCACATATCAAGAGCTTTCGAATGATATAAAACTCATTCTGATCGGATCAAGCATAAAAAAGTTTTAGTGGATCAAAGAGCGCTAGGTTGGCGTGCTCAGTAATGTCGTTTCTTCCCCCTCATTTCCCACAAAAAATTTTTTTTTGTTAAAGACAAACAAAAAAACTATAAATTGCGTAAATGTGTGTTTGCGTGTTTTAAAATCCTCCCATCAATTTAAAAATTTTTTTTTATTTTTTTTTTTGGTTTCTAAAAAATGGGGGAAAAACATATTTTTAAAAAGTCACTCGAGAGAAGGGAAAAAGATCAGTTTTTGAATAGAGGGCAATATTTTTTCTTATAAAAAATTTTTTTCCTTCAATTTTCCTTCAATTTCCGGAGATAAGATTAAAAAAATTTTTTCACACAAATTAATCCATTTTTTGATTTATTTGATTCCCAATGGAGAGTGAACACCGTCTCTTCAGATACGGGTTCACCTCAGTTGACTCCCGGCCCCAAGAACATTAAAAATGCCCATTATTTTATGAGTTTTAGGGGTGGGACTAAACTGAATTGCCCTCTCGTTTTGAACACAGTCTTTAAAGGATTCCGTCACTCATTTCCTTTTTTATTAGGGTAGTACCCCGTCCCCCCGAAACGACCCGAACCCCGAAGGTCCCCCCGAAATCCCAACCCGATCCCCGACGAATTTTTAGTCAAAAACCCCTTACCTAAACCCCGTAGGCTCTACCCCGGCAAACCCTGAAATCCGACACTCCCGCCCTCGAAGGCTCTTGGTGCTACCCTATTTTTAATTATTAAACTTTTCCCTTATTTTTCTCTATTTTTTAAAATTAATCCCTCAACTCCCTTAAAAATATAGTTTTTTTTAATTTTGGAAGGAAGAAAAATTAAAAACTTGAGAGGATTTAAAAAGGCTTTATACTAGCATTTTTGGATCAATTTTTATAGTCTTTTAACAGATGTGTGTGCTTTTAAAAGCAAATTTTTGTTTTTATGTACTATTAAATAATGAGAAAAAGAAGAAGCAATTGGTGCTTTTCTTTCTAGTCTGAAAAAAAAATTTTAAATTAGAGGTGGTGGACTTGGTTTAGTCTTTAATATACCTAAATTGACTTTTCCCCCAAGTCACCCACCAAATTAATAATTTAAAAATAGGCTTTAACAAGCCTTATAAGCTAGTGATGGTCGAGACTCCCGAGTCGGGAATTTTCTCGAGTTTTTGAGCTGTCGGTCTCGGGGTTGCTTCTCTGTCTTGGTCTTGACTTCTAACTCCCTAAACTACATAGTGATGGTCGAGACTCTCGGTCTTAGTTCCCGAGTCGGGAAATCTGTCGAGGTTTGAGCTCTCTCAGTCTCTGGGTTGCTTCTCGGTCTCGGGGTTGATTCCCAGTCTCGGGTTGCTTCTCGGTCTCGGTCTTGACTCTCGGCTTTTTTTAACTCCGACCATCAACACTATTATAAACCTTATTAACCTTATAACCCTCATTACCAAAATCAGAAATCTTCTGATCAGAATTTAAAAATCAGAATAAAAATCAGAACTGAAATATATCAGAAATATACACCTTTTAAGACCAATTTGGACACTCTTGATATATATCCTTGAGAAGTCGGAAAAAAGTATTCATCACCGATATGTACATAAAATACTCGGAGTATCTTTTAGACATCCTCTCCCTTGGTCGAACCTCACGTATGTATGTGGCTCCCTTGGGGCTGTTAGAAATGTACACATGAGTTTCCTGGTTTCAGGAAACTTGGGGGAAAACCTCCCAACCTATTTAGGAACCCTCTCCCTCCTATGTATATTTTTTAAATTTTTAATTAATTTTTATTTTTAAGGGTTTTTTCAATTTTCCTCTCTTCTTTCTTCCCCTTTACAGCTTTTAAATTCTTGGAGAGCATCTCATTAATATTTTATGCCTCCACAGCCATATCAATTTAATAGCAACACTATTAGCAGTAATAGAATGGCAGGAAGTGGTTCACCTCCTAGACACGCACCTCTCTTAAGACGTCAAACTTCTAATTGTGAGAGAAATTTATTAAATGCTTCTGAATTAATTTTCTGATTTTATTTGAGTCTGTCAAAATTAATAGGCAGAGCTTGGACCAGAATAAAATCAGAATTTATGACCAGAATAAAATCAGAACTCATTAGATTAATATCAGAATAAGAATCAGAATGATCAGAAAAATTCAGAATCTAAATCAGAATTAACCAAAATCAGAACAGAATTTAAATCAGAATCAACAAAATATCAGAATAAAAATCAGAATTTATGACCAGAATAACAATCAATAAAAATCAGAACTTGAATCAAAATACAACCAGAAGGGTCAAAATAACAATCAGAATTAATCAGAATTTCTGATAAAAATCAGAATCTGATCAGAATAAGAACAGAATTTTAACCAGAAAAAAAATCAGAATTTGAATCAGAACATAAAAAAATCAATTTTTCAATCAGAATTATATACTTTTAAATTTATAGTGCCCGGTCAAGTTCATCACATGGCAGTAATGGTTGCCCCGAGCCGAGTCGACTACAGCGTCAACAAAGGTGGCCTTCGTTCCTGGGCAGTAATTATTGTATTTGTTCTGCTATGTTCTGCAATTTTGAATATATTTTCTGAAGAGGGGGAAGGACGTTATCGAGAGGAGGATTTTGATGGTAAGATTAGAAAAATCAGAATTAGTCAGAATAGAACCTGAATTAATCAGAATAAAAATCAGAACAAAATCAGAATAAAACCAGAACAAAAGCAGAATTAATCAGAATAAAAATCAGAATTGATCAGAATAAAACCAGAATTAATCAGAATAAAATCAGAATTAATCGGAATAAAAATCAGAATAAAATCAGAATTAATCAGAATAAAATTAGAACAAAACCATAATAATAGAATAAAAATCAGAATAAAATTTTCTTTAGAAAAAGAAGAATCTTTGGCTGCTCCAGAAGAACAGATCGGAACGTTTAAAGAGGAGGAGGAGGCTTATGAAAAGAGGTATTACCAAAAAGAGAAGGTGGAGGAGGGTAAAGAAAAGAGGCATGAAGCGTTTGGAGAGGAGAAGGAAGGAGAGGAGGAGGATGATAATGATGAGGAGGTGGATGAGGAAGACGATGAAGATGAAGAGGAGGAAGAGGAGGAAGAGGATGAGGAAGAAGAAAGCGAAGATTTGGGTTATCTAGAGGACAGGGAAGAATTAATGTTGGCTAGACTAAGTGAGAAAAGCTTGACTTCTTCAAAGAGAAAAGGAGGAGGAGGAGACGGGGGTGGACCTAAACTTATGGAAGTGAAGAAGCCAGAAAGAACGGAACCTGAAACTTTTGTAAGAAGAAAGCAAAAGGAGGAAATTGAAGAGGAGAAAGTAGGGAAAAATAATAATATTCTTAAAAAATCGAGAAAGAAATAAAATTTAATTTTTAATTTTTTGAAGCAACACTAAAATACATTTTTTTCAGTAGAAATTGTGTAGTTAAAAAATATAAAAATTAATATTGTATGAAAACTGTATAACAATTGTTCAATAAAATATCTTATTTATGTTTATGTGTTTTAGTGTTGTTTTGAAAGATTGTATTAGATTCGAACCTCATTATAAGATATAAAAATGTACAGAAGATGGGGGTGGACAAAGCATAGTACCCATATTTAAGATAGGGTTTCTTAAATTCGATTGTCATTGGGTGGGTTTAGCTGTTTAAGATCTACTTTAGGACATAGCTCAATGGATTCCAAAGTAGAGCCGTTGTCTAAGCGATACCCTCTATTTAAGACACCTCAGTATAAGGTACGATTTTTTCAGCCCCTCTATCTAAAGAAGTCTGTTTTTTTAGAAGTGTACAGCACCTAAAGAAAAGGGTGAAGAAGAGAAGGCCGAAGAGGATGGAGAAAAAGAAAGGGAAGAAGAAAATGAGGGAGAAGGAGAAAAGGATGAAGTTGCTGTCAATGTTGTAGAAGAAATCCTTTCAGACGAAAAGGAGCAACACAAGCAAGTACATAGGAAAAGAGTAAAGTCTTGGAGAGCTTTACAAACAGCAAAAAGTTTGGCGGAAGGAATGAGGCCGAGAAAAGAATTGCTTAAAAAGAGGCATAAACTGGTAATTTGGATGAGTTGGGGTTGTTTGGGCGCCTGGAAGTTTTGGCGCGCGCTTCAATACTGACACTTAGGCTAAGCCTAAATTTTTAAAAATTTTCTCAAAATTTTTTAACATCATTGACTACCTCCTCCAAAAATTTCAGAATTTTTCCTCAAATATTTTTGGAGTTATGGTCGATAAACCTCGAAAAATGTACATTTTTGGGTAGTTAAGCGACATTTTTGGTCATAATTTCTGAAATTCTGATCCAAAAATTCTGAAATTTGTGGAGAACTTAGTTGGACATATGAAGATTGTTGCTGCAAAATTTTTTTGTTTTTATAATGAAAATCAATAAAGTTATAAGCTCCCGCGTCTTAGTAACTTCGCGCCCTAACGACCCATCCAATCCTGAATATATAGGGTTTTCTCTCTTAAAATTTTATGTTCTTTTTTTTCTTAGAATAAATACACCCAAGAAGAAAAACAACAACAAGGAAATGAGGATGAAGAGGAAGATGAAGAAACGGAAGAAGAAAATTTTGGAGAAAATGAGCAAATTACAGAATTGGTTGCACAGAGGAAATTGTGAAAAGAAAAATTTTTTTGAAATTTCAAAAAAAAATTTTTAAAGGCCAGGTAGTTATAGCACTCGAAAAGCTGTCCTTACAAACAGAAATGATTATAAACATAGACATTTATTGGATGAAGCCGATTTTCTTAGTGAACAGGCAAGTAGTGAGTGGTGTCAGTTGAGCGACTCCAACCAAGCTTCCTTTGATCGGCTATAACTTTTTTTTATTTTTGATCCGATCAGAGTGAGTCTTATATCATTCAAAAGCTCTTGAGGAGTGGAATATTTTATTCAAGTGGGTGGATCAGGTCTGATCATTTATTAAAAAGTTATGACCCAATAAATGCGAAAAACACCAAATAATCGCAATTATTGGGTTGTAACTTTTTAATGAGTGATCAGACTTGATCCACCCAATTAGAGAAAAGATAGCGCTAATCAAGAGCTTTCGAATGCTATAAGTTTCATTCCGATTGGATCAAGTATAAAAAAGTTATAGTCAATCAAAGAGTGCTTGGTTGGCATGCACAGTTGGCCGCGCCCAGCTGACCCCACTTAATTATTAAAATTAATTTTTCAGCACGATTTTGTTTCTGCGCTTGAAAAATATCAAAAAGTATTGAATATTGATAGATCTAGTCCTAGGTGAATTTAAGTTAAAGAAAAATAAAAAAAAATTTTTAGAGCCCTCTTTGGAACGGCAAGAGTTTATCAATTAATGTCAGAATTTGCCGATGATGGAGACAATCGAAAATTATTAGACAAAGCAATGGAAAATTTTGAATTGATATTGTTAGAAAATAAGGATTCTGAAGATGTCCCAGACGAATTGTTTAGGTGAAAAAAAATTTTTTTTTGAAAAATTTTTGAAATTTTTGAAAATTTTCAAAAATTTCAAAAATTCCGAAAAATTCCGTAAAATGTCCCCACACTCCACCTCGGCAAGCAATATGTCATACGAAAGAGCTCGTCGAGCTGAGTCGAATGACACCAAAATTAAGCATGGGTCTCAATTATACGTTGAATTATGGTCTCAAAATGGTCAAAAATCGGTAGGGGGCTAACTTAAAGGATAGGGTGGGGGAATGTGAAAAAATTCTAAAAAAAATTGTAAAAATGAGGAAAAAATTTTGAAAATTTTTTTGAAACATTTTTGGAAATTTTTTAAAGAATTTTTCAAAATTTACGAAAATTTTTTTGAATTTTTTTGAAATTTTCAAAAATTTTTATCTTAGGCTTTCTGCCCTCTATTATGTACAGTGTGCTAGATTTCGTGGGGGAAGTCAACAACTCCATAAAATATTACAAATTCAAAGAGCATTGGTTAGAAAACTTTAAAAAATTTTTTACAAATTTTTAAAAATTTTTCGGTCGATCGCTTCCCAGAGGATTTGGATGCTCAATGTGATTTTGGGGTTACTTGGCTTGGAATGAATAGGCCTGATGAGGCTGCGAATATTTTTAAAAATGTGTAGAATCTTTGAAATGCAGTCAAACCTCTCGCTGTAACATTCCTTTATAGGACCTTATAATGAGTTGTAACTTAAATAGAGAGTATTGCTTAGGTGGAGGAAAGAGCCATTTAGGCGCCGCCAAACGGCCACGCCAACCTGGGGGTCATTTGGGCGCAGCCGGCCTCTCTAGTGACCCTCTCTACTCCGTAGCCAAACAAATTAAAAAAACGTCTCATAAATGGAGGTGTCTCTAATATTGAGGGTATTTTATAATGATGTTTGACTGTATCCTTTATAAATTTTTCAAAAAAATTAATTTTTCCCTCAACAGATTTTAGAGATTAACCCTCACCATTCACAAGCTCAAGCTTATTTTGGCTATATTCTAAAAGTTTATGAAGGCGATTTGGAAAGAGGAGTTCAATTAATGAGAAGAGCTTTGCGTGATAATAAAGAGGGAAATGTTGCGAATGATCAAAAATTTTATTTCCATTTGGGAGATGCCCTTACCCGTCTAGGGAGGTTAAAAGACGCCCATTCAGTGTATGCCGATGCTGTGAAATATGGACTATTCCCTTCGGTAAGGATGGGAGGGGGAAGGGGGGGGGGATGGGGGATACCCTCAACTGAAATAACGATTCAACTAAGTCCCGGTCCCTATAACTTATCAAGGGGTGAATAGTTTTTAATGTTCTTGGTACCGTTGGATAGAGGATTAAATACCCTACAAAATGGCAAAAAATCAAAATTATCGATTGATTGAAGGAAAAGTTATAATAAAAAAGAATGGGGGATTTTTTGATTAGACCTCCACTCGCGATTTAATCAAGCCTCTTCCATATAACTCAAAAATGGGTCGATAGTTTTTAGTGTTCTTAGTATCGTTGGATAGGGAATTAAATACCCTATAAGATGGCAAAATATCAAAATTTTCGAGTGACCGATAAAAAAGTTATGGTCAAAAAAAGAAGGGGGAATTTTCGGATACCCCTTAATTGACTAACGATTCAGCTGAGTCCCAACCACTATAACTCAAGAAGGGCTGGTCACTTTTTAGTGTTCTTGGTACCGTTGGATAGAGGATTAAATACTCTACAAGATGACAAAAATTCTTAGTTATCGATTGATCGACAAGAAAGTTATGTTCAGAAAAGAAGAGGGGATTTTTGGGCAATTGACTCCCGGTTTCAGACGTTCATGGTACCGTTGGATAGAAAAATTCTCGATCTCGATAACCACGATTTTCGATCGTTTCGGTCCGACCTCTAGTATTTATAGTAAGTCAGACGACAAGTAAAAATATTTTTTAAAGACCCTTCAACGTTCATTTCATAATTTGGCTAAATTGACAGCCCGTCCATGGTGGACAATTGAACAGACTGAATGTTCTAGACAATTGAGACAATTAGAAAGGCATTGGACGACTGTTAAGGGTTGGAAAGAAATTTTTTTTTATTTACAAAAATAAAAAATGCCCTCGAAAGAGCTTGTTAAGTTGAGTCCACTCTACTGTTTTTGACCATTATGAGACCATAACTCCGCCTACGATTGAGACCTAAGTTTAATTTTGGTGTCAATCGACTCAGCTCGACGAGCTCTTTCAAATGCCATATGGGACATTTGACGGAATTTATTCGGTTAAGTTGTCCGTATGTGTCGATGTTCGCAAATGTCTGTATTCGCGATTGTCGATGTTCTCAAATGTCTTTGTCCACAAATGTCGTTGTTCGCAAGTGTCGATGTTCTCAAATGTCTTTGTCCACAAATGTCGTTGTTCGCAATTGTCGTTGTACCCAAATGTCGGTGTTCCCAAATGTCTTTTACCCAAATGTCTCTGTATCCAAGTGTCGATGTTTGCAAATGTCTGTGTTCTCAAATGTCTCTGTACCCAAATGTCGTTGTACCCAAATGTCAGAAAAATTAAAAAATCAATTTTTAGAAGAAGCCCAACAAATGTGGCATAATCACCAACATTTATTTGAAAAAGATAATTATTCAAATAATTTAATAAATGAAGAAAATGATGGTCATTGGATATTAAAAATTAAGGACAAAGGCAATTCAATTAGCGAAGAAATATGTGCAGATAATTTAATGCCATTAACGTGCCAAATGTTGAGGGAAAGTTTTAGTGATGCAGTTTGTGCGAGGGAAAATGTGAGGGATTTTTAAATAAAAAATTCTTCCGGAAAAGTTTCCGGAAAAATTTTTCGTTTCGGAAAAGCCGAAGGGTGGGGTGGTTTTGGCGCCTGAAAGTTTGGGCGCGCACTTCGATACTGAGACGTAGGGGAAGCCTAAATTTTTGAAAATTTTCTCAAAATTTTTTAACACACTTGGCTACCTCCTCCAAAAATTTCAGAATTTTTCATCAACTATATCTCGAGTTATAGTCGATAAACCTCGGAAAATAAGGCATTTTTCGGTAGTTAAGCGACCCTTTTTGGTCATAATTTCTGAAATTCTGGTCCAAAAATTCTGAAATTTTCTGATAACTTAGAAAAACATACGAGGATTATTTTTGAAAAATTTTACATTTTTAGACACTCATTTCTCAATTTTATTTTACAGGTTCGTCTATCAGTACTTAAATCAGGCACTAGCACTTGGCCCCATTGCGGTCCGACAAATTATATTTTAGAAGCCCATCTTGGACTTGTTACACACTCTGACGCTCGTCTACGTGTAGGAAATGAGACTAGGTGAATTTTAAAGAACAATAAAATTCTTAGTTTTACGGTAATGGACGTCTCAGTATAGCCGTTTCAATCTCGGGCCATATTTTGTGCCATAACTTTTTTGATTCTTAACCGATTTAAATAATTATTACAGCAATCGAAAGCTCTTGATTAGAGGATTATTTTAGCTAGCAGGATTGATGTGATCAGAGCATCCTACAAAAACTTACAGCTGAATAAGTGTCAAAAATCACGATTTTGTGGACTTACCCAAATGTAACTTTTTGTAGGTTGATCTGATCAAATCAATCCTTTTAGCTAAAATAATCCTCACATCGAGAGCTTTCGATTGGTATAATAATCACTTAAATCGGTTAAGAATCAAAAAAGTTATGGCCAAAAATATGGCTCAAGGTTGATATGGTTACGCAGAGTCGTCCCTTAACCCACTAAATTTTATAGAGGCTGGAAGCAAGGAAAGATGTTGATTTTTGACACAAGTTTTGAACACGAAATAATTTTTGAGGGGGTAAATTGATTAGAAATTAATTTAAATATTTAATATTATGTAGGCTCCAGCAAACGCCTTACGTATAGCACTTATTTTTGAGCTTTGGCATCCGGAAGTTCCCCATGCATTGAGGGGAAAAATTGATAAAGTGGAGGATAACTGAATTGGGGATAGAAAATTTTTTGTGATAATAATCATTCAACTCCTTAAATATGAAATAATAAATTTAATTATTTTAAATTTATAGTTGATTTTTTAAGCTAGAGAACGACGTTATCAAACGTCGTGTTGTCAAATGTCTTGTTGTCAAAGGTCGTGTTGTCAAATGTCGAATGTCTTATGTCGTTTTCACAAATGTATTTTATAACTCATTTTTCTGATTTTTCTCGTCACTTAATGACTCAACATTTGACAACGCGACATTTGATAACGCGACGTTTGAGATTCCGACATTTGACAATACGACATTTGGTATTCACGACATTTGACAACGCGACATTTGACAATACGACATTTAGTATTCACGACGTTTGACAGCATGACATTAGAGATCGCGACATTTGCGAATACGACACTTGATAATCACGACGTTTGACAACAGGACATTTGATAACGCGACATTTAATAACTCAACGGTTAGCAAACCGACATTAGAGATCACGCTATGTGCTAAATTTAAGGACATCTCTTGAAAATAATTTTAATTCTTGAAACCTTTATGTTCTAATTTAAAATAAATCAACAAAAATTCAACCAAAAAACAATTTTTAAATAGCTACAGATTTTTTTGATCTATCAACTTTCTCCTCCCCCTCCGTTTCGTTTTCAAAATTCTTTTCATTTTCTTCGTCAACTTGTGAAGGTTCTGTCTCTAAATCATTATTGTCCAGTTCAGTAACTTCTTCCAATTCATCCCCTTCATTATCGGCAATATTCGAAACATCCTCATCGTTTTCTAATTGATTTAGCGACGAGGGATCGGAACCTACAGCTGCAGCCTAAAAATTGAAAAAATATTAAAATGAAGCGGTGTTCCATCAGGAAAGGGAGGAAAGGATCAGCCCAAAACGGCGCGCTGCCATAACGGCGCAAAGCTATAACTTACTTCAAAATTTCCGAATCTTACCAAATTTAGTATTAAACGATTCCTCCCATCGAGCTATAGAGATTCGTACCAAAATTGATCAGCACAAGACACTTTCTAGCAAGTTATGGCTTTGCGCCGTTATGACCGCGCGCCGTCTTGGGCGTGTCCCGGAGGTTTCGAGAATTCGACATTTGACTATCGGACATTAGGGAACACAACACTCGACATCTAACTTTAGAAGTCTTGACATTTGAGTAACCTCTATATGACATAATTGGACCCGAATCTAACAAACAATACATTAACGAACACGACATATGACTATCGGACATTAGGGAACACAACATTAGAGGACCCAACATTTGTGAAGAGCACCGATATTTGAGCACCCGATATTTGAGTACCCTTCGGCCTACTGTACTAATATTTGTCATTCCGACATTTGAGGACACGACATTAGGGAACCCTACATTTAGATAAATTCTTAGAAACTTCAAAATTTACATAAGTATTTTTAGCAGCCGCACATAAATCTTTATTAATGCTTTTATCACCAGTTTCATCTTCAGGATCAGTAATGTAATTGTGGGCAGGTAATGTAGTTAACCATCTCATCATTCTAAAAGATTATTTTTAAAATTATTAAAAAAATTTTTTATCAAGCTGTGTTAACAGCACGTTTTTATGTTCAATTTAAAAAGCTCCTCTACCCTTTGGGCAACCAAAATTATATGTTGAGGATATCTTAAAGGGAGGGGGGGGGGTCATTTCGACTTTCGCCCATCTTTTTTGGCGTTTCGTCCTTTGCTTTTTAAAATCTGTTTCGGCACACTCCTGGTATCTTATAACAAAATCGGAATATTAAAATTATGGAGCAGTTCAGTTTGGTTCCGCGCCTAAGTTGACTCACAGCCCTATAACTTAAGAAGGGATGGTCACTCCTTAATGTTCTTGGTACCGTTGGATAGAGAATTGAACACAATACAAAGTACCAAAAAATCAAAATTATCGATTGATTGACAAAAAAGTTATCTTCCAAAACCTAAAAAAATTTTCTCAAAAAACTTGATTTTTTGACACTTTATCGATCATAACTTTTTTATAAATCAATCAATAATTTTGATTTTTTTGGTATTTTGTAGCAAATTTAATTCTCTATCCAACGATACCAAAAACTTCAAATAATGTTCATTCCTTCAAGAGTTACAGGGTCGGGAGTCAACGTACCCCAAAGAAATTTTTTTTAAAAATATTTTTTCTCTCACGATTGTGTTCGGCATTCTTCACTTAGAATTCTATCCATAATCATTTTATCTCTCCATTCAAGTAGTTGAGTCTCAATTTCTTCTCCCCAATTATTCAAGGAGCCATGGGTTTTTTCAAAACGTTTTTCAAAGCGATCGTAATGGAGGCGTTCTTTAAGTTAAAAAAATTTTTTAAATTAAAAAACTAATACGAGAGGAATTGTGGTTGGGAGAGGACTTTCAATCAGACAGGACGAATTCCAAAAAAAATTTTTTACTTAAAAAACAATGAAGGGGTAAAGACGAGGGACCTCGGGGAGGGAGGTGGGAGACTTTAGGGATTCCAAAACAGACATGAACGAATTCCAAAAAAATTTTTTTAGGCCAACCCCAACTCTTAGATTACCCCGTATCTAATTCAAATTTAATACTCAACAAAATTTTCTTCCGGAAAATTTTTTTCTTTCCGGAAAACTTAAAGGTTTGGGGTTGTTTGGGCGCCTCCGAGTTTTGGCGCATGCTTCGATATTGACACTTAGGCTAAGCCTAAATTTTTGAAAATTTTCCCAAAATTTCTATATATCCTTGACTACCTTCTCCAAAAATTTCAGAATTTTTCATAAAATATTTTTGGAGTTATGGTCAATAAACACGAAAATTTAGGCATTTTGGGTGGTTAAGCGACATTTTTGGGCATAATTTCAGAAATTCTGATCCAAAAATTCTGAAATTTTTGGAGAACTTGGAAATCGAGAAAAACAAATTTTTAAGAGCCGAACCAAGCAAAAGTCCAAGTCCAGGAGCTTTTGGGATATCCATCCTTACAGCTAAAAATGAACGAGCAACGTCACTTTTATACATAAATCCACGCATTATTGCTAATACAGTCCCTTGAAAAATTTATTTTTTAAATTATTTTAATTTTAATTAGGATTGATCCCGGATCCGCTGGTGAGAATTTTCCCCTCGAACGGGGATGTGTGGGGAAAAGTATTATCAAGGATCCGTGACGGAGACAGAAATTTTGCCGGAGAATAGGGAGTATGGGAAAGCTCTAGATTTAAGGATTATTTTATCTAACAAAATTGATTTGATCAGATCATTCTACTAAAAATTACAGCCGAATAATTATCAAAAATCACGATTGCGCGTACTTACTAAGGTGTAACTTTTAGTAGGATGATCTGATAAAATCAATCCTCTCAGATAAAATAATCTATACATCGAGAGCTTTCGATTGGTATAATAATCACTTAAATCGGTTAAGGTTTAAAAAAGTTATGGCACAAAACATGACCTCAAGTCGTCCCCTACACCCTTGATTTTAAGCCTCCAAATAATTAAAAAAATAAAATTTGAAAAGTAACTCAAATTTATTTATAAAAATAAAAATTTTTTAAATATCCCTACCAATCATTTTTCGAATTTGGTGAAGTATAAAACTTTGGCCACGTATTTTAATCCGTACAAATTCAACAGGTTTAAGACGTATTGGGTCGGTGTAGAGAAAAGGTCTGAAGGAGGGGAAAATTTTTTTTTGAAATTTTAAAAATTTTTTGGACTAAAAAATTTCTTTTTAACCTCTAAAAATTTTTTTTTCTTGCCTTGAAAATTTTTTAAAAAATTAAAAAAAAATTTTTCTTACTCTTCTGCAGTAATTGAAAGAATAACACGACGTGCAGTTTGGTCAGAAAATTCCCTATAAAATTAAAAATTAATTTAAAAATATAGGAAAATTTTTTTGAAATATTTTAAAAATTTCAAAAAAATTTCTGAACCCCTAAAAATTAAAAAAAAATTTTTTAGAATTTTTAAAACCAATTTTTAGACCAGAAAAAATTAGTGGAGCTGGCCGGAATTGAACCGGCGACTTCTTGCATGCTAAGCAAGCACTCTACCACTGAGTTACAGCCCCACACATTAGAGGAGAAAAAAATAAGATTTAAGAAATAAAGGGAAAATAGAGGGGAAAGGACAGAAATGAAGGGAAAACCACCCATAGGCTAAAAAAATTTTTTAAAAATTCCAAAAAAATTTTTCAAAAAAAATTTCTAAAATATTTTTAAGTCTAAAAAAAATTTTTAAAAATTAAAATAAGAAAACCAACAATCCAGAAGTGTAATTAAAAAAGTTGTGTGATCCAACATAACATCCAAGTAATTCATTTAATTCTTCAATACGTTTTGGGGAAATTCTGTATTCATCAGATGTTACCTAAAAATTAATTTATTTTTTAAAATGGCTTTTTAGGGAAGTTTGGGTTTTTTGTTCGGGAAGTTGAGGAAGTTAAGGCTTGACTGCAAGGCGCGCGGGCTTATGGTGAAGTCCAGTAGATATCGAGATTTTTGTTGAAAAGCCTGGGCCTGTTCCTGGGTTTGATTTATTGACCTGGACTGGATCCTGGGCCTGTAGCCCAGGAAAAACCCAGGAAGGTCAAAAAATGCCTGGGCCTGGACTCTAGGTACAGGAAAACCCAGACCTTGGTTGGTCCCGAATTTAATTACAAAAAATTTTTTTAAATGAATTTAAAAACCTCATCCATAGAAGCAAAAGAAAATGTTGGAAGAGTATACGAATAGGTACGAGAATCACAAGATTTTTGGGCGTGGAAAGAAGGCGTCTGAAAAATTAAAAAAGTATCAAGTGACCCAACAATTTTGCTAATAACTCTTCAAAAAATGGCGGCCACTTTCTAAAGTTCTTGGTACCGTTGGATAAAGAATTAAGAGCTCTACAAGAAAACAAAAACATCAAAATTATCCACTAATCGATAAAAAAGTTGTGGGCCAAAAACTAAAATTTTTCCCAAAAAATATAGATTTTTGGGACTTTTTGTCCCATAACTTTTTTATGGAAAAATCAAAAATTTTGATTTTTTGATATTTTGTAGTGCTCTTAATTCTCTATCCAACGGTACCAAAAACTTAAAAAGTGACCACCCCTTGATGAGATATTTGGAATAAACCAGGGTGTACCCTTAATTTAATTAAAAATAGAATACCACTCGTCTAACAGCAAAAACGTGAATATCTTCAGGTAGAGAAGTATTTAAAAGAGCAGGTCCGTTATCAATAAAATTTTGATCCATTGGTAAATGCATGGAACAAACCTGCAAAGAGAAATTTAAAAAAAATTAAGGAAAAAATTGAAAAAATTTTTTTTTAAATTTGCGGACAAAAAAATTTCTTGCGGACACCAAAAGATAAAAAAATAAAATTTATTAAAGCAAAAAAATGAAAAAAAAATTTTAAAATAAAAAAAACAAAATACTAGTGTTTAAAGGTTAAAAAAAGGCATAAATAAAATAAAAGTGCCATAAAGGAATCGAACCTTGCTAAAGAAAGAGGGAAAGTCTAAAGCGTTAACCACTACACCACGCAATGTGTTACAGCTTTAAGTTAAATAACGTTTATAACAAAGGTTAGAAATAGATCAAAATAGATGTTTTTCGGGATTATAAAAAAATTGAAAAATAAAGGGATCGAAAAAGAGCTGACTCTTTTTCAGCGAAAAAGAGCTGAAAAAGAGCTGATCCAGGAAAGTCAAAAAATGCATGAGTTCCGGGTACAGGAAAAACACAGCCCATGTCCCAGAAACAGCTCAATCCCCAGTGGGTTATGTAATATTCCCCGCCCGCTCAAAATTAAAAATGGAAAGGTAACCCCCACTTTGTTCGAAAAAAAATTTTTTTAGAGCAAAGAAAAAAATCGAAAAGCTTAGAAAAAAGGACACTTAAAATCCCCTCACCCCCTAAAAACAAAAATCCCAAACCCTCAAAAAAATTTTTTTCAAAAAAACCTGTCCAACAGCACTAACAGAACGGTCAGTTCTAGCAGCTCGTTGAAAATGCCAATCCATCAAATTAACATAATGCTCTTTTGTTATAAATCCGTGGGCTTCCATAGCGTTGAATAAGTGGTTTTCGATGGTTGGGAATTTTGGGTTTCTTTGAAACTTGAAAAAAATTTTTTAGAAAAATTAAAAAAGATAAATTGACTCAATGATTTTACTAAATAAAAAAATCCGCAAAAATTTCTGGTAGCAGAACGAGGTCAAAATTAGGGCTGGAAGGTAGGGAGAGCTAGTTCAGGAGTCAATACGATTTTTAGAAAATATCCCTGATCCTATGGCAGAAAAATTTAAAAAAAGGGCCTGATACGGATGTAAGACACAGATGAGTAATATTTAACCTGAAAGACTCCATTTCTTCCTCCCCGAAGTTTTTTCCTAAAAATTTGCAAAATGGTCAAAATTCGGTAATAGTTTGAAATTCGCCCCCCTTTTTTTTCCTTCTATTTTTTCCTCGTTTTTTCATTTTATGGCAAATTATATATCATTCAAAAGAGCCCTTCGAGCCGAGTCGAATGACATTAATATTAACGAAAACTGACTTAAGTGAACAAAGTTGTGACCGCTTATTTTAGCCACATGGAGTGTCATAAAGAGTCTTCCCAATAAGGATTTTGCTTCATAATTTTGGTAAGAATGATCAGATCTAGCCAATTATGGTATTATTCGACCAAGCTTGAAAAGCTCTTTCGAATGATATATGATAAATTAAGTATCAAACAAAAAAAGCTCAAAATGGTCAGGGAAACGCTGAAAAAAGGGGGGCGAATTCCAAACTATTACCCAAAATTCCAAAGGGGGAAAAATTAACTCATTTTGATTTTTTTTGGCAAAACTAGAAGGACAATTGGAATGGTCGAAAAGACTGACTATTCTAAAGACATATAGGAAAAGACTGGGAGAGCGAAAACGAGGTCTGTCAAGTTCAATATTATCCACGGCTGAAATCTACCTAATAGACAAATTAAAAAAAACCTGCATTCCAAAATAATTTTGTCCTTGATATGCCAACAACATTGCATATTTAACCTTTTTAGGCTTCCTCTGAATTTTTGGCGAAGTGGGGCCATTTATGGCTGAATTGGCCGTTTCCTCAGCTGAGCGCTTTCTCAAGGCATTGTTTGATTCAATTGAAGTATTGTTTAACATTTCAAGAAAGGAACGAATAAAACGTTTAATCATTCAAGAAAGTGATACATTTACACAAAATAAAAAATTAAAAACAAATTTTTTTTCGAAAAAATTTGGGTGGGAGACAATAGAGTCTCCCCACAAATTAAGTCCTAGAGGCATATTTTGGGCCATAACTTTTTTTAAACTTAACCGATTCGAAAAATTTTTTTATCATTCGATAGCCCCGAATGTGAGGATTATTTTATCCAACAGGACTAATTTGATCAGATCATCCTACTTAAAGTTATGGTCGAATAAGTGCGCGCAATCGTGCTTTTTAACATTTATTTGGCTTCAACTTTTAGTAGAATGATCTGATCAAATCAATCCTGTTAGCTAAAATAATCCACTAATCAAGAGCTTTCGATTGATATATTGACCATTTAAATCGGTAAAAAATCAAAAAAGTTATGGCCCAAAATATGCCTCAGGAACTCAATCAGCAGGACTCAAGTGGTACGTTCAGGAAAAATAAAATAAAAAATAAATGGACGTTTCATCGCTAAATTTGGTCGCGAGTGCATCGGCTCCTAACTTATACTGTAACTCAAGAACGGATGGCTACTTTTTCGAATTCTTGGTACCGTTGGATAGAGAATCGAATTTGCTAAAAATACCAAAAAATTAAAATTTTCAAGTGTTTCGTTGAAAGGGTGTAACCGAAAAAGCTCCAAAAATCGCGGTTTTTTGAAAATATTTTTAGTTTTTGGACCATATCTTTTTGTTCGATCAGTCGAAAATTTTGATTCTTTGGTATTTTGCAGTAAATTTAATTCTCTATTCAACGGTACTAAGAATGTTAAAAAAATCCGCCCATTTTTGAGTTAAAGGGGTCTCTAAACGGAGGCAAAAAGAGTGCGAAATCGGTCAAAAAGGAGGCAAAAAAGGGGGTAAAAAAGGGTCGACATCGGTCAAAAAAGGGGACAAATGCCTCCCAAATAAGGCAAAAATGGAGGAATAAGGCAAACAAATAAGGAAAACAGGGAGGAGGGGGGGGGGGGTGAATAAAGTACCAGAAATTAGAGTTGGTTAATGATGTGTCTACCAATATTATATGTCTTTCTTCAGGACGCTTGTGTTGATGCCCACTCTCTCATTTGTAAAAGACGCAGAAAAATGTCGACGTTTTGAGCAAGAGCAGATAACCTCAACTGCCCACTGGTCGGTTTTTCTGCGTCCTTTACAAATGAGAGTGATCATCAACACAGGCGCCCTGAAGAGACTATAATATCGGTAGACACATTATTATCCAACTCTACCATAAAATAGGTATATCATAAAAGGCGATTCAAAGACGAGTATATCAAAGTTTCTCTTTTAAAAGTTCTTTTAGTAAGCTTGGAATGTCTTCAGGCACGCTATCTTCTTTTTTACATTTTTCAAAGGTAGAGGAGGTCGTTGATGAATGCTTCTCCAACTTGTTTTCTCCTCCATTCATTTCTTCTATAAAAGGCTTTGCTACTTGTTGAATACCTTCAAACACTTTAGATACTTTTTCTTTATTCTCTTCCAAAGATTTTTTGATTGTTAAATAGGTTTTAATTTCGCTCTCTTCTAAAATTGATAGGTTTTTAATATAGAATTAAGGAACAGAGACTCTAATGTATAGTACTGTAACGCATATAGCTATTTAATTCCTAAGGCTATGCAGTAGGCGGTGTGGTGTAATGGCTAAGACACCAGTCCGGTCTACTGAAAATGCTGGTTCGCTCCCAGCCGCCGATTAACCTCTTACACTAGTTAAGGGAGAGAAATAGCTATAGCCCATCTGCTTTACTGGTAGCCCTATCGAAGGGTATTTGTAATGGTAAGCGGAAGCGCCTAGCATAATTTATTAGGACGTCCCAGGATCGATGCCTGCCAGGTAGTGTTTGCACTAGGCCCACTAATAGCTTTAGTTTTAAAAATAACCTTTAATATTTGTAGAATTTTTTCTCAGAGACTCAACAGTCTGTTTCTTTGATGCACAAAGTGTAGAAAACCAAAGTCGTGGTGAATTAGAGTTACTACTTCCACATGATTTCAAACTCGAATCAGCTTTAATTTTGAGAGTCGGAAGAATACGACCGGAAGAGTCTGAACCTGAAGTCTCTCCAACGCTGCCAAAGCTGCTGCTCCCCTTTGATGTCCCTCCAAAGCCAAAGCTACTCCCTTTTGAATCAAAGCTTTCATTTAAAAATTTCTCGCTATCAATCTTTCTCTCTTCCTTCTCAATTCTTTTTAAATAACCAAAAATTGTATTTTTATAGAATTTGTCAGACTCTAACAAATCATTCCCCAATTTTTCTATTTCATAAAGGTTCTTCAAACTATCTTTATAACTTTGTAATTCCTTTCTATCAATTTTTAACTCATTTCTCACTTGATTTCTTTTTTCGGTTTTCAAAAGAGCATACAAATCGTCATCCAACTTTCTAATTTTCTTTAAATATCGTCTAGTACTAGAAAATCCATTTTTCTTTATATCTCCTTTCTCCACGCTTAATCCATATTTACTTGATATACCAGCAATTTCTTTATCGATTTCAACCTTTAATTGCTCTACTTTCTCATAATTATCCCCAAAACCTTTTAATGTTTGTTCAGAACTCAAAGCCAAACGATACGAATTTTTATAAAGCATTTCAACAGCATCGTTCATACCTCGATACAAACGTAGTTTTTTATATTGTGCAATGTCGGGAAGTTTTGTCTATAAAAATAAAAGTTTTTAAAAATAAATCTTGTCTTTTATAGGGTACGTCTCAACGGATCTGTATCGGACAAAAATACTTGACGCTAAACTTTAGACACTTGAAATGGATGCCCATATATACTGGTGTACTTGACATACTTAATACTTGACATACTCAACAAGAACGTCGTATTAATAAAAATCAATGAACTTACTTTCACTTCTGTATTAATAAAATTAGCAAATTCGTTCACAATATTGTTATAATATTCAATAAAATTTAGTAAAGTTTCCAAATTTTCCTTTAACGGTTCTTCAAGTAATTTCTTTACCTCTAACAATTTTTTATGAATTATATCTTCCATATATTTTCTCAAAACTTTTCTTTCACTTCTATATATTATACAAATATATAACATATCGTTTAATACTTCACGATCTTCAATTGGTAGTTCCTTCCCATACGTTTTCTTCACCTTTTTGTTTAGAAGCTTTGTTATTTTTTCCAACGTCTCATCGTCTATATATTCTTTAGTTTCTTCCACTTTCTTCTCATCCCCAAATTCTTCCTTGTTCCCCTTTTCGCGAATCTTCCTTTGATCCCGCAACTTTTGCTCATCTCTCTTCTTTTCCTTGCCTATTTCTGCTTTCTTCTGCTCACCAATTTCTGCTTTCTTCTCCTCCCCATATTCTTCCTTGTTCCTCTCTTTACGTATCTTCCTATGATTTCTCCCCTTATTTTGCGTATCTATTTTCTTCTCCATCTCTTCATTTCCCTTGCTTCTCTCCGCAATTTCTGCTTTCTTCTCCTCCCCATACTCTTCCTTGTTTCTCTTTTTACGTATCTTCCTCTGATTTCTCCCCTTATTTTGCGTATCTATTTTCTTCTCCATCTCTTCATTTCTCTTGCTTTCCTCCCGAATTTCTGCCTTATTCTCCCCTGCTAACTCTTCTTTCTCTTCTATTTTATCCTCTACTTCATTATATATTTCCAAAAATGTTAACATTCGAGTTAAACTCTTCCTTCTCTTCAGCATCTTTTCTACTGTATCTTTCCAATTTTCAATTTTTAACATTTCCTCTATCTGTTCCACCAACCAATCCTTTATTCCTTTCCCTTTTTCGCTTGCTACCTTATGCCCCTCTATTTTTTCCATTATTTCGCTCTCTACTTTATGCCTCTCTATAATACCTTGCCCTTTTATTGATCTCTCTTCCTCTAACTTTAATTCAAGATTTTCTTTTGTAAATTTTAATAATTTTAATAGAGGTTCATTTTCATATTTAAAGGTGTTTATGAACCATTTTTCATCTTTTCCTTCCTTGATTACTTCGACAAAATTAACATTTTTAAATCCATTCAATTTGTTTAGTAAATTGGTTCTGTAAGAAATAAAATTTTTTGAAGTTTTTTGTGGACTTAAAAAGAGAGTACTCTTTAGAGCAAGTACCGTAATACCGGCAAATACCGAAAATTTCATCGGTATCGTTTTTAGTTTTTCCTTATGTGCTCTGTACATTTATTTGGACCCGTAATCTTTTCATTTGGCGCATAAACTTTTCATTGATCGTTAAGAGTTGATTGGATGCATAATCGGGACAGGAGCCCACTATTGCTCTTTAGAAAGTTAAGAGAGAGACCTCTATATCTCTAGAGCAAGACTCACAATTTAAAATAAATAAATTACCTCAACTCCTTTTCACCAAGAATTTCAGTTCCACAATTCTCTTTCTTACAATATACTTCCCACTCATCAGGTGTAGGTAAAACCCAATCTTTCGGATTATCTCCATCACACTCCGGCACCCTATTTCCCAATATAGTCCTTTTTACTTCCTCAACCCCGCATTGCGTAAAATTGAAATATTCAGCCACAATATTTTTTATATACCCTTCTTTATTGTTTTTAAACAACTTTTCAATTTTTTCAACTCTTTCTTTTAAACTTGATGTTAATTTTGTTATGTCATTGCGTGTAGTGATAAATGATTCGCTCAGATTGAAATAACCGGGAGGATAGTCCTTGAGAATTTCGATGATTTTGCTTAATGGCCCATTTGTTTCTTTCTAAAAAATATTTTTTATATTTTTTAAGATTATGATTTGAGAGTTATGAGTAGACAACACACCTAACAGACAACACACCCTTCCCCAAAAAGGGGAAGTTGTTCCTTATAAAGCGATCCTTATACCTGAATATCATGCAATACACTCTTGATATAAGCCTCATCATAAATTGATTGTGTCATATTATCACGATTTTTTTCAATAACACCTATTGAAGTTTTTATATCGCTAGCTTCCATAATTTGACGTGTTGCTATCATTTTGTTTAAATATTCAATCAACTGGCTAGCCTTCTCTTCATTTTCCCCATAATTGCTTTCGTTAATCATGCTTTTAATAGTTTCAGAAGTCTCGTCCTTCTTCCATTCTGGCATATAATTAATTTTATGTTTGCTAGACAACTTTTCATTCTTCTGTTTAATATCTTTGTAAATATCAAAATTTTCCTTTGCATTTAAATAATATTTAAATATTCCAAATGCATCATTAATCTCTTCAATTTTCCTTCTTTCCTGCTCTGATTTTCCATTTTGACTATCAGAATGTTGTAACAGAGGTTCACCATTAGATGACGAACCGGTAGGCGATCCCATAGATGACCCCGTCATTTTTGGAGAATTCTGACTTCCTTCGGTCAGGCCTTTTTGGCTTTTAGAAGGTGAAAGATAAGCTTTTATACTATCAAAAGACCGCAGAGCTTTTAAGCCGTTTTTATCTTTCTGACTTCCAGAATTTTCAAGACGTTTACTATTATGGAATTCAACGTTTTTCTGATTTCCTTTACCATTTTTGAAAGCATTCATTTCCTTTATACCTGCAGCAACATCATCAATGTTCAACTTTATTCCCTGGTGGCCATTCTTCTTCAGGCTCGTAGAATTTTGGAGATTATTGCTTCTAGCCAATTCCGCGCCTGACTCGAAATCATATTTATTGGCTGAATATAAATTTTTAAGAATTTTTAAATTATTATTATTAGATTTGAAACAAGCAAAGTTGATAGTTTGAGTCCCTTTCCATTTTCATGTTGTTTCTTAATAATGGATAGGCAAAACTTTGCCTGCTTTCCCTAGTTCTTAATTCTTATGTTACACACACAATATCGGATCTTAGCAAAGGTTCCATAGAAAGGGGAATGAAAAAGGAGAGGGGGGGGGGGAGACTTCCAAAGCAATACTACCTTCATCTTCCCAGTTAAACTCTTCATCGCTACTTTCTAACATTGCCAACAAATTTCTTCGGTTTTCTTCCTTTGTTAATTCTCTCTCCTCTGAATCTTCTTTCAGAGTTCTAAAAATTAAAAAATAATACAATGAAGGTTAAGTCCTTTGAATAAATTTTAGAAAGGAAATAGTGTCGGTGACTGGTTAGTTTGGCGTTGTGCGCAAAAATGACACTTAGTCCAAAATGCCTGCCAGTGCTGAGTATTGGGCATTTTGTGCTCCAACCGATTTCAAACCTAGGCTCCAGCTTTAAGTTTTCAAAATTTTAGTTCGGAGAGCTAACTTCTGGAATTATCCAGCACTGATGTTTTTATGTTTTAGAAGAGTCCGGAACTGGATTATCGATTTCATACATATAAGATTACTTAAAGTAAACTAACAGAATATTTTTGAAATGCGGGGGCAATTCGTTTATTGAATTTACAAAATCTTCTTCAGAATTTATGTCTTCTGCCGATACAAAATCGTCTCCCTCACTAGAATTACATGATACGGAAACATTGAAAATGACCAGAAATAGAATTAAATTGACCATTTTCTTTTTCATTTTAGAAATTTTAGTTTCTGAAAATATTTACTCAAATTTAATTTCTAAAAAGTTTTTAGAGACTAGCGACTTGCCATATGAAAATTTTTAAACAAATGAATAGAGAAGCAAGGAGGGGGAAGAAGGGAGCAAGAGGAGAAGCAAGGAGAGGGGAAGAAGGAGGGGGAAGAAGGGAGCAAGATGAGAAGCAAGGAGAGGTGAAGGAGGAGGAGGGAAGAAGGGAGCAAGGAGGAGAAGCAAGGAGAGGGGAAGAAGGGAGATTCTAACTGGCTAATTGAAAGAGCGTTTAACAATGAAGACGTCTTTATATGGCAGTCGATAGTCAGGCGTTGTCAGTAAGGGGATGTCAGGGGATGTCTATAGTGATGGCAATATAAAATATTGAATTTATTGAATGTTGGAAATTTCCAGACAGAAGGGCAAAAATTTTCTTTGTCTATTGACATCCAGACTGTCTGATTTTTAAAAATCTAATAAAATGTCTAACTTGATTACCGTATTTATTCTAATAGAAAGGCAGCCCTTCTATTTATCAAACCGCTTTTCTATTGCCTTACTATTAGAAAGCGCCATTTATTTTTAAGAGAGAATTGCAAGGTCAACAAACTCTTTATCAGCTCAGTTCTCGACAGAATATAAAAGTGAGATGCTATGGGAGGAATGAAAGTAGGACGATGACCATCAATGCAATTTGAGGAAGGTAGAGAAAGGCAGCGAAATTAAGAGTTTTGATAGTTCAACAAATAATTTATCGGCACTTTTCGGTTATGAGGTTATACATTTACAAATTTTAAAAAGTTCTCAAAATGGTCAATATATCATATATAGGGCAGAAAAAGGTGCTGAGTCAAACGGTACCAATCTTTTTTCACAGAGATTCTTGAACACTGCGACCCAGAAACCAGAACCCTGCGACCGTTGACTCCCCGCAAGGCACGCCCCATAGGTTTTCGTTGACCATTTTAAGCTTGTTCATCTGCTCGCAGAATCAAGATTTCGAGCTGATTTTAGTATCATTCGACTCAGCTCGAGGAGCTCTTTCAAAGAAGCTATCATTCAAAAAATGGAATTTTTCACCCCAAAAATGAGCTTACTACTCCCTATGGTTTTTGACCATTTCGAGCCCTATATCTCTGTCCACAGAATCTCCGTAAAAAAAGATTGGTACCGTTCGACTCAGCACCTTTTCCTACACTATAAATGATATATGACCATTTTGAGAACTTTTTAAATTTTGTAAATGTGTAACCTCATAACCGAAAAGTACCAATTTATCTTTGTAAGGGATTCATCTAGCAGTAAAACGGTGTTAAACGATCTACATGATTTAAATTTCTATTGATTCTGGGTCTCGAGATCTCGATGATGGAGTTGGGTTAAAATTCAGAGTTTTTGCCATTCTTTATCATATAGCTATAGAAGGCTTATTAAGAAGGTTCATTCTCGGTAGTTAAACTCTTAGATATTTTCTTCGTTTACTCTGAACTGACATTATATTAGAGTGCCATTCCAATAGAAGTTGTCATTATGTTAGAATAAATACGGACTTTTGTTAAAAGAATAGCGGCTTCTTATTTTTTGAATAATCCAAAAAATAGGTTTATTATGATAAAAGAATATATGTATTTTAACAGCTGAAATTGACGAAGCTCTTATAAAAACCCAAATACCACAAAGGGCGAGAAATAGGCAAAAATGGCTTTTTGGAGGAGTTGAACGTGCTAAAAATGCTTTTATGCAACCTGTAATGGCTAGAAATGGACCATGTGATGCATCTATCGGTCAATCATCTCTATGACTCACATATTTTAACTTTATTTTTTGAAAGATCTAGAATAAAAGACGTCTCTATAGGTCAATTATCTCTATTATTATTTAGCTCTTATTTATTTTAACTTTATTTTTTGAATGATCTAGATAAGGAAAGTTATTATTTAGTAATATGTTATTAATATAATATTTTAGAATAAAAACAAAAATTTCGAATAAGAGAATTTTGGTTCTGAACCTAAAGAAAGTTATTATTATTTAGTAATATATTATTAAAATGTTGTTGTCTATATGTTTTTGTCTATCTATTGTTGTCTATTCTGAATATTCTATTCTATTCTGTTGTTGTCTATTCCATTTTATAAAAATAATTTATTATAATAAATATTAAATTCAGTTTCTGAAATAATCCTTAGTATTTTAACTATCCTTATTTAATTAAATTTGAGATTTAGATTTTATTATAAATAATTATTTATTTCTAATAAAATATAGGTCAATTATCTCTGTTATTGTAGTAGAATAAATGCGGTATTTCCCAAAAAGAATAAATGCTTATTGTAACAATAAAACCATAAATATCACAAATTTAAAACTTTCACTATATAATCGAAAATATAATAAATACTACATCCTTTTATAGAATGATAATTTACAAAAATGAAAAATTTAAATAAAATACATGATAAAGCTCCCTTTAAAGTTTGTCTCAAAGTTAATATGACTTAAATTTAGGAATATGTACAAAAAGTGACAATAAAAAATTTGATTTCTAGGGATTAATCAAAGCAGCATAAAGCAAGGCAGAATATTTAAAAAAAAGATGGTGTGAAATTGGGGAAACAGCAGAAGGTTAAAAATGGGGAAATGACGGTTTAGAATGAGGGTTATGAATGGTGTCCAGGTACCGGCCTCTTACTGAAACAAATCGAGGATTAAAATTTTAGATTAAAAGTGTTTAGCTTAGAAATAGTAAAAATATTTAAAAAATAATAAAAAATCATTTAAAAAATAATAATAGTAAAATCATTTAAAAAATAATAATCTTTATACATCCGTTAGATATTTTGTCAATGTTTTTCATCTGATTTCTCTTTCAACAGTTGATTTAATAAAGTAAGCATATCATCAGTCACTCCAACTTCTTTGCAATTTTCAAGGTTTAGTTTATTCTCCTCATTTCTAATTTCATTTTTTTCTGATTCTTTGGCACTAAACGATTCAGCCGCATTTTCAATTCCGTCAAACACTTTCATCACCTTTTCTTTGTTATCTTCTATTGTTTTGACTATCGTGTTAATTTCTTTCTTGTTAGGATCTTCTCTTGCCTTTGACTCTTCTATAATTATATTTTAGATTAAATAAGGAGATATAAAAATAGGTGCGGATTTTGGCAGCTCCTTGGTAAAATACCTAGATATAATTGCCTCTTTTTACTTGTTTCATAAAATTCATAGAACAGGCTTAGCTAAGTTAGCACTCTGGCCTATTTCTCATATCTGATAATTGTTATGTATCGACTTGCGGTGTGTCCGATACTGAAAGAAAGACTAGCTAACTGACTAACAAGGTTTGTCCACAATACTATACAATAAAGGTGAACAATAGGAATACGACTAACTGCTGGAGTACAAGGCTAAGACTGACTGACTATCTAACGGAATAGACTAACGACTAACTGACTAACTGTAGACTAAACTAACTGACTCACTTCCAGACTCCATACATTACTACTATACTTTCTCATTTGTTAGCTATCACCAAGCTATGAGGGAGCTACCCAACTATAAAAGATACTCATAAATATAAAACTAAAAACAAACCCTCCAGCTTGTTAGCAATATCCTCCATTACTGCTGATTTACTAAGTTTCTTTTTAAACATTTTAATACTATGATTAATACGACTAATCCTTGAAAAAGAATTCAAACTTTTCTGGGAAGAACTTTCTCCCGAATCGCTACTTGTTTGCGAATTAAAACTTGATTGTGAATTGAGACTTGGTTGTAAACTGTTACTTGACTGTGAATTTAAACTTGATTGCGAAGAAAAACTTGGTTTTGAACTTTTACTTTTTCTTAAGTTTGCTTTTATACTAGAACTTTCCTCTTCTTTAATAGACATTTGAGTCTCATGTTTTTTTCCAAAACTGTGTGTTTTTTCACCATCAATCATTCTTTCTTCTTTCTCCATTCTTTTTAAATAATTAGTAAGTGTGTCTTTATGAAATATAGAATCTGACAAATCAGACTCCAAATTTTCTAGATTATAAATTTTCTTTAATTCATATTCATCTGTTCTTAATTTCTCTAAATCCTCTTCCAAATCATTTATTTTCTCATAATCGATTTCATCTTCGTCAAAACTTTTTTCTTGTTTCAAAATTCGCTTCAAATCTTTCTTCAATTTTCCAACTTCCGTTAAATATTCATTAATACTAGAAAAGTCAATGCTATTTAAGTCTTCTACATTTTCCAATTTTATATCTCCCAGTTTCTCCAATTTTCTCTCTCCTAATTTTTTCACTTCTTTCTCCGCACTTACTCCATATTTACTCGATATATTATCAATATTCTCATCAATTTTAACTTTTAATTTCTCAACTTTTCTCTTCATTTTTTCAGAATTGTCTCCTATACTTTTTAATGTTTGTTCAGAACTCAAAGCCAAACGATACGAACTTATATAAAGCATTTCAACAGCATCGTTCATACCTCGATACGAACGAAGTTTTTTATAGTATGTTGTTATTTGTTGTATTTCTGGCTAGAAAATTAAGAAAATTTTATCTTTTATTTCTTAATTTTTAATATAAACACTAATGATATTTATGCCTTTTTCGACAAAATATATTTGCTAAAAATTTAAATTAATAGAAACTCGATTTTTATATATCACCAATTATCCTTAAACTCGTCACTCAGTTGCTGGTCTTCTATCTGTTAGGAAGCTTCTTCGAATCTTCTTATTGTTTTTATCAATCTGCTCATTATATAGTGTCAGTAGACCGACAACTGAGTGTAGGCTGGTGCCATAATAGTCAGTACTAGGTTCGGTTCTAGACCGAACCGAACAGAAGAACCGATATTTTTCGGGTTGAATATTGGTCGGTTCCGAATATCCGAAGATTTTCCAAGAACGACAAAGTCAATACTGTTACGTATCGACTTGCGGTGTGTCCTATACTAACAGAAGAGACTTGACTAACAAACAAAGGTTTATCACAAATCAACAATACAATAGAAATAGGCGAGACTATGCGTTGGCTGCGACTAGAATAATACTAACACTAGACTAACTGTAGACTGACTCACTAACTCAAGACTGACTCCCGGACTGACTCCCCGACTACTAAAAGGCTGCGCCTTTTATATTAAGCGCGCCACCCTAACAAGTACCATCAGAATTTTTGCATTTTTATTTAAAAAATCAGCCTTATGGTGGAAGAACTTACTCTTTCTTTGTTTATAAACAAAACAATTTGTTCCACTGCTTGGTTATAATCATTCATAAAGTTTCTGATGCTCAAAAAAGTTTCCCTTTGCTTCTTCAGTTCTTCAACAACTTTTTTTTGAGCATTCACTGCTTTGTTGAGTTGTATCTCTGCCTTTGTTATTTTTTCAATTCTTTCTTCTAATAAGCCTTTGACATATTCCTCTAATGCCTCATTCTTTTTATATTCTACTTCATCCGTTATAGTGGAAAGCTCAGTTTTTGTATATATTAAATTCAAAATTTCTACCACACCTTTTATCATTTTTTCCTTCATTTCATCCATCTCTAACAAACTTTTTTGATCATCATTAAGTTCTCCTCCCGGATGCGATTTTAAAATCATATCCATATTCATCAACATTTTCTTTCTCCTTTTCACCTCATCTAAATCAAGTTGGTGATTCTCCAGACTTATCAAATTCTCTATCGCTTTTCTAGCCTCTCTTTCATTCCCATTTTCTTTTGGTTTTTTAAGCCTACTTTCTTCTACATCAACACGTATATCATTCAATTTTTTCTTTTCTTCTTCGCATCTTGAATTTAAACGGGGTAGGAGGCTATCAAGAGTGTTTTTTACTGTTTTATCCTCAAAAATAAATTTTTCCTCAAATTTTTCGTTAATGATCGTATTGATAAAATCAATTTTTTGAAATTTTTCAAATTTCTGTAGCAATTGATCTCTGTTAAAATATTTATTAGTAGTTGACTTGTCCTATTCAGGTAATTTTGGCAGTAGTAAGGGTCAATAAGTGAAATGGACAGAAAACATTCTATTAGTATAACACTTAAACAGTTGTCACGCCCCGAGTATTAGGCAATCGAGTCTAGCTTTGACTGCACTGTACTAACTCATCCCCTTCTAACAAGTATAGTTACTTCTTAACACTCCTTCTACCCATTAGTGCATAAATAGCCTTTGTGTTTCATTTGATTACACCGAGAAATAACTGTCTTAAGGTCTTTAAGCATGTGGCTCAAATCTAATCGACGGTTCAGCTGACGACAAAATAGCTTGTTTCAATCTTCGTTAAATGTCAGGGAGGACTTGATATTTCACGTGAAATGCGGCAACTTATAGGGAGGAATTATTTAAGAGGGAGTAATTATTTGGGCATATACGATAGTTCTGAGTTTTGGCTTATATACGGACCCTCCTATATGCGACCCCTCCCTCTCTTAATAATAGATACCTCAATTTGTTAAATTGTCCAACTCCTTCCACATCGACACCTTCATTATGATAAATCATCCAATCTTTTGGTTCAGGTAACATCCAATTCTGAGGGTTATCTCCATCACAGTCGGGCTTTTCCGACATTTCATTCCTCACATTAGTTTTACCTCCACATTGTGTAAAATCACGATTGTTAGCAATAATAATCTTTACAAACCCTTCCAAATTTTTTCTAAAAAAATTCTCCTTCTCTTCAATTTTCCCTTTATATTCTTTTATTAACTCGTCAATGTGTTTACGTGTTTTTGTAAATGATCCAGCCAGGTCAAAATAATTGGGAGGATATTCTTTTAAAAACGCGACGGCTTTGCCCAAGTTTACATTTGTGTTTTTCTAAAATTAATTTTTAACTTGACAATATTCATATGATTATGTAGGTCCTTATCACCTCTTCTTAAGGATTGGCCATTCTCCCATGATCGAGGTGTTGAACAGTCGGTTGTTCTGAGGGCGCTTATTCTACTAAGCAACAGCGACTAAAAAGGTCAGGCGGCAAATGTCAATCTCGACAGAGACATTGACATATGCTCATATTTCACTAAGCGACAACTAAAATTGTGACATTTCTTATGACATTGAAACTAAATGTCAACACTGACTTGTGATTGTGTTTCCTCTAAAATATCGGTTGATGTCATTGTCGAACTGTCGCTTAGTGGAATCTAATCCATATCCAATCTAATGAATTTTCCACAGTATAAACATAATGGTACCTTAACCCGATCGGGCATAGCTCGAGGAAATCAAACAGACACTGCGATGTTTGACATGCTGTCACTGTAAGAAATAAGGAGGAGACCCTGTGAGTATCGTCCTGTGCTGTGGGACGTCTTATATCTTAAGATTTCGCAAGCCCCCGCTAACAGGTTTTACCGGGTCAGAAATTTTTTTATAAAATTTTATTTACCCGAAATTCTACTAATGACGTAGCCGCCCATAACATTTCTGACTTCTTTTTCAACTCTACTGGGTTCGTCTTCAACTCTTCTGGTTTCATTCTATTTTCCATTGCATTTTGATTAAACTTTTTAGTCAGATCAATTATTATTTTATCAACACTATCAAGTACTTGAGGTGTTTCAATCATCGAACCCACTTTATCAATTAATTCCCCCTTTTTCCCCTCATCTCTCTCTTTCTCACTTTCCTCATTTAATTTAGAAAGTTGGGAAGAAATTTTTTTCATATTCCACTCTGGAAAAATATCCAACGCCTCTTTAAACAAAATATCCTCGTGGAGAGCAACGTCATTTTCAAAGCCTGACTTTTCTTCTATATAATGTTTTAATTCTCTAAGGGCATCGGAAACATTTTTAACCTCTGGTCTCTTGTATTTATCCTTTCGGTCGGCAGCAGGTGGTAGCTTAGGTGGAGCTGGAGGGGGAATATTTCCGCCTTTATTAATTTTCTCTTCAGCAGGAAGGACTTCAGCAGGCGATGTTGGCAGATTAGTATCAATGCTTTCTTTTCCCTTTGGCATCTCCAAGCTTATTCCCAAAGTACTATAAAACGAGCTCATACCCTCCGCCTTTTCTTTCGCGTCTTGGTTAAAAGGCATTCGAAAGTTATTGGGTAGACTAAAAATTAAAAATAAAAATTTTTTAAAGCCTCGGTTTAAAATGTTTATCGACTCAGTACCCGATCCAAGAAATTCTCGGAATTCCAGCTCGAGAAATTTTCGAAACCCCGACCCGACATCCGACCCGTAGCCTTACTTAATATTCGAAACCCGGACTTCTTTTGGACTCGAACCTCCTCCCCCTCTCTCACTACCCAAAGAAATTTTTGAAAACCCGACTCGTCCCTGATTCATATTATACATATAACTCATAGATGTGGGGATCTAAGGGAAAGGAAAATATATTTTAAAAAACATAGAGTAATAAATTATTTTATCACTTTAGATGTTCTGGAAATCCATAATTACTCAATCTTGCTCCATCATCTACTTGGGATTCCTCAATACCGTAATTTTCGTGTTCCTCAACAACATGTTTATTTTTTGTTTCCTTCTCAACTACATTTTTTCGGTCCTCCTTTTTGGTCCCAACAAAATCAACTTTTTTTTCTTTGGCCTTCCTAAACGTAAACATTCCTTCAACCTCAACCACAATTTCAAAAATAATAATAATAAATAATAATAATTTTAAAATAGCCTTTCCTTTTCTTTTCGAACGCATTTTTTAAATTTCTAAAAAAAATTTATTAATAATATGTATATAGCATACGCTATTTAATTCCTAAGGTTATAGAGGCGGCGCGGTCCGGTTAGATGAAAATTTTCCGCATAGCTCAGCAGCCACCTTTTGCATTAACTGAGGGAATAGCTACAAAACTTTATGATCAGCAGTTTTCTGGCTTCTGACCTTTTTCAACTCTTGGTGCCGGAGCCTTACATCACACTGTTATGAAAATTAATGTTGATGGATCCGGATTCGAAAAAAATTCGGATATCTCGGACATTTTGGTTCTGATATCGATAGAAATCCGAATATCAGGGGATTTTTTAAGGGTAATAAGTTTGGTTGGTTGACGGACTAATGTTGGATTAAGGTTGGTGGATCCTTGTAAATCCCCTGATATTCGGATTCCTATTCGATATACGAACCGGAATGTCCGCTGATATTTTTTATCAGCTTTTATACTCAATTTAAAAGAGATTTATCTTCAAAGCCGCGCCATGGTTTGAGAGGTGAGTGTATATTATTCAGCTATTCATTTACGCTCAGCTCTGCTCCCAGCCGCCAAATAAAACCTAACGAGGAAATAAAATTAAAAAATAAAAGTTAAATTTTTATAAAGGCAATTAAACAATTAAATTATTTAAAATTAAAATTTTTTCCCGACTAATCGCATAGCATTTTGAGAGGGAGAAAGAGGAGAGAGGGAAGGCATTGTAAATATTTGGCAGCGTGATTAGCCCTATTGTTAGACTCGCGCATTTAATTGATTATTGCTTAGACAATCGATTCTCTTTTTCTCTTTCCCTCTCCCTTCACTAGGGAGAGAGAATTAATTTTTAATTTTTTAATTTTTTTAAATTTTTTTAAATTCTACATAACCGTAATCCGCAAGTGTAAATTAAACTTTTACAAAAGGCTTTTTTGACTTCAAGGGGTATTGACTTTATAAAAAATAAAGAACTCTTTTAGGAGAAGATATGTTAACTCAAATACTATTTTAAGGGCTTCACAAACAATAAATTTTATTCAAATCTTTTTATACAATCTAAACTTTATAAATTAAATTCTAAAAATCTCTAGAAAACTCAAATTTAACTCAAATAGAAACACTAAGAACTCTTAGTCAATGAACTCTAAATTAAGAAAACTCATATCATACTCTTGAAGTTCAAAGTTCAACTCTTTGTTTAAAATAAAACAAGTCTAAAAGGGGTACACCCCGTTATACCGCGAGCCCAGTATACCGCCGAGCTATAACTTCGTTCAAAATTTTCGAATCCGGGAGACCCTGGTATGGTTAGATGCGCCTCGACAGCTGAATCGAAACATACCAGGGCGTCCCGGATTCGACGATTTTGAACGAAGTTATAGCTCGACGGTATACTGGGCTCGCGGTATACTGCCTGCTCCCTCTAAAAGTTACACAACTTTTATTCAAACAAATTCTATTACAAAGAAAAGCTCTTGAGAGAAATCTTTACACAATGAGAACTCTTAACTTTGAGAGAATCTAAAAAACTCGATTATTTTCCTAAATTCCTAAGTTTATATAGAGGAAAAAATGAGAGGGTTTTACATAAAAATAGCAAAAATTTACAAAGTGCAATGAATAATGGGAAAGAATTTCAAAGAAGTAGGCGTATTTGATTACGCATGATTAAAAATAGAAAAAAAAAATAAAAAAATGTTGAAACAAACAGGACAAGGGACAAAAGGGTCAAAAAATATAATACAAAAGTCGCATTTCGCGACAATTCCGGAAAATACAAACTAACTTTAACACATAATAGTAGAAGAAAACCGGAAACCGTGAAAATACAAACTTGTAAATTTACAATCCGGAATACATATTATTAAAATAAACTTTCCGGAAAACACAAAAGATATTCGTTCAAAAATTACAAAACTAGATAAAATTACAATCCGGAATGTTAAATTTTCCGGAAATAAGTAAAGAAACACAAAATATTAAATGAAATCAGTAAAGGAGGGAAACACAAACTTGTAAAAAAACTTTCTTATAAACTTTCCGGAAAACACAAATAAAATAAAAACAAATATAAATTGTGTTACTTTATATATAAGTTAATATTCATAATAATTTGTAAATTAATATTTTAATTTTTAAACCCAAAATTAATATTTATCAATTTTTTTAAATTTATTTTTTTTAAATTTATTTTAATTTATAAACTTTTTTATGAGTGGCAGTTTCTTAAACTACGAAAAAAATTCTTTTTTTTTTATTTTAATTTTTAAATTTTTTTATTTATTTTTTAAACAACAAAATTTTTTTAATTTACGTCAATCTAGCCATAAATTTTTATTTTTAGAAAAATTTCTCTTTGAACCAAAAATTATTTTAAATAATTTAAAAAAAATTTTTATGAATGGCTGAATAAATAATTAGGGAAAAAATTATCAGAACTTAAAAATTAAATCAGAATTAATCGGAATAAAAAATCAGAATTAATCAAAGTAAAAATCATATCTACATAAGTATATGGGAATTAAATCAAAATAAAATCAGAATAGAATCAGAATAAGTGAGAATAAAATCAGAAGTAAATAAGAAACAAAATCAGAATCTAAATCAGAATTAAATTAATAAAATCAAAAAAAATCAGAATAAAATCAGAATAAAAATCAGAATTTATCAGAATAACAATCAGAATCAATCATAATAAATCAAAATCAAATCAGAATCAATCAGAATAAAAATCAGAATTATTCAGAAACAAATTAACATTAAATCAGAATTGATCAGAATAAAATCAGAATTAAATCAGATAAGATCAGAATAAAATTTTTAATTAATAGAATAAAAATCAAAATAAAATCAGAATTATATCAAAATAATTCAGAAGTAAATCAGCATTAAACCAGAATTAATTAGCAATAAAAATTATTTAAAATAATTTTTTACGTAAATATTTTTTAAAGAATAGCTGAATAAACAGAGAAAAATAAAAAATATTTCCTACTTAAATCCAAAAATTTTATATATTTTCTAATAAATTAATAAATTATTAATAATAAATGCTTGCTAAATCAATTATAAATCCCAACATTTTATTTATTATTTATTTTATAATTATTATGCTTATGGCAGGCCAAATAGGATGTCCGAGAGGACCCGTCCCTTCAAGAGGAGCGTCTAATTGTGGTTGGGAAAATATTAATAAACCTGAATGTCGGGGGTGATTTGAGATGTTTAAAGAAGGAAAGAAGTCAAAACAAATAAAAAATATAAAATTAATTGGGCAATATACATATTAATTTTTAAAATGCTTCTTAAAATTATTTAATTATTGGATATTTTATGCTGATATATTAAGTATAATAAACTTTAAAGTTGGGAAGTATTCTTAATATTTTAAACTTTAATTTTAAAATAAAATTTCCGGAAAACAAATAAAATACATACAATAAACAAATGAATTAATTTACTCACTGTATTTTTATATAAAAATTAAATCTTATATAAAATTTAATCTTATATTAATCTTATATTTCCATTCAACCATTTCCTATCTTACCAAGACAAAAATCTTTAAAAGCTAACTTCAACCCATTTTTCTGTGTCTATACCCGCCTTATTAAAGAATTTAAAGCTGAACTTGCACATATACGTAATGTTGCAAGTTGGCAACATTATGACGTGGAAATGATGGATAGTAGTAATACCAGTAGTATACTCATAACCATAGAAATTTATACATTTTTTACTTTTTTATGATTTACTTTTCATAATTTTTGCTTTACTTTTGTTTTTTCAGCACTATAAGCGCACTAGTGGTTTGCTAGATAATAAATGAATTATTATATGAATTATTTTATATTAAATTTTTAAATTTTTATCTTTGTTTCTAGATTTAAAATCGATATTAAATAAGTTGTATTTAAGTTGCTTAAAATTAATTTTAAAAAATATTTGTTGGTAAATTACGTGAAGATTATTTTTTATAAATTTTATTTTTAATTTTTTTAATAAAAATTTTTTAAATTTGTACCAATTCTTGTATAAACAAAAAAATTTTATTAGTATATTTTATACTAAAATTTTTTAATTATTTAATGAACCAAAAAGTATTTATTTAAAAATTATAAAATTACAACGAAAGGGATTTTTTTCAAATTTCAATAAAATTTCAATGACATACTTGAATAAATAATGAAATTTATTTTATATTTGTACCTCTATTTAAATGCCAAAAATTTTTAGTTTCTAACCATAAATTAATTTGAAATATTTTTAAAAATGCTTAATAACTCAATTTTAAATTCAATTATATTATTCATTATTTATTTTATAATTATTGCTCTTATGTGTATGGCAGGCCAAATACCGAGAGGACCCGTCCGAAGTGGACCGTCTGCTTGTCATGCGGGTGATAAGCCTGGATGTGAAGGGTGATTTGAGGAATTTAAAGAAGGGAAGAAGATGAAATAAATAAAATATTTTAAATTTAATTGGGTGATAGTATATAATAAACAAGTGGGCGATATTTACATTTTGGGAGATTATTAAATTTTAAAAATTAATTTTACCTTATTTAATTTAATCACTAGGCTTATTTTTATTTATGCTGGTAATTGTAATAAACTTTAAAGTTGGGAATTATTTTAAATATTTTAATTTTACAATTTGTAAAACGTTTTGTTTTAATTCAAAAATCAATTTACAACTTAGAAATATAAAGGATTTGACCCTTTTACTTAGTTTGACCCGGTTTTAGCTTAAGTTTTTCTCTGAACTTTCAGGTTAATTTATTCAAATTAAATACAAGCCTTTTCTTTAAATCAAGTTTATTTATTTAAAATAAAAGAATAAGATAATTAAGGTAAGGTTTTGAGTAAATGTGAGGGGTGTTTATATAGTGGCATATGGGGCGGGAAAGGTTTAAATTGATAAAGGAAAGGATTATTTTTAAATGCAAAGAACGTTTATGAAAGGAAAGATTATTTTTAAATACACAAAGAAAAGGTCATTTTTAATGAGAAGGTAAGTTTAATATTTGAGTTGGGGAAAGTTGGAAAGGAGGAAAAATATTTAAATAAATGTCAATCAAAGTAAAAGGATTGAAAAAGTATATTTTAATTTAAAAAATATAAATCATTTTAAAATATCAAATCAAGGATCCAACACTCCTCCCTCCTTCAAATAAGCAACCACGGTAGAATTTTTGTTGACGGCGGTTTCCACCTCCATTCCTACGGAATGGGCTATATCGATCATTAAAACCTCTCTCGCGATCTAACTGACGCAAGATGTAACATTGGCTTCAGATTCAGCCTCACCCTCATTATTGGTGGAAAGAGCTCTAAAAAATTTTTTTCTCAATTTTATTTTCTATCTCCTCGCAACGAGGGTTAATTTTTAACAGTTTCTTTAATTTATTTTTTAATTTTTAACAGTTTCCTCCTCTTTTGAATTACTTCAAAAGGTTATTGTTTTTTTTTTGTTGTTAGTGGAATTAGTTGTTGTTTTTTTTCCATCCATCTCCTCCCTCTCCAATAGTAGTGTTGTTTCCCAAAATTTGATGAATTTCCATTGTAGACATTTTAAACGGTGAAGTTACATTTTTAAATAAAAACAAATATAAGAATAATTGAAAAAGCAGTGAACAAATAAATTAATACAAAAGTGGGATAAATGGAATAAAAATATTAAAATATGGTTGGGAGATACATATATATACATAAGATTTTTTTAAAAAGAATTTTCTCAACCTAAAAAGTTGGTTTATTTCTGAGACCGCCTCTGCGGATCCTCATTTGGTCCCTACGCGAGTCACGTTCAGAATCATCTTTATCTTCTTTTTTATATATATTCTCTCCGCATTGCTCTTTCAGAGGAAGTGAGCAATTTATTAATTTTTGCATATTAGTTTTTAATTTATCACTATTTATCAATTCTCCCGTCATTAAATTAAGTAAGAGGGGCAACTGCTTGAGAGATTCTCTTCCGATTATAACACTATATGTTCCATTGTTACTCAACACATCATTCACCACTGTTAATTTCTTTTTAATTTGAATATTTGCTATTTTTAAAATTATCTCAGATTGACCGATGGCGGGTATAACTTTATTTCCAATTCCTATAACTCCGCTGCAATCTAGTTGATATAAGTCTGTAATTCCTAATCTTTTAGCTGTTTTATTACCAACTAAAGAAATATGAGCTCCTGTATCCAAAAGACAAATTAATTTTTGTCCATTAATTTCTACAAGTACACGCATATTCTCATCGCATTGATGGCCAGCTGTCATTACTTCAACTACTTTATTTTTAGGATTTTCTTCTCCAAAGTTTTGATAAGGCCATCTGTCTCCAATCGTCACTAATTTATCTTTATTTGCCGTTTTTATTTTAAAATTATTTAATTTAAATTTCTCAATCTTTTTGGCTCCTTTCTTAGTAGAAGTGTATTGGTAAATTCTTTCGCCAATATTTAGATAGCCAATTGTTTGGGCCAATATTGCTGGCAATACAAATTTTAGTGTAACGTAGCAACAGAAAGCAAATACCACAACTATGTTAATTGGAAAAATACCTCCAGTAAGAAAAGCAAAAATGCATTTAGCAACAATGTTGCTAGCAAATGCTTCTGATCTTGAACTGGGATTCTGCCATACAGAACTTTTACTCGTAAGTTTTATAATTTCGTGTGTTAATTCTGCTGTTGGCTGCCAGTTCGGATAATTTGGATCACCTGTAAACTTCCATAAAGATTTTGGAGCCTCATTTAAGCAAATCATTGGATTATGAGCGGATGTTCCACTAAAAACTGATAATAATGCAATTACCGCGAGAAGGAGTGGACTTATAACTCTAATAGACGGACTTGATCTACGCTCAGATTTAACACGTCTACTACCAGAAGATCTACTACTGTCTCTCGAATTAGAGGTATATTGATTGCTATTATTATAATTCCTGTAATTATTACGTCTTTGACCTTCATATTGCTCATAATTGTTCTGGCGGTAATTCGAATTACTGTAATGATTTCTATGGCCTCCATTGTAATTGGGATTGTAATTTGATCTGTTCTGATAATATCTCTGTCTATTATCATAATTTCTCGCATTGTAGTTATTTCGCGGATTGTAATTGTTGTTTCTTCTATAGTTTCTATTAAAGTTCCCCTGATTCTCAGGACAGTTACGCGCTATGTGACCTGGACGCCTACAACAATAACACGTAATAACTTCAGGTGTATTTTTAGCAATTGATAAGGCATCTACTTTTTCAGCGAGGTCCGCAATGTTAATATTGGCACGTTTTCTATCTCCCAACAAAAGCTCAAAGTGCTGCGCCAATTCATAAGCTGAGACGTAATCCGTAGGCCTTTGCGATTTAACCTGAAATTGTAATTCTGGCGTAATACGATCCAGAAATTCTTCTAAAAGCCTCTTTTTAATAGTTTCCTCATTTTCTCCACTTAAAGCAACTCTAACTGATTCATTCAGCCGATTTGAAAAATCAAAGACAGGTTCACCTGGCGCTTGCTTACAAATAGACAAGGCCTGTCTTGCTATAATTTTGGTATTCCCATTTTCAAAGCGAGCTTTCAAAAATTGAATCGCTTCTTCCAACGAATTTGGAGCGGGATCTATCGAATCATATAAAGTCCTTGCTTGCCCATCCAAACAGAATCTTAAACGAGCAAGTTTTTGTGCCTCCGTCAATGGGGTAGTCAGCAGCGTTAAAATGTCTTTGAATTTTTCTATCCATTTCGAGAATGAAATGGACGGATTTCCATCGTAATGAGGGATAAAACTCCCATTATTAAGGAAAGGATCCCCAACTTTCACTTCTAGATCGATTTCAGGTTCATCTTCCGATTGATTATCCTCAAAATTTATATTTTGGTTTAATTTTTCCTTAACAAAATTTTCCATAGTTTTTAAAGAATTTCGGAGCTTAGTAACCGATCCTTTTGTTCCTGTAAGTCCATTTTTGTTAGTTTTTACACTTTCTTCTACAACATTTAATCTTTCTTCAAATTGACGAAAAGATCGAGCGACAGTTTTCTCAAAAGATCTCAGTCGATTAAGTAACGGCTGGAAGTTTGTTCGCTCCGTCGCAGAAAAATAAACATCATCAAAGTCCGATCCAGACATTTTAAATTAAATTAAATGAATCAATTAAATAAAAAGGATGTTTAAATTAAATTTTAAATAAAAACTTAAATAAATGAATAAATAAAACGGGTGAATAAACAATATTTAAATAAATGCTTTTTTTTCAAATCTCCTTACACAAAGCTCAAGGGACAGTTTCAAATTCTCAAATACTCAAATCCTCGCACACAGCTCAAGGAATCAAAAATTCACTCCTTTTTTCAAAAATTGGCCTCGCACACAGCTCAAGGCTCAATGTATATCTTCAATTTATAAGCCCGCACTAAGCTCAGGCAATTTTAACTTTTAAAGTGCACTGGTTTCGGTTCGCACACAGCTCGAACCTTTCTTCTTTTCAGAAAACCGAAATCTGCAGAAAGCAGATAAAAAATTTACAAAAAAAATTTTTTTCAAAACAAAACTCCAAACTTATTGTTTGGGCAAGAGAATTGGTAATCTAGTGGCCAATTAGAAACCAAATCTCTTTCCCGAAGGTCTTGGCACCAGTAAAGAGTTTGACCCTTTTACTTAGTTTGACCCGGTTTTAGCTTAAGTTTTTTTCTGAACTTTCAGGTTAATTTATTCAAATTAAATACAAGCCTTTTCTTTAAATCAAGTTTATTTATTTAAAATAAAAGAATAAGATAATTAAGGTAAGGTTTTGAGTAAATGTGAGGGGTGTTTATATAGTGGCATATGGGGCGGGAAAGGTTTAAATTGATAAAGGAAAGGATTATTTTTAAATGCAAAGAACGTTTATGAAAGGAAAGATTATTTTTAAATACACAAAGAAAAGGTCATTTTTAATGAGAAGGTAAGTTTAATATTTGAGTTGGGGAAAGTTGGAAAGGAGGAAAAATATTTAAATAAATGTCAATCAAAGTAAAAGGATTGAAAAAGTATATTTTAATTTAAAAAATATAAATCATTTTAAAATATCAAATCAAGGATCCAACAAAATACAAAAAAATTTCCGGAAAATACCGGAAAATACAAAAAAAATACGGAAAATACAAAAAAATATTAAATAAAAAATTTCCGGAAACATGTGAAGAAACACAATAAAAGAAACCTGAATTACAATCAGAAAACTTATTAAAATTAAACTTTCCGGAAAACACAAAATATTAATATTTAAAACTTAAAAACTTGATATTATTACAATCCGGAATATATTGAAAAAAAATTAAACTTTCCGGAAAACACAAACATTTATTTTCAACCTAGAATTTTATTAAACTTTCCGGAAAACAAAAACATTTATTTACGATCCGGAATTTTATTAAACTTTCCGGAAAACACAAACATTTATTTACAATCCGGAATTTAATTAAACTTTCCGGAAAACACAAAATAAACTTTAAATAAAAACAAACTTTATTTAAAAAAAGTTTTACAATTCTTATATAAAATACAAAGTGAGAACCGAAAAATACAAACTTTAATTTGTAATTGTAAAAAAATATGTAAGTATAATAATATCTGTTATATTTGATAATTTTGTATAATATAAATATATTTTTTGAATTAAAAAAAATTTTTTAAATGTAAAATTATTGAAAAATTATTAGAAATATTTTTAAATATTTAAAAAAATTTAAGTGAATAAACGACCAAAGAATAAGGGACTTGGACGTCTTGGCGCGAGGCCGTTTGACGCGAAAGCCTATAAAATAGTTCATTGATTAACTAGAAGGATGAAATTTTGCTTTAATAATCCTCATATGTTTATCTAAGTTCTCCAAAAATTTCAGAATTTTTGGATCAGAATTTCAGAAATTATGACCAAAAATGTCGCTTAACTATCGAAAAATGCCTTGTTTTTAAGGTTTATCGACCATAACTCCACAAATATTTTATGAAAAATTGTGAAATTTTTGGAGGATGTAGTTAAGGATGTTAAAAAAATTTGAGAAAATTTTCAAAAATTTAGGCTTAGCCTAAGTGTCAGTTTTAAGTCATGCGCAAAAACGTCCAGGCGCCGGCAGCCCAGAAATATTAACAAATTAATAAACCCAAGATATAGGTACCCATTGTGGTGTAGCCGATAATTTTTCTACAACCCTTTCCAACTGTCTAATAGTCTCGTCAATATCATTATTGACCAGAATAAGGTCAAATAAATGTCCAAATGATTGTGAGAGCATTTCTGACTCCTTCACTAAACGTTCAAGACTTCCATCGGGCTGAAAAATAAAAGAGAAAATATAAAAAATACAAAAATTGAAATTAAATAAATTAATAAATTACATCGTGTAATCCGTGCAAATCTGGGGCAGCAATAAATACAACAAAAGGAGAATATTCAGCATTTCGCAATACTTTTAAGGCCTTAAATAAGTTAAATTTATTATATAAATTATAAATGTAAAAATAAAGTTTATGTGTTTTCCGGAAAGTTTAATTTTAAATTGTAATTGTAAAATAATTGCTCCGGAAAGTATTTTTAAATTAAACATAATTGTAATATGTTTTCCGGAAAGTTCGATTTTCTGTGAATTGCAAAATAAACATGTATTTTCCGGAAAGTTTAATTAAAGTTTTGTAGATACAAAATAAACATGTATTTTCCGGAAAGTTTAATTAAAGTTTTGTAGATACAAAATAAACATGTATTTTCCGGAAAGTTCGATTTTCTGTGAATTGCAAAATAAACATGTATTTTCCGGAAAGTTTAATTAAAGTTTTGTAAATATTATCCGAAAATTGTAAACAAGGTTTATTTATTTTCCGGAAAGAAATTTTTTAATTGCAATTGTAAAATTATTATACTTCACGGAAAATAATAATAAATTAAACTTAATTGTAATGTCTTCCGGAATGTTTATTTTAATATAAATTGTAATTGTAAATAAAGTTTATGTATTTTCCGGAAATTGTATTGTAAATTAAGTTTATTTATTTTCCGGAAACTAAAATTTTTATTGTGATTGTAAAATAATTATTTTCCGGAAAGTTTATTTTACAATTTTAAATTGTAATTAATATAAATTGTAATTTATATATGTATGTATTTTCCGTAAAGTCACCTAATTTGAAATTATAATTTTAATTAATTTTTATTTTCAGTAAAATTTAATTTTGTAATTATAAATTGTAATTGTGTATCTTCTGGAAGTCTCACTCCTAATTAAAATTCTTTCCAGAATTTTACTCGTTTTAGTTCCCACCTGAGGCTCAACATCCAAAATCGCCATTTTCCCCGTTCTATGTATTGACCGTATTGTTTCCAATTTAGTTCCATACAAACATTCTTCATGTGTTCCATATTCAAGGTAATCATTAGCTTGAATATCCGCCAACATTTGATCGTTAGACACAAAAAAGTAGTGCTTGCCATCAATCTCATCACGTCGAGGGGGACGAGTAGTGTCTTAATTTTCTAATTTTTTAAATAAAAATGAAATAACAAACGAGGTATCGGATAAGCAAAACGATGTGGGTGTAGCCTGATAAGGGTATTCTTGATGTGTCGCCTGCCTACCCCATGCGCTCCCAACAGAACAAGTGTCTTGCGTCTGAAGGTGGGCAATCTAACGACCTGAAATTTTTAAATAAAAATATTTTTTACAATCCGGAATATTACAATCCGGAATTACAATCCGGAATTACAATCCGAAATTACAATCCGGAATAACAATCCGAAATTACAATCCGGAATATCACAATCCGGAATTACAATCCAGGTTACAATCCGCAATATTACAATCCGGAATTACAATCCGGAATACTACAATCCGGAATATTACAATCCGGAATATTACAATCCGGAATTACAATCCGGAATATTACAATCCGGAATTACAATCCGGAATTACAATCCGGAATATTACAATCCAGAATTACAATCCGGAATTACAATCCGGAATTACAATCCGAAATTACAATCCGGAATATTACAATCCGGAATTACAATCCGGAATATTACAATCCGGAATATTACAATCCGGAATTACAATCCGGAATATTACAATCTAAAATTACAATCCTGAATATTACAATCCGGAATTACAATCCGGAATATTACAATCCGGAATATTACAATCCGGAATTACAATCCGGAATATTACAATCCGGAATTGCAATCCGGAAATTTTTTTAAATAAAAAAATAAAATAGACACCTCCTCATAACTGATCATTTCCATACCGTCAAACAATTCAGAATGTTTGCGCAAATATTTGGTAGTGTAATACTTGTTGCTGCTAGTGCACGGATTGGTAACTTTCTTCTTACTGCCGAAAATGAAGCAATGGGAAGATTCACGGGCGCGTTCCATTGCTAGGCTGGAATTGTAAATTGTAATTTAATGGAATATAAAAATTACAATTTGTGTTTTACGTAAAGGAAGGAAATAAACTTTCCGGAAAACACAAATAAGCTTTTTAAAAATAAAAACCGGATGAAATTGCAATCCGGAAAATAAATTTTCCGGAAAAAGTAAATAAACACAAACTTAATAATTTACAATCCGTATATCAATAAATTAAACTTTCCGGAAAACACAAAGGTTTCTATTTAAAAATAAAATTACAATCCGGAAAATAAATTTTCCGGAAACAAATAAAGAACCACACAAGCATTAAAAACCGGAAAGGTGGGAAAACACAAATTAATAATTTCAATCCGGTTGTTATTCTCTTTCCGGAAAACACAAAATACTTATTAATTATAGAAATTCACCAAGCAGTTCTCCATTCTTGAAGTTCAGGGGACGGAATAAGCCCCGCCATATTATTCCCACCATGAAATCTTTGCTGCCTAGAAGGAGGGGGCTTTTTAGACGATATGTGGTTTGAGGTGGATAGTGCTGCAGCAGAAGTAGAGGCAACAGCGTTAGACACAGTATTGGGTGTTGTGGTTGTTGTAGGGGAAGAAGCCCACAAGGAGCCGCCTAACGCGGGAGAAGGGCAAATAAACCGGGCTGAAAATTTTTTTTTAATTTTTTCCACATTTTCCCCTTTCTCCCCCACCTTGCCACCAGTTGTGATCGTCTTTTGAGATTACTTGGAGTACATCACCCGTCCGGAAAGGAACCCCTGCATTGACAGAAGGGATTAAATCGTCTTGTGAAGGGTCGTAATCGAACCTTTAAATAATTAAAGATAATAAAATTAATTTAAAATTAAATTCTAAACTGTGCCCGAACAAAAATTTCACAGGAAGGAGGTGCTGACCGGTAAGAGGGGACGATTTTAAAGGTGACTGGGCCTCTGACATCTCTGGGGGGAAATTTAAATTATTTTTAAATAAAATTAAAAAGACTTTAAAAGCCTTTGAATTTGCTCTACAGATTTATTAGCAACAGAAATATTATTAATTTCAAGAAGCTCGTCGTCTACGTGTAATGTTGCTTGTCGGTGAATTAGTCCACCATGCATTATACGCCCTACAAAACACCTCCCATCTTCAGTCATCTAAAAAAGTTGGGAAAATACAAATAAATACAAATGGGTTGTAATTAGAATAGAAATAAACTTTCCGGAAATTGTAAATAAAACTTTCCGGAATTATCACAAATTAAATTACAAGTGCATAAAAGTTGTAATAAAAATACACATTTGTAATTAAATACAAACTTTCCGGAAAATGGTAAATAAACTAAAACTTTCCGGAAAGTAAAACTTTCCGAAAATTAAATTACAAATTTAAATATAAACTTTCCGGAACTCTAAATAAAACACATTTACAATTTTCTAAAAACTTTCCGGAAATAATGCAAAACTTTCCGAAATAAAACACAAATTGTAATACAAATATAAACTTTCCGGAACTCTAGATAAAACAAATTTATAATTTTAAATAAACTTTCCGGAAATTGTGAATAAACTTTCCGGAATAAAACACAAATTAAATTACAAATGTCTAAAAGTTGTAATAATAATTTGTAATTAAATACAACTTTCCGGAAAATTGTAATTAAACTTTCCGGAACTAACGCAAACTAAATTATAAAAATAAATACAAACTTTCCGGAATTCTAAAACACATTTACAAATTTAAATAAACTTTCAGGAAATTGTAAATACATATATGTTAAATAAGTTTAAGCTCCCGGTATAAATAAAACTTTCCGGAATGGATTACAAATACCTATAAATATTTGTAAAAATACAAACATACATATTTTACATAAAAAAGCTTTCCGAAAAACACACAAATAATTACCTATATTTATTTTAATCAAAAACACACCTTTAAAGTTATTCCCATAGGCTCTTCAGTGTCTTTTGTAAACTGTACAAGTCTCACACGCCCAACAGCCGTTAGTATAAGATCATCATCATCGCCCGATGGAAGTCCTGTGGAGAAGTCAGGGTTATTATCAACGTTGGCGATGATTGGAGGCGGGGCTGGTCTAAGATTAAAATTTTTTTCCGGAAAGAAGAAATTATTTCACCTAATTTTGGAAGCTTCAGGAAGCAATCTACCTTTATGAGCAGATTGGGTGTTGGGAGAAGTGCCTGTAAACACTGAACCATTAGGAAGAGTAGGGAGATGGGTTGATGTTGAAGGGGTATTTCCGCCAATTCCTAAAGCCTTTAAAAAAGAAATTTTAGAATGAGAGGAATACAAAGGGGAAAAGGTTGTTAGTATTATATTTACGGAAAGTCTAATTGTATTTTTAATTTTAAATGCAGTTTAGATCATAAGAGAGTATTTATGTATTTTCCGGAAAATACAAGCGTAAATAAAGTTTATTATTATCTTACGGAAAATTTTACAATTGTAAATTAGGTTGTATTTTTCAGAAAGTATTTTCCGGAAAGTATTGTAATAAAATTATATGTATTTTCTGGAAAGTTTAATTTTGATTTTAATTTGTAATTTCTTTCCGGAAAGTTTATTTGAATTATATTTATGTATTTTCCGGAAAATACAAGCGTAAAGGAAAACTTTACAATTGTAAATTAGGTTGTATTTTTAATTATTTTCCGGAAAGTTTACTTTTGATTTTAATTTGCAATTCTTTCCGGAAAGTTTAATATTTGAATTATATTTATGTATTTTCCGGACAAATTAATTCAGAAACACGGATTGTAATTTTAATAGATTTTGTATTTTCCGGAAACTTTTTTAAAATATTTTCTCCCTCGACATACATTAACCCCAGCAATGAGTTGCGGTGAATTAATAACAACTACATCAGGAGAAGTTGGTTGACTGCTCCCACTACTGGTTGTAGCAATTGGGGTAATTGCTGCATAAATCTCTTCCATTGATACTTCTTGGGCTTGTAATATAGCCTTTAAGAAATAAAAAAATTTGCGAATAAAAAAAGTTCGCAGAATTTTGCGGATAAAAAAATGTCCGCAAATTTTCTGCGAATTTAAAAAAAATCCGCAGAATTTCTGCGGATTTTAAAAAACGTCCGCAAAATTTTTTGCGGATAAAAAAATGCGGAAACTTTTTGCGGATTTTTAAAAATGTCCGCAAATTTTTTTTGCGGATAAAAAATGTCCGCACATTTTTTGCGGATTTTTAAAAATGTCCGCAAAATTTTTTGCGGATTTTAAAAAATTTCCGCAAATTTCTTGCGGATTTTAAAAAATGTCCGCAAAATTTTTTGCGGATAAAAAAATGCGGAAACTTTTTGCGGACTTTTTAAAAGATGTCCGCAAAAAATTTTTTCGGATTTTTGCAAAATGTCCGCACATTTTTTGCGGATTCAAGTCCCTTCACCTCACCTTTAAATGTACATTATTTAATAATTCAAGCAATTCTGAAGTTTCTGCACCTTGTGGACTTGAAGAAACTAATTCTTTACAAGCTTCCCTATATGAGCGTTCTGCGTGCCTGTTGATAGTTGTTGGGCGAATTGCTTCGGTTCTGATACGGTCGTAGAGCTTTAAAAATGAGAAAATGTAAAATAAAAAAGTTCTGGGGGGACACAAAAATTTTTTATTTATAAAATTTTAAAAAATATTTTTAAAAAATTTTTTTTGAAATTTTTTTTAAAATTTTCAAAAAAATTTTTTGAAATAGGAGAAATAATAAAAATAACAAAAATTTAAAAATTACAAGTAATTTAAATAAAAAAATCAACACTTGATACGTTGATATAACAGAGACGAATAGTCACCCCTCTTATAATTTAAGTAGAAAATTAAATAATTAAAAAAATTTTTTTGTTGAATTTGTAGTAATAAATTGAAGAAAGGTTGTTGAAAAAATTAAAAAAAAAATTTTTTTTTTTGGAAATTTTCTTGAAATTTTTTGAAATTTTTTTTCTTCTCAAACAGACACTCTTCCTTCTTCTCCTCCTTCACTAGCCACATTTTTCTTATTATTTTTATTATTCAAATTATTAAAGCTATCAGCCAGCATTAATTGAAGGAGTAACATTGAAGGCATATTTACTGCTGTGGCCGCGTTATAAATTAGATTGGACGAGGATCTGGACTGCTGTCGTAATCGCCGACGCTGCCAACGCCTATACGAAAAATCGCTTTCGTCGTTGTTGTAGTTATCCTCCTCTTCCAGTTCCTCCTCTAGACAGCACTCACAAACACAGCAAAAACACAATTTTTGTTTCGAGGCGGCGGAGGAGGACGAATCGGCGCAGAGCCCCCCTAGGCAGATCACGCAGATACAGAAACAAAAAAAGGCTGCCAATACTAGGGCGAATAGGGCAATGCCGCCAATATTGTTTACAATTGGTAGAAGGGAAGAATTTGTTGAAATATTTTTTGGAAGATTTTTTGAAGTGTAGGTGGAGAGGGAGGTAAGGGAGGAGGTAAGTGTGGGTACTGTTGTAGTTGTGAGTAAAGCAAGTTTGGAAGATATTTTTTGGTGGTAAGTTGTGTTGAATATGACTTGTGGCATTAACTTGAGTACTTAAGACTTGAAAAAATTTTTTGAAAATTTTTAAAAATTTTTTGAAAATTTTTTTTGAAAAATTTTTAAAAATTTTTAAAAATTTTTTTTGAAAATTTTTGAAATTTTTTTTAGAAAATTTTTGAAATTTTTTTTGAAATTTTCGAAAAATTTTTTTAAAATTTTTTTGAAAATTTTTTGAAAAAATTAAAAAAAAAATTTTTTTTGAAATTTTTTAAAAAAATTTTTTGAAAAATTTTTAAAAATTTTTTTAAAATTTTTTGAAAATTTTAAAATTTTTTTGCAAATTTTTTTGATATTAAAAAAATGTTTTTTAAAAATTTTCAAAAAATTTTTTTTAATTTTTAAAAATTTTCTGAAAAATTTTTTGAAAATTTTTTTGAAATTTTTTTTTGATATTTTCAAAATTTTTTTAAAAATTTTTAAAATTAGGAAAAAATTTTTTTAGAAAACAGAATAAATAGGATGAACATTTAAGAAAATATAATTTAAAGTTAATTCCCTAATTTTTTTCATTAAATAAAGCTAAAATAAAATTTTAGGACACGCAAATGCAATGACGCAATTCCGCCTTAATTTAAACTTTTAAATGAAAAGAAAAACAATAAGAAAATTAAATTAAAAATCAGAATTATTAATTAATCAGAATAATTAGAATATCAGAATTAATTTCAGAATTAATCAGAATTAAAATTAATCAGCATCAGAATTAATCAGAACAATCAAAATAATAATTAATCAGAATCAGAATTTATAAAAAAATCAGAATTCAGAACCAGAGTAAATCAGAATTAATTAATCAGAATTAAATTAATCAGAATCAGAATTTATAAAAAAATCAGAATTCAGAACCAGAATAAATCAGAATTAATTAATCAGAATAAGCATTAATCGGAATATCAGAATCAGAACTTATCAGAATTATAATCAGAATTAAGCAAATCAGAATTATAAATCAATCAGAATTAGTTTCAAAATTAATCAGAATAATTAGAATAACAATTAATCAGAATCAGATTAGATAAAAAAATCAGAATTCAGAACCAGAATAAATCAGAATTAATAAATCAAAATTAATCAGAATATCAGAATCAAATTTATCAGAATAATAATTAATCAGAATTAATGAAATCAGAATTATTAGGTAATTTAAAAAATCAGAACTACTAAGTTCAGAATTAATCAGAATAGGTATATTAAATAATCAGAATTAATAATTCGTTTTCGCTACACCAGAAAAATCAGAATTTTAAATATTTTCAGAATTTAAAATCAGAATTAAAATTAATCAGAATATCAGAATAATAATTAATCAGAATTAATCAAATCAGAATTATTAACTTAAAAAATCAGAATTACTAATTGCAGAATTAATCAGAATATCAAAATTAATCAGAATTATTAATTATTTTTCGCTACACAAGAAAAATCAGAATTTTAAATAAAGTCAGAATTTTAAATCAGAATAAGAGAAGAGAGAAGGTCAAACAGACGCCCTAATTAAACCTTATTTTTTATGAAAATAAATTAAAAAATAAATTCTAAAAAAATAAAAAAAAATATTTGTATAAAATAAAACCTAAAGATAAAATATCCTAAGCTTTAAAATAAGCCTAAATTCTATTTAAAACCCTTCAAAGAAAAAAAATTTACTTCAAAGCAATAATACAATTTGTTTAAAGTTGAAGCGGGTAAAATTCAATTTTGCTTCAATTGAATAAATATTTGAATGAAAATTAGGAAATAAAATATTTTAGAGATATTTACATGCTTTATTGTTTAAAGTGTTTATTTTGATTTTAAAGGGGATTTTAAAATGAGAAAAAAAGCGGTAAAGGCAGTTGACGAATCGTCTGACTTGAGGTTATATTTTGGGTCATAACTCTTTCAATTCTCAACCGAGAAAAATAATTTTTATGCCAATCGAAAGCTCTCGATGTGAGGATTATTTTATCTCCCAGGATTAATTTGATTAAATCATTCTACAAAAAGTTAGAGCCGTCTAAAGGTCAAAAATCACGATTGCGCGCACTTATCCAACTGTAACTTTATGTAAAATGATCTGATCAAATCAATCCTTTTATATTAAATGATCCCCATATCCAGAGCTTTCGATTGGTATATTATTTATTTAAATCGGTTAAGAATTAGAAAAGTTATGGCCCAAAATATAGCAAGAAAAACAAAATTTCCGATAATTTCCGGAAAAAATTTCCGGAAAAAAATTTTCGGAAAACAAAAATTTCCGGAAAACAAAAATTTCCGGAAAACAAAAATTTCCGGAAAACAAAAATTTCCGGAAAAACAAAAATTTCCGGAAAACAAAAATTTCCGGAAAACAAAAATTTCCGGAAAACAAAAATTTCCGGAAAAACAAAAATTTCCGGAAAACAAAAATTTCCGGAAAAGAAAAATTTCCGGAAAAACAAAAATTTCCGGAAAAACAAAAATTTCCGGAAAACAAAAATTTCCAGAAAAACAAAAATTTCCGGAAAAACAAAAATTTCCGGAAAAACAAAAATTTCCGGAAAACAAAAATTTCCGGAAAAACAAAAATTTTCGGAAAACAAAAATTTCCGGAAAACAAAAATTTCCGGAAAACAAAAATTTCCGGAAAACAAAAATTTCCGGAAAAACAAAAATTTCCGGAAAACAAAAATTTCCGGAAAACAAAAATTTCCGGAAAACAAAAATTTCCGGAAAAACAAAAATTTCCGGAAAAACAAAAATTTCCGGAAAAACAAAAATTTCCGGAAAACAAAAATTTCCGGAAAACAAAAATTTCCGGAAAACAAAAATTTTCGGAAAACAAAAATTTCCGGAAAACAAAAATTTCCGGAAAACAAAAATTTCCGGAAAACAAAAATTTCCGGAAAAACAAAAATTTCCGGAAAACAAAAATTTCCGGAAAACAAAAATTTCCGGAAAACAAAAATTTCCGGAAAAACAAAAATTTCCGGAAAAACAAAAATTTCCGGAAAAACAAAAATTTCCGGAAAACAAAAATTTCCGGAAAACAAAAATTTCCGGAAAACAAAAAATTCCGGAAAACAAAAATTTCCGGAAAACAAAAAATTCCGGAAAACAAAAATTTCCGGAAAAGAAAAATTTTTTGAGGGGAATAAAAATTATGAGAGATTGGTTATAAACAATTTTCAGTCCTTTAAATGTCCAAACAAATAAAAAATAAAATACCCCAAAATTCTCCTAATTAAACAAGCTTTATTAAACTACCTCATAAGGTATAACACAACAAAACAATTTATTTTGTTGGTTAAAAGTAGCGGTGGAATTATTTAATTTTTCTCCACAACAATAACAACATGTTTGGGTATCACATTCTAATAAAGTTGTTGAAGAAGATGAGTGGTCTGTGGAAGAAGTTGTTGCAGCTGAGGAATTATTTACAAAATAATAATCATCCATTTAGGTATATTCCTGGTTGAAACCGTTGGATTAATTGTTACAAACGGGAAGAGGATAAGGGAGGGGCAGGGAGAGAAAGGAGTATATTATTTTCGGAAATGAGATAGTTTCCGGAAGAATAAAGCTAAAGGAAATGATAATAATATTTCCAGAAAGTAAAATAATATTTCCGGAAAATATTAATAATATATTTCCGGAAATACTATTCCGAATATAAAATAACTTTTCCGGAAAATTAAAAATATTTCCGGAAAAATTTTTCAGGTAATTAAATTTTCCGGAAAAGAAAATAATATTTCCGGAAATGAAATAGTTTCCGGAAGAATAAGGCTAAAGGAAATGATACTAATATTTCCGGAAAGTATAATATTTCCGGAAAATAGAATAATGTTTCCGATATATTTCCGGAAATGAAATAGTTTCCGGAAAATTTCCGGAAAATAAAATAATCCATCCGGAAAATAATATTTAAATGGTCCAGAATAATACCCTTCGGAAACTAAGTAAGGTTTCAGAAAAAGAAAATAAATTTTCCTGAAAATTAAAAATATTTTGGTGTAGCCCGCCTATGAAAACAAAAAATACCAGAAAAATAATTTCAAAAAATTAAAAAAAAAACAAATTGTTAAAAAGAAAATTCTTTAAAAAAGGATAATAAATAATATTATCTCCCCGCTAACGCCAATTGGAAAGAAAGAAAAAATAAACTTTAAAAAATTGCCCTAGAAAACTTGAAATATAAAAAAATATTTTTTTAATCTATTAGAGACATTACTCAATTCGTTTTTACTTTTTTTTATATTTTTTAATACATTCGTTCCACCCAATTTATTTTATTTTTTCTCCTTCCAGGTTAGTACCAGTCGATATGTTTGTTCTTATAAATATTTTTTTTCTTTTTTTTCGAGGATTTTTTTTCGAGGATTTTTGGAAGGGTAAACAGCTGAAAAGAATGTGGGGCTATAAGTACTATGAGAAAAATAAAGAAGAAATTTTTTTAAATCAATTGTTAATTAAGCAATTGTCACCAAGGAATAATAGAAGCAGCATTCCACGTAAATAAATATAAAAAGAATATAATTATAATTCCGGAAAAAATAATATTATTTCCGGAAAATAAGTTAATAGAGAATATACTAATATATTTCCGGAAAATAAATAAAATATCTTTTCCGGAAATAAAGTGTACCCGGAAATAAAATGTTTCCGGAAAAAATAATATTATTTCCGGAGAATATATAAAATAACTTTTCCGGAAATAAAAATAAATTTTCCGGAAATTAATGAGTATCCGGAAAATATATAATATATTTTTTCCGGAAATTAAAGTTTTACCGGAAAATATATAAAATAATTTTTCCGGAAATAAAATAATTTTTCCGGAAATTAAAGTGTTTCAGGAAATTAATGAGTTCCGGAAAATATATAAAATAATTTTCACGAGATTATATATTATTTCCGGAAATTAAAGTTTTTCCGGAAAATAAATAGAATAACTTTTCCGGAAACTAAATAATATACCTAATCTTTCAGGAAAATAATCTGCATAATATATAATTTTTTATTTAAACATAGCAGACTTAAAAAATAATTAATAAAATTTAAAAAATATAAATGGTAACAATAAAAGGAGAAGCAAATAGGAATCGATGCTTAAAAATTTCAAATGCACAAAGTATCTTAGGAATTGTGCCATAGAATATTAAAAAAAGATAAAATTCGGGTGGGTAAAAAAGGAAGAGTGCATTTCTCAAAAAATAATATTAAAAAATAAATAAAAAATAAATAGAAATTTGAAAAAATTCTGAAAAAATCAGGAAAATTTCAGAAAAATTCTGAAAAAAAATCAGAAAAATTCTGAGAAAAATCAGAAAAATTCTGAAAAATCAGAACAAATTCTGAAAAATTCTGAAAAAAAATCAGAAAAAATTCTGAAAAAAATCAGAAAAAATTCTGAAAAAAATCAGAAAAAATTCTGAAAAAAATCAGAAAAAATTCTGAAAAAATCAGAAAAAATTCTGAAAAAATCGGAAAATATTCTGAAAAAAATCAGAAAAAAATCAGAAAAAATTCTGAAAATTAAAAAAATTTTTCCCCACCAAAAGCAACTGATGAAATTCGGCATCATTCAAAACCTCCTCTATCAACCTCCAATGTTGTTTTTCAAAATTTGTTAAATTCGGAGCATTTGTAGATGTTGTAGGGGTAGTTTTACAACACAAACAACGAGTAATACCCTCCCCATGAGGAAATATATGTTGTTGAGTGGAGGGAGTCGAGGTTGAGGGAGATGATATGGGTAAGGATAAATCGGTTAAAATTGAGAGTTGATCCTTAAATTAGAATTTTTTTTTGATTTTGAACCGCGGCTGTTTCTGAACGATTTCCCATAATGTCACGGGGCTGAAAATGTATGTACTTTTGTACCCGAGACCCCGTAGATAACATATTCACATAATAAGGTAGGCTCGCTACTCAAGGGCATGCTTACATTAGCTAGGAAACTGATAGAAATTCTGAAGAAAAATTCTGAAAAGAAATCAGAAAAATTCTGAAAATTCTGAAAAAACCAGAAAAATTCTGAAAAAAAAAATTCTGAAAAAATCAGAAAAATTCAGGAAAATTCTGAAAAAATTCTGAGAAAAAATTTTTTGAAAACTTCTCTACATACCCTCCCCCAAACGTTCAAATTAAAAAACACACTCAAAAATAATCTTTTAATAAAACTCACCAAGGAAGTCAAAACCCTTTCAATTCCTCCAGTTTCCACCTCAACTAATTTTTTATTTTTTAACGTTTTATCTAGTTGTTGTTGTTTTATTCTTTCCTCAGGATTTAAGCTATCATCAATCTCTTCAGTTTTTTCTTCTTTTTGTGGGGGAGGAGGGAGAAGGCACTCAAAATCACAGGAATCGCCTCCCGGAAGAGGCCATTTTTCGTTGAGGAATGTTGAAATAAATGGGGGAATTGGGGTTTTGCTAGATGATGTCCAATGATTATTGTATAGTGTTGAAATGATGTTTGTCTGGTTTGGATTTTTAATTAAAAATTTGAAGAAAAAAATTTTTCTTAAAGAGGAGGACAGGTCTCATACCAGATACTGGTTTTCCTCAAAGCTAGAAGGGATCCTCTGGAGTCTCCTCCCAGCTAGGGGGTTTCCAACTAGGATTCTCCCAGCTATGTTCTAGCGGATCCGGATATCCCATTCGGAAAAAATCAGGATATACTGAAATTTCCAGTTCGGATGTCGGGCAGTACGGAACTGGATATCAGATTTTCAGAGATCTAAAAACCGACTCCCATCGTAGTTAATGAATCAAAAAATGAGCCCTAGTGAAGTTAGAAGGAAACAATAATTGTTTGAACAACTCTGTTAGGATCCAAAAGAAAAGCGGCAGAACCCATCCCCAAAAAACTAGCAAGAGGATTGGGTGAGACTTGATCCTGAAAGCTCTCCAATGGAGGGGTGTTACACGCTCAACCATCCCACCACCGACTGATAGTTTTCATTTCTATTTATCTGGTAGGCTGGGAAATTTTTGATTAGTTCCGAACTTTTTGTTACATTTTTAGGAGGGGTTGTCTCCTTTAAAAAAATAAATTAATTAATCACTTTAAGTCGCCGCCTTTGATTGTATCGGCGAACATTTTCAATTGTCTCAATCAAATGGACACGCAATGGAACTTGTTTCCTTGCAAGCCAGTCGTGGCTTAGGCATTCTGAAGGAGTTAACCTTTCACGCTCATCCACCCTTAACAACTTTCGCAACAAATCTTTGGCAGGTTCGCTAATCAAAGCCCAAGATGAGCCAGAAAACTGAAAAACAAATTGTGGAATGTTCTGAAAAAAATTCTGCAAAAAATTCCGAAAATTCTGAAAAATTTTTGAAAAATTTCTGAGAAAATTCTGAAAAAATTGGGAAAAGTTCTGAAAAATTTCTGAAAATTCTGAAAAAAATTTTGAAAATTCTGAAAAAATTCAGAAAAGGATTCTGAAAAATTTTTGAAAAAAATTCTGAAAATTCTGAAAAATTCTGAAAATTTTGAAAAAATTCTGGAAAATTCTGAAAATAATGAATAGGCCCTCATTACCGAAAATTCTCCAGCACGAATCTGTCTTGTAACTTCTACAGGTTTTCCAATAAAAGGCACTTTTCCGCAAAGTAAAATGTACAGAACGACGCCAACACTCCACATATCTGCTGACTGTCCATAAGGCTGACCGGCAATGATTTCGGGTGCCATAAATTGGGGGATGCCAAATCGGCCTGAATTTTTGATTAATTTTATTTCAGTCGGAGCTCAACATAAGAGACCCCCAATACAAGATACCTCTATTTTAGGGACGTCTTTTAAATAAGAGAAACACCCTACAAGACAGACCTCTATTTAAGAGACATTTTTTAGTATTAATTTTATTCTAGTCGGAGCTTACTATAAGAGACCCCCAATACAAGATACCTCTATTTTAGGGACGTCTGTTAAATAAGAGAAAGACCCTATAAGATAGACCTCTATTTAAAAGACATTTTTTAGTAAGGTTATCAACAGGGTCTGGGTTGCGTTGCCTAACAATCCTTCGAGTTAAGAGATACCCTCTATTTAATAAACGCTTCATTATAAGATACAATTTTTTCATGTGTAACTTTAAGTGAGGTCTGACTGATTTTGCAAATTTAAAAAACGAAAAATAAAAATTCACCAGGAGGGCATTTATTATTCTCATCACTCAACCTGAAAGCTACCCCAAGTCCATGTATCTTTAAAGGCGCGTTGTTTTCATTGCTGTAAAATTTTTTTTAATTTTTTAAAAATATTTTTCCCCACTTTTCAAGCAATAAATTGTGTGGCCTAATATCCCTGTGCAAAATATTCTGTGAGTGCATATATTGAACTGCTTGAACAAGTTGACGAGTGTAATGAGCAGCAACAGCCTCACTGTAAATAAATCCGGCAGCGGCCCTCCGGGTAATTTCAAAACAAATGTCCTGCCCGTCTACCCATTCAAAAACCATGTGTAGAGCATTACAACCGGAAATAACATCGACAAGCTGGACAAAATGAGGGTGTGTTAGTGCTGTACAAATTTCCACCTCCTTTTCTGCATCTAACCGGAAAATTAAACTTTAATTATATTTCAGATTCCGGAAAAATAAATAAGGAAAACTATAATTTTTGATATATTTATATTACTCTTCCGGAAAATAAACTTTTCCGGAAATATGTATATAATAATTTTTCGGAGAAGAATAATTATTTTGTCGGAGGAGAATAAATATTTTCCGGAAAAGAATAATTATTATTTTCTGGAAAATAATTATTCTTTTTCCGGAAAGGAGTAAATATATTCCGGAAGGTATCACTACTTTTGCGCCGAGAACATTTGCGCCGCGACTTTTGCGCCGGGCGACTTTTGCGCCGCGACTCTTGCGCCGCGACTTTTGCGCCGGGCGACTTATGCGCCGCGACATTTGCGCCGCCATTGTTTAGAAAATCCGGATCCGAAAAATGCCGGATATCCGAAATTTTCAGTTCGGATATCGGATCCGGATATCCGAAGATTTCCAACTATCCGACAACCCTACTAAAGTGAGGTCCGGCTGTAGTTATTGATATATTTTTAATGATAGTGGCGGCGCAAAAGTCGCGGCGCAAACGTCGCGGCGCAAACGTCGCGTCGCATGAGTCGCGGCGCAAATGTTCTCGGCGCAAAAGTCACGGAACCTTCCGGAAAATGAATCTAATTCTTTAGCTTTTATAATTATTTCCCATTTGGAAAATAATCCTGAAAGTTTATAATAATTCTCTTACCGGAAAGATGGTCCGGAAAACTCTTATCCTTTTATTAATTATAAATTCTCTTTCCGGACAGTTTAAGTATTTTTAAAGCATTAATGAATTTATTTCTACCTTCACTGGAAAGACCGGAAATAGCAGAAAAACGTTGTAGATTAAGGCTTTTAATAGAGCAATTCCTCCCTGTAGCCTTATGCACCGCTCGATAAACAGTATAAATTGGGCCTCTGAGGTAGACAAAAATTTTTTTAGAATTTTTTAAACAAAAAAAACTTTTCAATAATATCACAAATTTGGTAATGATGTGTAAGCAATGCTGTCTCCTGTCCATCTGGTATGATAAAAAGAGGGGGCCTTTTCGATTTTTGTTGTTGAAGTCTATTGTGTTGAGGACTACCGGCACTAGTCGAAGGCTCATCGCTTGCCTTTAATTTTTATTTGAAATTTTAGAGTTATATATGTAGGTCAAAAAGCATAAATATATTTCCATTCCGGAAAATAAATATTCGTTATTTTTCTTCCGGAAAATATAAAGTAAATATTTTCCGGAAAATATAAAATAATTATTTTTCCGGAAAATATAAAATATAATTATTTTTCCGGAAAATATAAAATATAATTGTTTTTCCGGAAAATATAAAATAATTATTTTCTCCTGAAAATATAAATTAATTGTTTTTCCGGAAAATATAAAATAATTATTTTTCCAGGAAATATAAATTAATTATTTTTCCGGGAAATATAAAGTAAATATTTTCCGGAAAATATAAAATAATTATTTTTCCGGGAAATATAAAATAATTATTTTTCCGGAAAATATAAAATAATTATTTTTCCGGAAAATATAAAATAATTATTTTTCCAGGAAATATAAATTAATTATTTTTCCGGAAAATATAAATAATTTTTTCCGGAAAATATAAAATAAATATTTTTCCGGAAAGAACAAAATAATTATTTTTGTGAAGGAAAATATGAAATAATTATTTTACGGAAAATATACATAAATTAATTATTTTTCCGGAAAATAGTCCGGAAAATAATTATATAAAAAAATTAAAATTTTATAAACACCGTTATGGCTGATGTTAAGGAGAAAGTAGAAATTAAGGAGGACGTTGTTGGATTTTGTTGGGTATTGCTATTGTTTATATTTTTGTTTGGTAATGCAGCAGAAGTTAAGGTTGTTAGCACCATATTTTGAAAAAATAAAATTTAAATTAATAAATCTGGTGATTATTAATTTATTGAAGAATGAAAGAAATGGCGGCATTCGAAATTTAAAAAGAAGAAAAATTTGAAAAGTGAGAATTAATTTAATAATTATTGATAAGTAATAAAAAGCATCTACTGAAGAATTGAAAAATTATATAATTTTTAATGATTAAATTTTTAATTATTATTTTTATGAAAAAGAAACAAAAAATTTATCTATTAATACATACTACATTTTTATTCCGGAAAAGTTATTATCGCAATAATTATTCATTCCGGAAATTTTTTTAATAATTATTTTTCCGGAGAATAATTTCTTTCCGGAAAAGTATAATTAATTATTATTTCTTCCGGAACGTTATTTATTCCGGAAATTTCTATAATAGTTATTTTTTCGGAGAATAATTTCTTTCCGGAAAAGTTATTTTAATTATTATTTTCCGGAACATAGTTATTCATTCCGGAAATTTTTTAATAGATATTTTTACGGAATAATTTCTTTCCGGAGAGGTTAGAATTTTAATTATCATTTTTCCGGAACGTTGTTTTTTCCGGAAATTTTTTAATTATTATTTTTCCGGAAAAGTTATTCATTCCGGAAAAGTTATTATTTTAATTATTATATTTCTGGAGAATAATTATCCTTTCCGGAAATTTTTTAAATAATTATTTTTACGGAAAATAATTATCCTTTCCGGAAAAGTTAGTATTTTAATTATTATTATTTTTCCGGAAAAGTTATTCATTCCGGAAATTTTTTAATAATTATTTTTATGAAATTAATTTGTTTCCGGAAAAGTATAATTAAATATTATTTCTTCCGGGACGTTATTCATTCCGGAATATTTTTAATATTATTTTTAAGGAAAATTATTTTTTTCCGGAAAAGTTATTTTAATTATCATCTTTCCGGTAAGTTATTCATTCCGGAAATTTTTTAAATATTTATTTTTACGGAAATTAATTTGTTTCCGGAAAAGTTATTATTTTACTTATTATTTCTTCCGGGAAATAATTATCCTTGCCGGAAAATAAATCTAATTTAAGTATATTGTTATATTCCTCTTTCCGGAAAAAGCGCGAATACTTACTTATAAGGAAAAAAATTAACGAGAAATTTATTTTATTTAAATTAAAATACACATCATTAAATTGCCAAAAAATTTTCAAAATTAAACCTACTCTTTAAAACAAAAATAAAAATTAAATAAATACTATATAGTAATTTAAACGGTCAAATAACGTTAATTTTAAATAGCCAAATTTCTTTATTTTTCTTTTAAAAATTTTTTAAATGAAGAGAAAAAGTTTATTTGTACAAAAAACTCTACAATCATCAAAAAAATCGTCTAAGAAAATCCCCAAGGAATTTTGTGCTCAATTTTTCTTTTTTTTTCTATATTTATATCCTTTGGTCGCTTTCGTTGCTTCATTCAAAAAAAAATTTTTTTGTGAGGGAAAAAATGGGAGAACGGAATTTTAAAAATTTAGTTATACAAATACTAATTATGAAGGGAATAAATTCAGGAATTTATAAAAAGAATTTAAGAATTTATATTTAAAGATTCCGGAAAGATAATATTAATTCCGGAAATATAAAATAAAGTCCGATTATTACCAAAGAGAATATAAAATTCCGGAAATTGTTTATAATTAATCTAATACCGGAAGAGTTATAAAATATAGATTCCGGTTTGTAAATATTGATTCCGGAAATATAAAATAAATTACGTTTATAACTAAAGAGAATAAAACATTCCGGAAACATAAAATTATTATTAATTCCGGAAGCGTTTTTTAGGTTTGTAGAAAAATCCGGAAAAATAATATTAATTCAGGAAATATAAAAATAAATTCCGGTTATTATCAAAGAGAATCTAAAATTCCGGAAATTGTTTAGAATTAATTTAATTCCGGAAGAGTTATAAAATACCAAGTATAATTCCGGTTTGTAAATACTAATTCCGGAAATTAAAATAAATTACGGTTATTATCAGGGAGAATTTAAAATTCCGGAAATTGTTTAGAATTAATTTAATTCCGGAAGAGTTATAAAATATACTTTATTTCCGGTTTGTAAATATTAATTCCGGAAATATAAAATAGATTCCGGATATAACCAAAGAGAATAAAAAATTCCGGAAACTATAAAATTATTATTAATTCCGGAAGCGTTTTTCCGGTTTGTAAAATAAAGACATTCCGGAAGAATAATATTAATTCCGGAAACATAAAAATATACTCCAGGAATATAAAATTCCGGAAATTGTATATTAAAATTATATCAATTCCGGAAGAGGTATATGTATAATACGTGTAGAATTACGTTAAAAGGATTCCGGAAATTATACAAAAGTAAACTTGAAACTATAAAACATGCTAAATAATAATTCCGGAGTTTAATATTATTCCGGAAACGTTATAAAATAATATTTTTCCGGTTAATTATAAAATAAAGGCTAGTCTGGAATTTGTACAAAAATAATAATTTTAATTTGAAAAATAAAAAAAAATAAAAATATTTTTGTATCTTATTCTTTTAAATTTTCAATCTAAATTTAGTTTTCAGTTATTTTATTTAAAAAGCACAGCGTGAAACAAAGACTTGGGGATTTGCGCGCGCAAAATTATTTTTGTAAAAATTTTAGGTTTAAGCCGATTAGGGGACGAATAATTTGAAAAAAACGCTAGATTGCAGAATAAATTTTAAAAAACGGAGAAAGGATCGAAATTAGAAAAGGGCTGGAAATATTACGCTAAGGATAAAAATAAGAAAATTTAAGGACGGAAAATAAGGACAATAAAGAATTTTTAATCGAAAAGTGCCATTTTCAAAAAATCATATCTCTGGTCCGGAAAAAGTTATTTCTAAGCGGTTTTGTGGTAAATACTCACAAAAATATGCTTTATCAACTGGGTTTGTTAAATTTTTCTGAAAATTTTTTCCAAAAAATTTTTCCGAGGAGATAGGATTTGGTATATCCGGTAGATCCGGATTATCTCGGCCAATTTTAATTTTCATGAAGAATGCAGAAACATGTCAACTGAGATACAAATAGAGCTTTCGATTGCTATATAGAACGTATTTTTTGAATGAAAAATTAAAAAAAATTTTTCTAGTGGACTAAAAAAAAGAATGTATTTTGATAATAAAGAGGAATTATGCAAATACTAATCTTAAGTAAAAATGCCTATAAATTCTTCAAAACAAACAAAAAAATGCCGTTTTTGTTTTATAAAATTTAATATAATTTATGTCCCATCCTCATATTTTTATATAAAATTATTTACTAAAAATACAAAAAGAAAGCAAAAGAAGAAGCAAAAGAGTAAAAGCAAAGTAGTAAAAAAACCTTTTAAAGGGCCCGTGTTCACAAATTGATTTAGCGGAAAAACGTAAAAAAAGAAAAAAAGAAGAGCAGCCAAGCAATCTGCCACACATTCCCCCTACTTTCCCCAGCTAGAAAAAAAATACTAAAAATATTTATGTATTAGTCAGTCTGTCAATATCTCTCTTTGAATGAGTACACCTAAGCGAGTAGAACTTAGTTGTTTTGAAAAATTATATAATTGTAGTGGTTGAACGTATCGAAACAAGCTTGGTATCATTCGATAGAGAATTAAATGGGCTACAAAATGTATTTTAATTTGGATTTTTAGAAACTCAGGAAAAAAAGTTATAGTCCAAAAACCGACGTGAGTAGGCAAAGTGGGCGGTAAAAGTAAAGTGATGTTTAAAAAATTATATATTTGTAGTGGTTGAACGTACCGAGACAAGCTTGATATCATTCGATAGAGAATTAAATTTTCCACTAGAAAAATTTTAGTTTGAAATTTTAGTTAACCTAGGAAGAAAGTTATGGTCCGAAAACCGATGTGAGTAATCATACATAGTAGGCAGTAAAAGCATGGGAATTATGAATTAAAAAAGAAGAAAAAATATTTTAATAAACCTGGAAATAAAATATAATAAATGTCCGAAGACAGCTTGGGCTTTTTAAACAACAAAATATGTGCTTGCCTTTTATTTTAAAAATAAGACGGCCAGCTGTGGTAACTGTTAAGGGTGTGCGCTTTTAATTTTGGCGTTGACACTAAATTAATAAATCCGGAAAGAAAAATTTTCCGGAAATTGTTAGGCAGTATAATTATAGAAAAATAAATTCCGGAAACTATAAATATTTTGGAAAAGAATAAATAATTTTCCGGAAAATTAAATCCTGAAACTTGTAGTAAAAATATAGAAAAATAAATTAATTCCGGAGTATATATGTATAAATTAATTCCGATTCCGGAAAGTTAATACATTCCGGAAAAGAAATATACAATTCCGGAAGTATGTATATAAAAAAGTAATATATTTCCGGAAAAACCATATTCCGGAAAATATGTAAATATACAATTCCGGAATTTATAAAATGAATTCCGGAATATAATATAAATTCCGGAAATATAAAAATTATTTTCCGGAAAAGAAATATAAAAATTCTTTCCGGTCAATTATAAAGGAATATAGAAATTCCGGAAAATGTATAAAATGATAGCATTTCCGGAAATGCTTATTCGTTCCGGAAAATTAATTTATAATTTACTCTATTGCGTTTTTGGCGCACATCCAAGAAAACAATCCATCATTTCCCAGCATAATAAATAATAATGCTGCGAATTTTAATGAAAAGTGGTTGGCACCGGAAGAAAGAAGAAAAGGAGAGGGGAAGTAAAATTATTAGGAAATCAAGTAAAATAATTTTTAAAAATAAATAAAATTTTATTTTTTATTTAAAAAATTTTTAGAAATTTTTTTTCAGAAATAAAAATTTGTAAAATGAAGACTTTTTAGTATTTTTATTTTCCCCGCTTTTTTTATTCTCGTTAAAAATTATGTATTCATTTATTTATGCCCATATATGAAGCAAAAAAATAAAGCTATTGTAAAGTGACACGTCCAGAAAATTTTAAAAAATATTCGAAAAATAATTTGATATTAAATTGGT